GTATACCTGAATCAACTTACTGCGATGATAATTTGATATGTTAAAAATGTGATTTAAATTGCTCTTCGTGTTCAATGTCTAGTAGTAATTGCCACAGTTGTATAATAAATAAATATTTATATGTTAACTAATGCTTAGATATAGTATGTGACAATAATTAATATTTAAATAGCATAACAAAGTCATGTAGCTAAACTAAGCCTTCTAGTACATATTGTCTTCCTGTTACTTAAAATGGAAATAATTTTTAATTTTGTTAAAAATGTGACCCTATTTGTTTGGAATGTGATCCGCCTGGTGATCAAAAATCATGTATTTCTTGTGACATAAGAAATTAAAATAAATACTATTATAAAAACTAATGCATAAATTCTTAGCCGGCTTCAACTTTTTGTGATGAAAAATTTTAATGTTTTGATTGCGATTAAAACTGTGTTTCTTGTTATAATAATAGTAAAAACTGTTAAAGCTGTAAAAGCAACATGTACTTCTACGAGAATCAATGTTTGGAAAGCCCTCTACCTGGAACATATTGCATAGACTATAGTAATTGCAGTAAATGTGATGCATAATGTAAGACTTGTGAATTGACTTCTAATAATTGCACAAGTTGTCAAGATTAGTATTATTTATATAAAAATTCTTGCTAATCTCAAAAACCTTCAGGGGTTTTTTGTGAATTAAATTAAAATTACTATGTTTGTTCAGCTTGTACTAATCTTAATTGCTAAGAGTGCTTAAAAGCTGACCCTTCTAAATGCATTTCTTGCCCAAAAAATTATTACTATTATAAAGTTAGATGATTATTGAAAAAAACTTTAAAAAAAATTTATTCTATTGTAGGGTGAAATAAAATAATTTTCATAAAAAAATGATTTCAACTAATTCATAATTTTGATAAAAAAATGATTACACAGGATTTATAATTTTTTTTGAGAGAATTGAATTACATAAAAATATATTTACTTACATGTTTCTATTTTTAAAATTATTATCTCAATAAATATTCTAATTAAAATATGTAAATTAAGTATAAAATAAATTTTATCTTATTTTCATTAAAGAATTTTAATATTTTTAAAGTTTATTTATATTTTGGAAGCGAAAATTAATTTTGATTAAATTCAGATAGAAAATACATATGTAAAGAATAACCAATAAAAATTTAAGAAATGTTATAAAGGCTATTGAATTATTTTTTTAGAATTGTTCTGTTTAAAAATAATTTGTTACATTCAAAAGTGAATTGCACCAGACCTAAACCCAACCTCTGCTTGATTTATGAAATTCGGCTTTCTAATCCTTAAAGTTATGCAAAAATTACTCTAAATTTAAGTATTTTTGCATAACCTCTGTGTCTTTTAGAGGAATTATGGTAATTACTTTTTGATCATATATAATAGATTTAACTTTAATATTATAAAATTTTTAATAATAGCTCAAGCAATATTTTAAGCCTTATTTAGCTATTTTAAAACAAACACTAAAAGAAGTACAAAAAAATAAATACAAAATATCTTATTTGAAGTTATTTTTCAATATCTTTTCAAATAAATAAAATAAATGACTGAAAATTTGTTAGATTGATAAAATAAATATCTAATTTAATACTTTTTTTATTACAAAAATTTAGCTTGAAAAATAGTTATATTACAGTAAAAACCATTGAAAATATCTAATTAATTTAATAAGATAAATTGAAAACGTTTAACAAACCATAAAAAATCAGCTAGAACGCAAGGAAAAATTATTTAGATTTATAACAAAAAAAGGTTCTATTTATGTAAATATTACTTATTTTATAAATCTTTAATATAATTCATAGATATAACTAATTTATTAATTTATGTAATTAAAGCTAAGAGTATTTTTAGAAACTCAATCATAAATGTACTATTTGTTTTTATTTTATTTGTTACTATAATTTTCTGTAAGATCTTTAAGAGTTTTTCTACATAAAATTTAAATATATTAGATTAATTATAGATTTTAATTCAAAAAAATTAATAATTAAATAAATAAAAATAATATTATGATTATCTATACATGTTTCAAATTAATAATATAATGTATTATATATTATTTTTAATCTCATTTATTTCTCTTAATATTGAAAATTCACTTTATATTATTCATTTATTTTAGATAAATATATAATATTATTTTTTAAAGAATTTAATTGATAACTTGCAGTGTAGTGAAAATGTTATTATTTGTTTTAATTATTTAAAGAAGATATTTTAACAAATAAATAAAATTTATATAGATATAAATACTTTTTTAAATTTTATTGCTAATATTTTAGCTCAAATTGGAAGGAAAATAAGTTCTAAATAGAACAATTTTTAGTAACATTAATTACCTATTAATTATTTTAAATGTATTGATTTTTTTTTCCCTAAAATTAAGATTTGAAAAAGAAGTAATATTTTTCTGACCTTTAATTTTAATGATTTAGAAATGAATTTAAAAAATTGATAGATTATAGCTGCTTGTGTAAATAAAATAAAATAAGTTTTTTATATGTTCTTTATAATTATTATAAACGAGCGAGATATTATATGACGTTTATATTTTATTTTAATAATTTGATCATGTGAGCGATTTTAGATAATATTTACACCACATAAATTTTGTTGAATTTCATTCAAAATGATAGAAGCTTAAATTTAATTAATATATAGCCAAGAATTTCATCATTTACGTCAGATTACTTATAATACTTGGTAAAGACGGAAAATTCGCTTTGATATTTCTGTAAATTTATTCAGCTACTTGGTTATTGAAGCATTTTAAGTTTTTGAAAAATCTAAAGAAGGAAATGAAAACCACTTGAATAAAACACAAATATAAGCGCAGATTTAGTATAAATTTATACCCAGATAATATTATTAATCAATTTTTAAATTATATTTACCAAATATCTGATAAAAGCGAATTACTTTTACTCAGCTTTAAAAGATATTAATCTGTAACAATAGGACTTTATTAACTCAAGAAACAAAAGTAAGTTAAAATAGATCATAGTCAAATAGAAGAAAAATCAACTTAAATTGTTTAATAGTTTCCCAATCAAATAAATCAACTATTTTATCATGAACACCTTCATCATTTTAATTTAGAATTCTAATTTGTTAATTTTGATGAAAAATAATTATTATAATCTAAAATTCTACAGATTTTATTATTAATTATTCCTATTTTAAGCTAATAAATGATAATTAAATATGAATTTTGTAAGTATGCTGATGATGTCAAGAGTATAAATATTATGACCACCTATAAATACAAAACAATATTGTCTTATGCGTTTGCTTTAAGATTAATTTAGTATCTTTATGATTTTACTGCTTATTTATAATCAAAAGATTAGATAATCTATTGAAATTCTTTCACAATTAATTAGAAGTGGTACATTAATTTATTTGTAATTAAATAAAGGAAGTATCATTAATTTTCTAAAAACTTCTCTATGTTTTATCCTTTATCAACTTGCTAATATACTTGTTTTTAAATCAAGTGTAACTCGTTGAATCTGTCTTCAAAACAAATATTCGCATTTAATTATCGCTAAAGATTAAATTAAAAAGATCATATTCTTCCTTTAAAAATAAATAATATATGCATCCAATAAAGCAAATATGAATTTTATGTGTAGAAAGTATTTGATATTTTGATTTGTACGTTTTTTTATTTGTTTTAACTAATTTCTTGTTTCTATCAAGATGAGTTAGAAATAAATAGCTGTCTCTTTATTAACTTCATTTTGCTTTAAAATAGGTTCAGTGTAATAAAAAATCAAATTTATCGGATTATAATTTTTCTTTTATTTAAGTACAATATATAAAAAATAATTACTCTTATTTTATATATTTTGGAAAGTAATAATGGATATTCGTTCAATATTATAAAATATCTTAAAAAGTTTTTGGCTTTAATTTTGCATAATTTGTATTTAAAAAACTATGATTTTTATCCATTTTTGATTAACTTAATAAAATTTAAATTGGAGACAGTAATTAACTTTTTAAATACAAAGGTGGTTTGGGAGAGGATAAATAAATAATATTATTTATATTTGATATTAATCAATAATATTAAGTCTTTTTTTATGCAATTCTCTTGATAACAAAATTTGAATTTAGGCAAAATTTGATTATTCTAAAAAAATTAATAAAAACTATGTTTTTGACATGATTTTTTATTTTATGAATAGAACTAACATCTTTTGTCATTCTAAATTTAATAATTAATTTATTTTTCAAACAATACTTTGTACCCAAAACTAAGATGCAAATGAAGTTTTTCAAAAATTAATTTCTTTTTATTCTATATTTCATTAACCTAATATATTAAACAAAACAATAATACAATATCATATAGTCAGATAAAGTGTTCATAAAATTTGAGTAATAGATATGGGATAGTTCTAAATTAGGTTAAGATGAATAAAGAAATTATGATTTTGATATATCTTAAGGAAAGTTTTAAAATATCCCCAAAATTGTTTATTCTTTAAGCACTTATAATAGTGATAATGATAGTTAGCAAGGATTTTTACTAACAACTAATAATTTAACGAAAACAAAACTTAGTTATAAATTATAATCTATAGGATGTACTATTTCTTAATTAGGATTTAATATACTCGCAATTGATGATCCTAATATTGATGTTCAACAAAAGCAGCTTTCTTCTGGAGTAGCTACAACTATAACAGGAACACAAGATATCTTGCAAATTGCTGCTTTTATTTATGGATTTAAAGGAACTGATTGGAGTAATTTAAAACTATAATATGCTTTAACTAAAATTGATAGCAGAAACTATAAAATATAATTTACAAATTCTAATGTTCCAACTGTTTACTTAAACTTTGTTATAATTTATTAAAATTCATATACAGATATAGGTTAGTTATACTAATATTATATGAATTTTGATACTTAAGGTCAGAATATTGGTGGATCTAATACAGTATCATGGAAAACTTCTGCTTAAATAGACAAATCTCCAGTTTTTTTTGGGTTAAAAGATTTTAGTCTTATATCTAAAGGTTATTTTGGAATAAAAATTTTGAGTGGATAAACTCCTGAAGCAATAAATAAATAAGTAGTTTTAAATTATTTTACATGGAATGGGTATAAAGTGAATATGATAAATGGTATTTGGATGGCTTTTACTCTTAAAACATGTTAAAGCGGATACACAATGTTTTTAAATTCAACCTACAATGCTTGTGTTAAATCTTGTAATTCTGTGGACCATCACTACAACACTAATCCTGCAAATACTAAACTTCTCTATTCAACTACTATTACTATATGTTAAAAATGCAATGATAATTGCTATGGCTGCAAAGACGGCTTTCCAAATTTTTGCACTGACTGCCTAAGTAATATGTATTTGAATCCTTTCACAAACACTTGCGATTAATAAAAACCTACAAGTACTTTCTGTTAAGTATAAACAGTGAATGATTAAACATTCTAAAATTGCCAAAAATGTGATCCAACATGTAAAGAATGCAACTCTCCAAATAACCCCAAATCTTGCACATCTTGCAATTTAAACACTTCAAATAAATACTATTACTAAAACTAATGTTTATCTTCATAACCATCTTCAACATATTGTGATAGTAATTTCATTTGCTATAGCTGCGATCCTTATTGCGCTAGTTGCTCTAATTCTAGTAATAACTGCTAAAGCTGTAAAGCTAATAGCTATTTATATTAAAATAATTGCTTAGCGAAGATCTGTTTATCAAATTAGTATTTGAATCCATATACAAATAATTGTGATTAATCATAACCTCCTAGTACCTCATGCTCTCAAATAACTTTGAATGCTTCCACATTTTATTATTGCTAGAAATGTGATCCAAGTTGTAAAGAATGCAGCGCACCTGGAAATCCAAACTCTTGTACATCATGTGACATTAATTCTACAAATAAATATTTTTATAATAATCAGTGCTAACCTTCATAACCTCCTTCGACATATTGTGATGGTAATTTTATTTGTCATTAATGCGATGTTAATTGTTCTACATGCTCTGGTTAAAGTAGTAATTGCTAAAGTTGCGTAACAGATAAATATCTCTATATAAACTAATGCTTAGATATAGTATGCTAAAGTAATGAATATTTGAATAACATAACTAAGACTTGTCTTTAAACAAAACCTTCTGGTACATATTGCATATCTGTTACTTAAAACGGTAATACATTTTATTATTGTTAAAAATGCGACCCTAGTTGCTAAGAATGTGATACTCCTGGTGACTAAAACTCATGTACTTCTTGTGATATAACCTCTTAGAATAAATATTACTATAAAAGCTAATGCTTACCTTCTTAACCCCCTTCGACTTATTGTAATTCAAATTTTCAGTGCTAAGATTGTGATAAAAATTGTCTTTCTTGCTCTGGGTCAAGCTAAAACTGCTAAAGTTGCAAAGACAATATTTATTTCTACTAAAATTAATGTTATGAGAATCCTTTACCAGGTACTTATTGTATAAACTATACTGATTGTAAATAATGTGATACAAGTTGTAAAACTTGCATTTAAACCTCTACAAATTGCATAAGTTGCCCAGATCAGTAGTATCTATATAAAAATACTTGTTAAGCTCAAAAACCTTCAGGCGTTTATTGTGAAATAAACTAAAATTTTTTCAGCTGCATTGCATGTAGTAATAATCTTTGCTAAGAATGCTAAAAGGATGATTAATCAAAATGTACATCTTGTCCATCAGGGCAATTTTTATACAAAGGTAATTTGTTTTAAAATTAAATAATATAATTTACTATAAATAATATAATAAATACTTAATATAAATTAATTCTTTTAGTTTTTACGAGCAATAAATAAATTTGCTTCTGAAAATACCTTTATTGATTGCATGGATTAATAGAAATTTTTAACAAAATTAAACATTTTTTTATCAAAATTTAAGTAACTAAAATTTTAAATTCAGCAACATTAAAAATTAAAAAAAATTAATTATTTTTTTCTTAAACCTTGATATACTAAATTTTTTTTTTTAAATTAATTAGATAATTGTGTGAATACTCAACCTGATTCAACATATTGTTAAAATTATTCATGCTAAGATTGTGATCCTTCATGCAGTTCTTGTAATGGACCATCTAATAATAACTGTACCTAGTGCAATACTTCTTAAAATAGAAGTTTAGTTAGTACGGTATGCGTATGCAATGATGGATATTATGAAGATAATTATAAGACTTGCTAAAAATGTTCTCCAACTTGCCAAACTTGCAATGGCTCATTAGATACCCAATGTTTAACCTGTAAAAATTACATATACTAAAACACTTGCTATGACACTCCTCCTCCTGGCACTTATTGTGATTCTACAACAAAATAATGCAACAAGTGTGACTAAACTTGCTAAGCTTGTAGTGGTCCTAGCAATAATAATTGTACCTAATGTGATTCAGCTAATGGATTATCTTTGACACCTTAAAACACTTGTGTATGTCCTGACAATTAATTTATAGATAATTCAACAGGAACAGCTGCTAAGTGCACAAATTGTGATGCTGCCTGCAAAACTTGTAGTGGACCAAACAATAATAACTGCTTAAGTTGTACAAACTATTTGTTTAACAATTAATGTTATGAAAAATAACCACCATAAACATACTGTGATGATAAAAAAATTTGTTAACAATGTAGTTAAGGATGTAATACTTGTGAAGGTCCTAATTCTTGCAAAGATTGTATGCCAAACTTCTTTCTTGATTCTTATAACACTTGTTAAAAATGTTATATTAATTGTTTGACTTGTAATGGGGCTAATTCTAATTAATGTTTAAGTTGCCAAAATCTTATTTTAAAACCAGATAATTCTTGTGGTTGCTAATCTGGTTACTTTGTTGACACTTCTAATAAAAGCTCTATCTAGTGTAATAAATGTGATTCAAATTGTTAGGAATGCCAAGGATCTTAGCCAAGCTAGTGCCTTAGTTGTGATTAAAGTTAAACAAATAAATATTTATATAAAAATTAGTGCTTACCTAACTAACCTCCATTAACGTATTGTGATCCTAATAGCAACATCTGCGTAGATTGTTATTTAACGTGCAGTTCTTGTAGTGGGCCAGATTAAAACAATTGTACATCTTGCAAAAATGGAGGTTATTTATATAATGGAATCTGCTCAGTTTCCTAACCAAATAAAACTTATTGTGATGATAAATAAGTTTGCAAAGATTGTAATCCTTCTTGCTTAGCTTGCAAAGATTCTCCAAATTGTACTGCTTGTTCTCAAGATCAATACCTATTTGATAATAAATGTTAAGCATCTTAACCTCCTAATACTTATTGCATTAACCAAGACATTTTTAAAATTTGCCAATAATGCTAATAAGGTTGCAGTGAATGTTCTTCTGGAGATAAATGCACTTAATGCTAAAAAGATTATTTTCTCTATAAAGATTAATGTTATAATAAGTAACCAGATAAAACTTATTGCAAAGATAATAATTGTTTTGACTGTGATCCTTCATGTTCTTAATGCTTAGGACCTAATAATACTGATTGTACAAATTGTTAGGGAGATTTTCAACTTGAACCTTTATCTAAATAATGCAAATGTCCTTCTGGTACATTTAATGACAACTCTGATCCAGGAAATTAATACAAATGCTCAAATTGTATTACAGGCTGTTCTAAATGCAACGATGCCAATTCTTGTGATGAATGTGGACTTTCTAAAACTACAAACTAAAAATTATTTTTGATAGATAATTAGTGCTTTGAATAGTAACCATCTAATTCTTATTGTGATCCTATAAATTTTGTTTGTTAAAGTTGTGAATTTAAAGAACAGCCTTGCTAAAAATGTGATCAAACTCTATAAAATTGTATTAGTTGCTAATCAGGTGAATATCTTTACAAAAATAACTGCTTGTAATAACCAAATAATGGTGTTTATTGTGATAAAAATAACATTTGTAAGGATTGTGATAAAAATTGTTTTAATTGCTCTCAAACTGCTAACTAATGCACTGAGTGCTCTTAAGGATAATTTTTATATGATAACAAGTGTTATCCTGATTAACCATAAGGAACATCTTGCAGTGAAATCAATAATAACATCAAAGATACATTTTAAAATTGTTAAGTCTGTAAAGCAAGTAATTGTCTAACCTGTAATAAATCTGCAGAAAAATGTGATATTTGTATTGAAGGATCAGTATTAGATTCTAACAGTTCATCGTGTATTTGCCCAGAAGGTCATTACTTATAAAAAGAGACATAGAAAAATTAATGCCTTGCATGTAAGTAGTAGAACTGCTCTTAATGTAATAATAATTATTGCATTAAATGTCAAAGTGGTTATAAATAAAATGATTTAGGACAATGTGTTTATTGCGATAATAAAATGTTTGCAAATACATTAGGTATTTGCAATTTGCCATGCAAAGAAGGTTGTAAAGTATGTACATCCTAGGACAATTGTGTTAAGCAAGACGATACCTTTAAAAATTGTGATGTAAGTTGTCAAACTTGTACAGGTCCAAGTGCATCATAATGTGCTTCTTGTTCCTCTAATACTAGGTTATTTGACCCAATAAATAATACATGCAAATGCGTCCCTAATTTTGAAGAGAATGGTTAGGCTGACTGTTAGTATGTTTACTAGGTACCAAAATAAATAGTAAATGCATAGTCAGCAGTTGGAGTAGCTCAATTTTCAATTACAGCTTTCACCACTGTGACAAACTTTATCCCAGGAATTTCTTATTCTCTAGGTTTGATGCAATTGTTAGGAAATTTCTATATAAGGCAAGATCAGACCTACAGCTCTCAAGCTTCTGTATTAAGCTCGTATACAAAATACAACTTGAATTCGCTTTTTCAGCAGAAATTATTATATCCATCTTCATCTTCTGATACAAATTAAAAAGTCAATAGAATTCTTGAGTAAAGCTCAAATAAAAGCATATATCCTATAAATGATTCAGAAAAGGCATTAATGCTAGCAGATAGAATATTCTTTGCTTCAAACAGTATTATCACACTTAGTCTAATTGTATTAATTTTTTTGGTAGCTTAGGCATTCCACTAATACCAGATTAGAACAAAAGAGCATTTTAAATACATGAATATCATTAGATGGAATTTAGTCCTATTTTTGATTTAAATTAGCTCTAATTTCATGCTAATAACTTTGTTTTAATGCTAAATAGCTGAACAAAGAATGATAGATTGGGCTTTTATTGGAATATTCTTAATATTATATAGCTTTTTCATCGGATACTCGTTTATGAGAGTATATAGAAATGACCATTAAGACTCAGCTGTTTCTATTTTAAGCAGTGGAATTAACTAAGAACATAAATTCTCTAGGTTCTATTTTGTTATTTTTGAAGCGAGAAAGCTGATTTACTGTATCATAATTACTGGAAGCAAGTAGCACCTTAACTATGCTATTTGGTCTATTTGTGCATCATAAGTTGTATTTATTTACATTGCTTACAAATAATAAATATTCATTAATAAGCTTAGTAATAATGTTCTAATATCATCTGAGGTTATTTTCTTGTCTATCGTTTCTGTTTTAGGAGTTATGATCAACATGAGTGACATTTCTATCCAAAAAACTTTAGCAACAATAATTGTAGTTCTAATGATGATTTATTCAGTAATAACTATATCTGTCTTAATTTATGTTTTAGTATAGCTAGTGAGAAGAAAATGTGGTAGAAGAGAAGATTTGATCTAAAGCACTGAACTTACTAAACTTTCTGCAAAAATATAGCTTTTGAATAAAAGCTTTGAAAAGAATTAAAAGATAAAATGGAGTATGAACCCATTGTAAAAAAGAAAAACAGATGAGAACTGCAATATTAGCAGTATTTTAGATTAATCTATATCTAATAAGTAAATAAAAGTGTTAAAAATTTGATTGTTAGTTATTTTATATAGAATATCTTTTGTAACAAATTTTATTTTATTAATAAATCTATTTTTATAAAATTATATTTTCTTCATAATTATATACTCTAAATCCTCATTAATTAACAGCCGTTTAAATTATGGGCCAAAAAAAAATTTTTTATGGATTTTAGTTTTAAAAAAAACTTTTTTGAAAATTATTTTCATAACTTAAATAAAATTTTTTCAATTTAGTTTTAACAATTTTATAAAAGTATTGCTTTTATAACTTATTTGAATATTTTTTTTATAAAGATTAGTTTTTCTTGAATAATTAAAATAAAATTAGCTTTATTTATTTTAAAGTGATGCAATTTGATAAGGATTTCTAAATAAATTTAAAAATAGAATAACGTTTAGAAATATATTTTTAAAATGTTTGTTAACTAAATAGATAAAAAATATAAATATGGTTTTAATTAGAAATAAGTGAGTTAATTAATAGTTTATTAGTTTTATTCATTTGAGAGTATCTTTTTTAGAGCTAATATGATTACAAACTTTTTTACCTCTAAAAGCAACTTCGAAAATACCATAACAAGCAACAAGACCAGAAGCAATTTAAGTAAAAGGAGTTATGATGATGTGAATTAATGTTAAGATAATGTTAAAGCTCTCTTTTGGTCTAATTGGGTCTAATATGTATTGAGATGCTCCATTTATGGTAAACATTAATATAAATATGACATATTAGAAACCAAGAGGTCCTATACTTAAGTAGAATTCAAGATCTGAAAGCTCATCTGACTTTAAAACAGTAAAGCAAACTGCACAACTTATTGTAAAAAAGTTTTATGCTATCAAAAAGACAGAGTAATAATTGAAATATAAGAATCCCCAAACAGTAAATTTTAAATTAGGTTAGATATGCTTAGATTTTACAACGTAATAGTGAAAAACTTCTGCCGTTCCGATTGTCCATCTTTTAATCTATCTTGCCCACTCAACTAACTCTTCATAAAAGGAATTACCCGTTGTAGGACCTGAAATGGCTGCTGTGTATAATTACTTTATTTTAATTGGCTTTTTCTTCTTTATAAACCATCTTATCTAGCAAATAACATCATCCATCTGATATGTTGGGTGAGTGTATCCACCAGTAACACATAATTTTAGAGAAAAAGAAAATATTCCCATAACATTAATTTAAAAAGGAATTAAAGCTCCCATCATTAACATATTTCTAACCAAAGAAATAATTCTAACAAAAAATCTTCTTGCTTTTAAGTCCCAATTATAGTAAATAACAGGTTACCATACAATTTCATGAATATCTTCAGGTTTTTTGCAAGTTTTTTCCATTTAGCTCTCTAGCACTCTCAAATAGTTCTTTTAAAATCTGCTGTCTGTGTCGAAATTAGTTACCATATACTCCTCAATATTGAAATTTTCTCTTGTTTATTCTAAATAAGCCACCAATTTTCTTTGAAGGTAATTACTGTTAGAGCACTTTCCAGGAATTTCTCCTTCAGTTCCATATGGATGAATAGTTATTATAAACTCCTCAAAAGACTCAGAAAACTATTCATTCAAGTACTTAATTTTGTTATCTATATCAGGTGATCTTTCTTCAAAACCAACAGAAACAATAAATTAATTAGATCCTTCCATTTCTCTCAAGTTAAACAATGTGTTAGAAAGTAACTCAATAGGTTCTTTATAAATAAATGTCATCATAATTTATTTATATCTATACTTTTATTCTGTTTAATCTATTATTGTATTGTTTTCACTATCTATCAAATTAGTATGAGTAGAATTTATATCTTCATTTTCGTGTTTTTATTGTTTTTATCCTTTCTTCATTTACTTTTTAAATGCTCTCATAAGTCTAATTGTATTGATTAAGTATACCATAAAGTATATTAACCATTAAAAGGCAAAGTAATATCCGATCCCTATAGAGTAAATAACAGGGACAAAGAAGGGTATTATAATAAAACCAATCACAGAAATATTCATCAAAAGGTTAAACCTAAGTCTTCCATTGCAAAAACCCGATTTTGGGAATTTTGTCTTTTCAGGTAATGGATCAGAAATAATGACTATCTGTTTCTTCTACGATTCTTAATCTTTTGCCATATTGAAATAAATTAAATTTTTTATAATGTATAATTAATTTATAAAAGCTTAGCAATTAAAGGTTTTAAATACCCATTCCTATTAGAATAAGTGCCAATATAAAAATAATAAAAGAAAATAAAAGTAAAGAAAGACGCGTAAATCTTATTTTTAATTAAATAATCAAAATTAGATTATTCAAATTAAAAAAAACAAACAATTTAATAAAAAATATTTTCTCAACTCAGATATCACTTAAAATTTAAAGAATTTATTTTTAATTAGAAAAAATAATTTTAAAATAATTAAAAAGCCAAACTTAAAAATAGTAAATAATTTTTTTTTATGAATATTTATTCTAAAAATTTTAATTTCTTTTTTTTTTCTAATTAATTAATTTTGTCTCTACTTTTCATGTTTACTTTTCAATTAATTAATATATTCATTTATTTACCTTTCTTTACATTTATTAAATTGTAAATTCTTTTATTCATAAATGCTTTCATTCCTTTGATAATTCTTTTATCTTTGTTACAAAAATTTATATTAAAGTTAATATTTTTTTTATTTCATAATAGACAAACTGCCAGCATATAATTAAATATTATTGCAATTTCATCCTCTTTTGAAATTATTTTTTATTCAACAATCTCTTCCAAATCAACAGAATTAAGTTGAAGAATATTAAAAAAATAAAATATAAAAATGTTTTTAATTATAATTTTAGTTATTTCAAAAAAATTAATCTTAGCAATTTTATCTGTCTTTTTTAATTTTCTGCCAATACTCAACAAATAGCATCATGATATTTCAAATTTAAATTATTTATAAGAAAAACACCGTCTATTATATTACGCAATTATATGATATATCAATATTAGATGTCAATAATCTAAAGTACAGCCAAATTCTAATTTAAATTCTTAATTAAATATATATTTATAAATTTTTTAAATTAAAAATAGATTTAAATTAGATTAAAAATTAATTGTGATATTTATTTTAATTACTATTACAAATAATGACCAACATACATTTGTAAATTTAACTTTTTCATAAAAATTTTGGAAATTAATATATTTCTTCAGAAAACAGTGTTAATATCATGGCTTACGAATTAGAGGAATAATAGTATTCCATAATTAGTTTAAAGCCTTTTATGCATTTCATAATTTATATTAAATTTATTATTAAAAAGTGTAATAAAAATAGTTAATTTTTGTCTTTACTAAAATAATAATATATGAAATTAGCTCTATAACTTATTAGAAATATTGATACTACAAAATCTTAAATAATAAAACTGATAAAATACTTTTTTTTAGAAACTCTATTTTATTTATCTATCTTAGTTATTTCTTATCCAAAATAATTTTTATAAACTTTTATTATTTCAAGCTAATAATTTTATAAAATAATTGAAACTTAAGGTTTTAAATTTAAAAACCTGATACTTTATTTATCAGTTAAAAGATTTGTTTATTTAATTAATTAAATCTTAAAAAATTAGTAGCCTTTAAATGGTGAATATTTTAAGAGTTTATTAGTTTCTTTTTATTTAAAGAAATATAGCAATTTGTAGAATAAAATATTAGAAAATGAGTAATTTTTGTATTAAATAAAAAAAATTTTTTTTTACTAAATTAGACATTTGTTAAGATTTATTACAAATACTTTGAAAATAAAATAAAATTTTTATAAATTTTTTTGTTTATCTCTAAATTTTACTAAGATAAATTATAATACTTTATTTTGATAAATATTGCAAATAATACAAATTTATAAATAATTAGTAGATCAAAATAGTTTATAAATATTTTTTTAATAATAGTAAAATATGCTTGTTTATATTGGAAATTTCATTTTAACTCTTCCTTTTTGGAGGCTATATGGTTGCAAGCCTTTTTCCCTTTATATATAACTTCGAAAAGACCATAAAAAGCTATCATTGAATAGACGATAAGCGTAAGTGGGGAAAATATGATATGAAGCAATGTTAAAAAAAAGTTAAACTTTTCTTTTTCTCTGATTGGATCAAGTAGATATTAAGATGCACCATTTACAATAAACATCAAGATGTAAATTAAATATTAAAATCCAAGAGTTCCTACACTAATATAAAATTTATATCCAACAAGTTCGTCTTGATTAAATACGGTAAAAGCTACTGCACAGCTGATAGTAAAGAAGCTTTATCCTATCATAAATAAAGCGTAGTAATTGAAATACGATAAACCCCAAAGAGTATATTTGAAACTTGGTTAAGTCCTTTTAGAATGAACAATAAAATAATGGAAAACTTCAGCGCTTCCTATTGTCCATCTTTTTAATTATGTTGCCCATTCATAAACCTCTTCAAAAAATGTATGCCCTGAGGTAGGTCCTGAAAGAGTTGGACTGAAAACTGGTTTAATTTTAATTTTCTTTTTTTTCTTAATGAACCATCTTATAAAGCAAATGATATCTTCCATTTAATAAGCTGGATGAGTATACCCTCCATCAACACATAGTTTAAGAGAAAAAGTAAATATACTCATGACATTTATTTAAAATGGAATTAATGCTCCCATCATAAGCATATTTCTAAGTAAAGAGGTTATCCTTACAAAAAATGTTCTTGAATTCAAATTCCAATTATAGTAAAGTACTGGTTACCAAACGATTCCATGAATATCTTCAGGTTTTTTACATTTTTTTTTAATTTATTGCTCAAGCATTTGCAAGTAGTTTTTCTAAAATCTTGTATCAGTGTCAAAATTAGTCAGCATATAGTCATTGATATCAAAGTTTGTTCTTGTTTTTTCTAAGTGAATAACAAGCTATCTTTAAACATAGTTGCAATTAGAGCATTTTCCAGGTATTTCACCTTCAACTCCAAATGGATGAATAGTTATGATAAGTTCTTCAAATACTTTGGAAAACCTTTACTTTAATTAATTAATTTTTTCTTCTTTATCAGGAGTTCTCTCTTCAAAGCCAACTGCTACAATTATTTGGTTGGATCCATACATTTCTTTTAAGTTATCTAAAGTGTTTGAAAGTAGCTCTATTGGCTCTTTGTATATAAATGTCATCATGATAAATTTATATTTATATTTTTACTGATTTTATTCTATTAATGTGTTACTTGTTTCACTCTCTAATAAATTGGTATTGTTTGAGTTGATTTCAAGATTTTCTATTTTATCTTTCTACTTATCCTTTATTCTTTTTTTTTATTTATTTGCATTCATGATCCTTATAGTATTGATGAAGTAAAGTAAAAAGAACACAAACCATTAAAGCGAAAAATAGCACTATATCCCTATTGAATAAATCACTGGCACAAAGAATGGTACTACTATTAAACCACATATTACTATATTCATCAAAAGATTATATCTCAATCTTCCATTACAAAATCCTGACTTAGGGAATTTTGTCTTTTCAGGTAAAGGATCTGAAATGATAATAACTGAATTATCTTGTTCTTCTAAATCCTTTGTCATTACTGCCAATATATTTTACATTTATTGCTTTTTATTGAATGCAATTTAATTATAAGTCCGAATCTTTATCAGTCATCCCTTTATATGCTCTACATTACTTTAAAAAAGGTTTTTATAATATAGACTACAAAACTTAAATATAAAAGAAAATCAAATTTGTTTTAAATTCTCAAAAAAGCACAGAATTCAAATATACAATATAAAATCAATACATAAAAGATTTTCTTCAAAAAAACTAAACTTAAAATATAAAATTTTAAATTAATACAGTTAAAAAACTTTAGTTATTTAAAAGAATATAAATTTTTATTGAAGGCGTTAATTAAAAGAATGAGGTACATTTTATATAATTTTGTGGCAAGATAACAAAAAATTTTAGGTATATTTTTTAAGAAATATTCTTTGAAATTTCTTCTTGGGTTTTAATATAAAAGGTAAAAATACAAATTCTTTTACAAATAAATATATTGAATTACCATAATTATTTTCTTATTTGTGAATTCAAAATTTTCGTTGAATTTATTAATATTATTATTAGAAAGCTAATAGAAAGAAACTAAATAAGATTTATGTCAAAATAAACTAATTAGATTTTCTCATTTCTTATCAAAGAATGGTAAGACTTTAATTTATTTAAGAGAGGCTTTAAAATAATTTAAAATAATGAAATCTGATTTAATAATAAAAACAGTTTTTTCTATATATAATATCTTTTCTATATTCAGAGGTGAAAAACTAATCAAGTTAATATCATTTTTTAAATGGCCCTTACTTTCTTATTTAGTTTTTTTTAATTTAGAAGTAATTTAATCATAAAAACCTTTCTCAATGTTATCAAAATCAAGTAACTAAGAAAATAAAATATTAACTATGTTAATTTATATCTTACTACTACATCTTTTTGTTGTATTTAACCAATATCTAAAAAACCCTTTTATTATCTCTCAATAGAAAATCTTTCAAAAATAGATAATCAGAAATTGTTAATTTTGTTTAAGATATTTATTTTAATTCATTAAAGAAATTTTAAAAAAAAGCAGATTAGTTTTTAATCAAGATTTAAAAAGGTGATTTATTATTTTTGTTAATTAAACAATAGATCATATTTTCTAATTTTATCATTATTTGACTCAAAAATATATATAGTTTCTAATATTTTCTTTTGATCAATAATTAAATGCTTCTAATTTTTACAAAGATAATTTTATCTTTCTTTTGAGATCAGGTTAGCATAAGAAATTTGATAAGAAGATTATAAATATATTCTAGCAGAAGTATGATATATAAAGTAAGTATCTTTCATCTTTTCAATATTTTTGTTTTTTATAGATTTATTATTAACTAAAACGGTTAATTCAAAAATAATTTTCACCATTTCACAAAATCTTCATTTTAATCAATAAAAAAAATATTTTTTTTTTAATTTTACTTAAAAAATGTAAAGTATTTCTTATTAATTTGTTAAATACTTAAATATTCTTATTTTATTCTTTCGAACTTCTTTTTATTTTCTATAGAAATAAGTTTTTGATCAGACTTAAACAAAAAAATAATTCATTTATTAAAAAATTTGATATCTAAAGATTATTTATCACTAAAGCCATAAGCATCAAATTCTTTTTTTGTTTTATTTATTAAAAAAATTTAGGATAAAAAATGTTATTATGAAAGATAGGATTTTTCTTTTATATTTAGCATTTACAAACATTTGCTAAATTTATTCAACTTATAATTTTTCTTTAATTTTAATGAATGTTTAATAATGTTTCGTTAATATTTTAATGTTACATTTTGATAATAAGAAGTTAACTCTTATTTCTTTTATTGAAAATAAATATAGAATGTTATAATATTTAATAAAATGAATCCTTCCTGAAAAATATATACTGAAAAATTTGATATCTAAAGATTATTTATCACTAAAGCTATAAGCATCCAATTCTTTTTTTGTTTTATTTGTTAAAAAAAAAAATTAGGATAAAAGATGTTATTATGAAGGATAAGAGTTTCTTTTTTATTTAACATCAACAAGCATTTGTTAAATTTTATTAAATTATAATTTTTGTTTAATTTTAAAGAATTTTGAATAATGTTTCGTTCATGTTTTAATGTTACATTTTAATAATAAGAAGTTAACTCTTATTTCTTTTATTGAAAATAAATATAGATTGTTATAATATTTAATAAAATGAATCCTTTCTAAAAAATAAATTCAAATAATTATCTAAAATTGCTACGTCCTCATTAAAATAAAATTTATTTACTGCAAAGAAGACAATATTATGAACATTATTTTTTCTTATAAAATTTTTTTCTTGTTTACAAAAAGTAAATACTTTAATCTAAAAATTAATAAAATATTAATATACCAATTAAATAATAATTAATTTATAGTGTTTTCCTTTAATAAGTGATTATTGTCAAAACTTAAACAGTAATTTTTTTTCACCTTAATAAAACTAAGTTATAAAAAAATAAACGGAGTTTGAGAAATCTTAATTTTGTGCTAGAATTTTTAAATCAAGTCTAGATTTTCACTAGAATTTCGTATCTAAATCTATTATTAGATGATTTCTTTTGTTATTTTAATTTTAAAATGTGTAAAGTAGAAATATTTATCTACAAAGATATAATTACTAAACTATTTTATTTCTTTTTTTTTAAACAACAATATAAATAAATATATTTAAAATTTTCCTTAAGAATAAATATAATTTTAGAAATCTCATTTTTCATTTTTTAATAAAATATAATTTTTGAGTTTTTTTTGTTAATACGAATAAATATGTTAATAAAATAAGAATAATTAAAATATATTCTATTATTTAAATTTTTGTTTAAATCAAAAATTTCTATCCAAGAGTTTGTATTTAGCATGATTAACTCAGTTTTAAAGGGTGACATGCTTGAAAGGTTTTTTATTTATACAATTAAAGACATGTAAAAATATGAAAATTCTTATTTAAGTTAAAATGAATAGAAAATTTCAACTAATTTTAATAATTGTTTGTCAAAAATTTTTACCATGGTACCTTATTCATTTTTATTTGAATTAAATAAAAAAAAGCAAGTTTTAATATAACGTATTGTTAATAAATTAGTGTTAATATTATATTAAATATTTTAATAAAAAAAAAAATAGATGTTTTTCATTTTAAATATTACTAAAAAAATATTTTTAGTGATTTTTAGTTTTAATTATTCGATTCAGTAAATTATTTTCTATATATATTGAAGAATATAATTCTAAAATGTTTAAATTATATTAGAAATAAGTCGTTTAATTAGATAATATCATAACCGTCTAAAAATATTTATAGCTAATTTACATAAATCATAAATCTCCTCTGGATTTTTTATTAATTTATTATCAATCAAGTAATTTAAAATACATGTTAAAAAAAAAATCAAGTGCAAATTTAACACAAAAATTTGCTTCGTTAAATATAAATTTATCACAGCTTTTGATGAAAAATATTTTTAAAAATATCAATTAATTTTACCATTAAATCTTATGAAATATTTTAATTTTTTTATATAATATAAAAGATTAACACTAAAATTCTAAAAAATTAACTTCTAAAGTTTTGAATTTAAATTACAGTTTAATAAAATATATCTGATCGTATATGAAAGTCAACCAATCAAGCAAGATTTATTTCATAAAAAATTTAAAGCCATTATATAGTATTATAACCAGGATAGATAAAAAATTAAAAGATGTTCAAAAGTATTAAATTATTTATATTATTTTTTTAAAGTAATGAATACTTTTATTTTTAGTTTAATAATTAATTTTAAATGTTTTTTATGATATAATTATTATAAACAAAATAAATTCTTTTTTAATTTTGTGCTAGATAAGTGTCTTTAAAATATATTAAATTTGATAAAATAGTATTAATTAATTCTTAAAAAAATAATTCATATTTTTAATTTGAAATAATTATTTTAAATTAAAGGAAAATTTAATAATTTTCATTAGAAATACACTTCTATTAAAATATATTCAGAAAATATTAAATAACGCTATTGCTTTATTAGTTTTACTTGTTATTATTGAATAAATGCTTGAATAAAATGATATAAATTAATTAGATTTTAATAAAATATATATTGCTTACAAAACAAAAAAGGGCAAATAGCTTTTGATGATAAAATTTTAGATTACATCTATCTAAACTAAGGAAATATTATATAGCGTCATAATTGTCATCTTTCGATCAATAATACCTCTAGTTTTTAATTGATAATAATTATTAAGGAAAACATTAATTTTTTAAAAATATACCCTAATAATATCACTAGCATCATATAAGTCCATCAAAAGGAAAAATAATTTCAAAATACCACTATTTGTTACATATAACCACCCTCAAAAATTAAAATCATAATTTTTTACAAAATATTTAAGGTATTTATATTCATCAATATAATATTTTGAAATAAATAATATTATATTTCAATAGAGCTTGAAATCACAATAGAAGTATAATTGTAAACAAATAAAGTTACTTTGAAGTATGTCTTCTATTACCTATATTTTAATGTAATTTTTTTTAATTTGATTAATGTAAGTGTATTAATAATAAGTATCATAAAAATAAATGAATTTTTAATAAAATTTAATGATTATTCATTTTCTTATAAAGTTAAAATATTTTATGCGTTTTTTAATAAACATATTTAGAATAACTTTGAATAAAATATATTTTTTTCAAAGAAATGCTAAAAAAAACAAATAAAAAATGATGTAATTCAAATTTTTATAAAAGAATTATTTTCTTTAAAACCCTTGCTTTTTCCACAAATCAAATATAAAAATTGTAATAAATTAGTTAATTAGTAATTTATTTCAAAGTATTGCAAATTCTGGATTACAATTTATTTTTCCTTAAACAGATTATTGTTCATTTGTTTATAAATTTATTTATTTCCTTTTTTTAAATAATAACATATTTAGAAATTTGTTTGATATACTTGCTTGACTCTTTTACAATTATTTACTTTATCTTTCTTTCAATATTAATAGAAACTTTACTAATTCATTAATTAAAAAATATCTCTTTCTCAACAAAATAATATTTTGTAAAACAAAAAACTGCTTTTTTTAAAACCATAATGAAGCTAAAAACATATTCGCTATTGCTGTTTTATTTTATTTTTAGTATTTTAGTCTAAAACACTGTGTAATAACAAAATATTACTCAATCAGACAGAATTTTCATAAAATAAGAATAGTAAGTATGGTAGAAAACTTAAATTAATCCATATAAATATTAAGATTTTAGTGTGGATCTTTCTTTTGGAAAATTCTAAAAAACACCTAAAGTGGTTTATGGTTTGACAGTTTATAATAGTGATTATTCTAGCAATTAAGGGTTTCTATTATAGACAAATTCTGTAAATTAAACATCTTTAAGCTATCGTTTGCAATCTGAAGGTTGTACTTTGGTGTAATTAGGTTTTAATATTCTGGCTATCGATGACCCTAATGTTGAAGTATAATAAAAAATATTATAATCTGGAGTAACTACTATAATTAATGGAACATAAAGTATTTAACAAATTGCAGGATTTATATACGGTTTTTAAGGAAACAGCTAGGATTAGTTGGTTTTAAAGTATTCTCTAACTAAAATTGATAGTATGAGCTATAAAATATAATTTAGCAATTAAAATATTTAAACTGTTTATATGAATTTCCTTATTATCTATCAAAATTCTTCGCCTGATATATTCTAATAGCTATATGCATACTAATCAACTTTTGATTCTTAAAGTCATTATCTTGGTGGTAGTGATACTTAAGTATGGACATCTAGTACTTTTATTGACTATTCATAAATATTTTTTGGATTAAAAGACTTTGGTTTAACCTCTGGTGGTTGTATTTTATGTGATTATTATTTTGGTGTAAAAATATAGAGTTTATAAAATCAAATTCCTGAGGCTTAAAATAAGCAAGTTCAACTCTAATATTTTTCTTGGTAAGGTTATTCTGTAGACATGATAAATGGAATTTGGATAGGTTTATCTCTTTTTTAATGTTAAACTAATTATACATTATTTATTAATTCAACATATTATAGTTGCGTCAAATCTTGCAATACAATAGATCATCATTATAATACAAATCCATCAAATACTCATACTTTATACTCAACAACTATATCTTACTGCTAACAATGTGACCCTAATTGCTATGGATGCTAAGATGGTAATCCTAGTTCTTGCACAGACTGTTATAATAATTAATATCTTAATCCAAATACTAATTCTTGCGATTAAACCCCACCTCCTAATACTTTTTGTTAAATTACAATAATTTAAGATTAAAGCTATTATAACTGTTAAAAATGCGATTCTACTTGTTAATAGTGTAGTGCAGCTGCAGATCCTAATTCTTGTCTTTCTTGTGACACAACTTCTTAAAATAAATATTTTTATAATAATAAATGTTATAATTCATAGCCAGATTAAACATTTTGTGATTCTAACTTTATTTGCTAAACATGTGATTAAACTTGTGGTTAATGTTAAGCACCTGGAAACGCTAATTCATGCACATCCTGTAATGTAAATTCTGCAAATAAATATTTTTATAATAATTAGTGCTTAAGCTAACAACCTCCTGGAACATATTGCGATAATAAATAAATTTGTTACTAATGTGATTCTAATTGCAAGACTTGTGCTAATTCTGCTAAATAATGTACAAGCTGCTAAAATGATTTTTATTTATACAAAGGTAATTATTTTTTTATTTATTGTAAAAATTTTTAAATTATATTTCCAGAAATAGTTTTAATATTTTATGATTTTGATGTTACTAAAATAATTTTTTTTAGTTTATTAAACTTTTTTAAATATTAAAAATGTTTATTTGATTAATGAATATTTAATATTTTTATTAATTTATAGAAATTTGCTATGAATAATAACCAAAATAAACTTACTGTTAAAAGTAACAATCATATTATTCTTGTTAAGATTGCTTTAAAAACTGTTAATCTTGTAGTGGAGTTTTAGAAACGAATTGCATTTAATGTTTAAGTAATTACTACTTTTTAATGAACTCTTGCTTTCAAATCTAACCTGGTTAAACCTATTGCGATTCTTAGAGCTTAATTTGTCAGTTGTGTTCTAATAAAAATTGTTTAACTTGTGATAAATCTCTTAGTTAATGCATATCATGCCCACAAAGTTATTATCTATATAAAGGAGATTGCTATTAGTAAATTCCAAAAAATAATGGAATTTTCTGTAATGAATAAAAAATTTGCATAGATTGCAATTAAAATTGCTTTAATTGCTCTAAAGAAATATAAAAATGCACTGAATGTTCAGCAAGTTAATATTTATATAATAATTAGTGCTATCAATCTTAACTCCAAGGAACTTCTTGTATTTAAAAAAATAATACCAGTCTTCAACCTTTCTCAGATTGCACCTTGTGCTAAGCAAATAACTGTAATACGTGTAATTAACAAAAAAACAAATGTGATTCATGTATAAACGGTGCTAATTATGATTAGTAGTAATTATCTTGCCAGTGTCCTGAAGACTATTACGTTTAAACTGATTAAATGGCTAATCTAAAAATTTGCAGCAAGTGTCTTGAGGATAATTGTTCTTAATGCAATGAAATTAGCTGTATAAAATGTTTAAGTGGATACTTCTTAAATAGTTAAGGTTAGTGCACATACTGTTAAAATGGCATGTATTCAGATACATCAAACAATTGTAATTAACCATGCTAAAATGGATGCTAGCTATGCACTTCTTTAAAGAATTGTTTTTAGTTTGAACCATGTGATGTCAGCTGTTAGATTTGTAAGGGACCAACAAAAAACGATTGCTTATCTTGCTCATCCCCAACTAGGATATATGATCCAGTGAATAATACATGTGATTGCTAAGAATATTTTGAGTCGAACGGAACATCATAATGTTAATATATTTACTAAATCGAACAATAATTAGCAAAAGCTTAATACGTTTTGAACATATCTTAACTATCTTTGATGATTGCATCTACAGTAACTAACTTTATTCCTGGAATGCTATACTCTATAAATTTGATCTAGCTGATTGGAAACTTCTATTTTACGATAAATAAATAGTTTGACTCTTCAACTTCAATTTTTAGCTCTTATACAATTTACAACATATTTTCTTTAATCGAGCGATAAGTATAAACATCAAATAATCAACCTACATAGAATTAAAATATGAGATTGTTATAATAAGTTCCAGGATTTTTATACCCTGCTTATTAATAAAATTTAATAATAATTGAAAGTAAGTATTATTTCTCATAAAATAGCTTCTTTTAAATTTGCATAATAATCTTGTTATTCTTAGTGGCCTTCTCCTTCCATCTTTATTAGATTAAAACTAAGGAAAATTTTAAGTATATTAATTTATTGAGATGGAACTTAGTTTTAATAGTGATTTAATTAAGCTCAAATAGTTTGTTGATTTCTCTAATTTAATGTGATTTTGCTGACTAAAAAGTAATAGACTTGGTATTTATTGGCCTATTTATTGCTATTTATATATTCTTTTTAGCTTATGCCATTCTAAAAGCCAAAAAAATTTAATCAAACAACCCTGAAGTAGAAATTTTAAGCAATAACATCAAATAAAATTTTAGATTTAATTAATATTTTTTTGCTATTTTTGAAATGAGAAAGATTTTTTATTGTATAATTGTTGTTCTCAGTGCTTCTCATCTGATTTACACAATATGGATAATATGCTTTTTCTAGATTATTTAAATTATATTGTGCTATAAATTGAAAGTATTCATTCATAAATTCAGTAATTATTACCTTATGTAGACAGAATTTTTCACTCTTATTCTAATTTCAATGTTAGGAGTAATAATTAATATGAATGATAAAGATAAGATTAAAATCTTTGGAACAATTTTAATAGTGGTAATGATTTTCTTTTAAGCTGCATCAATATCATCTATTATTTACTCCTTATTTGTATAGTTACATAATAAATTCTATAAAAAAAACAATTAAAGCTATATATTAGAAGCTATCAACCAAACCCCTAAGACCCTCATTTTAGAAAATTCATTTGAAATAAAATGGAATGAAAACCCACTTAGTAAAAAATTCAATCAAACTATGACTTCAAGCTCTTAAGTGAAGAACCTTAAAAAGACAAAATAATTTTGAATTTCTAAATTTCTGCTAAAACAAAATTAATTAAAATATAAAACCTTTACTGTTTGTTTTAAACTAAATCCACACACAAACACAAAACGAAACATTTATATAAATTTAACATATTTCTAATATCAATATCCTTTATATTTAATAACTTTAAAAGATTTTTAAAATAATAATTCGTATTTATGTAAATCTTCTACTTTTATTCAATTCTGTTTGTGTTATGATTTAGAAATATAGATAGATAAATATATTCTAACACTAATAAATATATAAGAAGTATATACCTAATAGTTTCAGATTTTTACATATTAGATTGATAAATATATTTAATAAAGTAAACTAGAGTAATTATATAATTTTTTTCATAATATATTTTGGTAATAGCATTTAAAAAGTATTCAAATTACAGTATTTGAAATCAACCATTCTAAAGCCTCATATAACCCTTCTCCAGAAAAACAATTAGTGTATATTAATTTGTAATTAACTTTATCTGTAAATCGATTAATATCTATATAATCTAAAATTTATGAATCATTATATTTACAGATATCTTTTTTATTAGCTAAAATAAGAGTTGAAATTTTTTTAAGTGCATTTTACTCATTTATTTAAAAGAGGTTATCATGTAAGTAGTTTTAAATATAATTCTCTTATTCCAATTATGATGAATCTACTAAAACAACAATTGCATCGCCTTTCTACCAATAGACAGAAAACAAATACTACTCTACTACAAGAGGGTAAGACCAAATCTAAAATTAACAATTTTAATACTAAAATTCATCATACTCACAAAAATTTATTGTGTAATTAGATTTATCAAGTATTCTTCCAGTTCTCCATTTATTAGTTAATGTAAATTTACCAACATTTTTTAAACCTAATAAATGAACCCTAATTATTCTTTAACATTGGCATAATTTTAAGCACTAACCCATATTTATTTTTTGTGTATTTTAGAAATAGTTGTTATCTTTCTTATTTTTTTTAAATTAATATATAATATATTCCTTTAAAAAAAATAATAAAAATTTCCTTTAAATTTAATTTATTTAGCAGAGGATCTTAGCTTCACAGTTTGAATTTTATACACTTATTCATACTAATTCCTTGTAGGAAAAATATTTAGTATTAAATTGAAAAAAATTATGTTTAATTTAATAAATTTAGATAAATAAAAGAAAATAGAAAAAAAATTTTACGAAAACAAATAATTAGAAAGCTTTCAAATTAAAATTATATTTTAGATCAAAACAAAAATAAATTTATTTATTTATTAATCTATTTCAAAATAGCAATTAACAATTGTTTTGAAACTACTCTAAATAAAATATTGTTTTTACAATTAATACAAAGAAATTTTTTTATAATCAATAAAAAGTAAATTTTTCTATCTAAAAAAACAAATATCAATTCTACTACTAAAATAAATTTATAAAAATAATTTATTAATTAATTTAAATTTATTTTATTATTGAATAATTAAAATAGATTTTAGAGGTCTTTAAAATGGTATTTAGTAATTATTTTGCATGGCTTTATTTCTAATATTATAAATGAATAAATGAAAAATAAAAATAAAAATATAGCTGTTATCATTATTTTTTTAATGTAAGTGCAAATAATTTTGTATTTTAAAAAAAATTAATTTAAATATTTGAATAGTTAATTATTTATTTTATAATTTAAAATTATTTTTTTCATTTTCATTTTAAATATATTTTATTTTTAAAGTTGAATGAATAATTAAATAAAATTTTAATAGTTATGTACATTTAATTATCAACTCAAAAAAATTTTTGCCTTTTATTGTTACCATAGGTACTCGTCTACAAGGAAGATTTTTGAATAAGGAGGAAAAATTTTTTTCCTTATAAAAATACTCTTAAGATGGTGGTGCAAAATTGGGGAGGGGGTGAGTTAATTAATTAGCATTTACAGTAAATTGATTTAAATTTTTTATTATATAAAAATAGATTTAAAATCAGAATTATGTATGTTGTTTTTTAAATAAAAATATTATAAAATTTTATTTTAAATTTTCCTATTTAAAATGAATTTAATTTGGAAGATGATAATAAAAATTAATTTTAAGATATTTGTCAATTTATTTTAAATTTATATTTTTGTAAATGCTATTGTAAAAATAAATTTATTTAAGTTATTAATTTATTAATATCAAACAAATTCAAATTTATTAAATAAGAGAGATTGTGTTTGTGATTGAATTATAATATTATTAAAACTTTATAGGTGGAGGTCGGCGGGCGATTTAACAAATAAATGAATGCTTCATTGGACATCACTATTTTTTACTTTAATAAATCACCAAATGAAAAGCTTAAGTTAATTTGACGATTTAAAAAAGTGTAATCTTATCTAAATATTATTAATTAAATGTGATTAATATGATGATGATTTGAAATATATATTACATTCTATCATTCCAAATTACATCTAATCAAAAATATTAACCTTACTTAAAATAAGCACCACAAAATTATTAATCTAATTTCTTTTATTATTTAACCATTTCATTTTCAATTTCATATAATAATATTCAATTTTCTTTGAACGAACAACTCATAATCAATAATATGTTATGCCCTTACATTTATCAAAAATATATAATAATTATTCATCATAACTTAATTTGAATATCAAGCTTTGTTGGTATTTTTATATTTATATTTACCTTATTTTATCAAATTTAGAGAGAAAAGAATTTTCATTTACTTTCAATTATTAACTTAATATTAACATGCATTTTTAAAAAGAGTAAGATAATTAGGTATGGTTTTTATATGAATATTTACATTATGTGGAGTTTTAAGCCAATATTTTAGATTTGCTATTATTTGTTCTTTTATTTTTTTGAAAAAATGGAAAATAAAAAATTTACTTTTTTTATACAAATGAGCTAACTTATCAAATTAATTACTTCATTAGCTAATAGAAAATAAATATTTAAAGAGGAAGTATAATATTTTTTAGAGCTAGAATCATTAATTATTAGATTGATAAGTATTATTAGTTTGTATTACATAAGTTTTAATTAATTACTGAAGAATTTTTTTGTTCACAAATTTTTATTGATTATATAAAAATTAAAAATTTATTAATATAAATTATTATTAATAATTTGTAAGGGCAAATGCATTTTATCAGATTTACTAGACATTCTATCTTTGAAAGTTAATTACATTCTAAATTATTGATTTAATTAAAATAAGCACTTCCGTCGTTTTGATTTTATTTAAATTTTTCACAATAAGTTACTTAGAGGTTTGCTCGCCCTCTGTCCATTAATAATACTTTTTTGATAATTAATTTATATGATAAAAATATAAATTCTACTAAAAGTTTTTTTAAATTAAAGTAAATGAGTTAAATTCACTCTACTCTTTGCACTATATTTATAATTTAAATACTCATAAAAATATCTATTTAATAATAACTCATTACGCAATCTGATAGAATTTTAATAAAATAAGAATAATAAGTATGGTAAAGTTCTTCTATTAGTCCTAATTCATATTCAGACTTTTCTGTTGATCTTTCATCAGCTAAATTTATAAATAATCCTAAAATAGTTTATGCATTGACAGTGTATAACAGCGATACCTCAAGTTAATAAGGGTTTAAAATTACAACAAATTCTATTAATCAAACAACTTTGAGTTATAGACTAACATCTTTAGGCTGTACTTTAGAATAATTAGGTTTTAATATTTTAGCGATTGATGATCCAAACATCGAAGTTCAATCTAAATAGTTATAATCTGGAGTTACTACCACAATAACAGGAACTTAAAATATTTTATAAATTGCTGGATTTATTTTTGGGTTTTAAGGATCGAGCTCAAGTAATTTGGTTTTAAAGTATTCACTTACTAAAATTGATAACATGAACTACTAAATATCATTCAGCAATTCGAATGTACAAACAATTTATATTAACTTTATAATTGTCTATAAAAGCTCTTCCACAGACATGTTTCAATAATTATATTCATATTCAACTCTTTCTGATACCCAGGGCTAAAATATTGGAGGTTCTAATACAGTAACATGGACTTCAAGTACTTAAATTGATTAATCATTAGTATTTTTTGGATTGAAAGACTTTGATATATCATCTGGAAGCTAAATTTTCTAAACATCTTATTTTGGTATTAAATTATAAAGCGGATAAAGTCCTGAGGCTAAAAATAAATCAGTTAAATTGAACTATTTCACATGGAATAATTATTATGTGAATATGGTTAATGGAATATGGATGGGTTTTTCTATTACTAAATGTTAAACAAATTACTATTTGTTTATAAATGCTACTTATTTTAGCTGCGTTTAATCTTGCAACTCGGTAGATCACCATTACAATTTAAATACATAAAATATCTATAATTTATACTCAACTTCTATAATTTATTGCTAACAGTGCAATTCTAATTGTTATGGATGCTAAGATGGTAATCCTAGCGTTTGTACAGATTGTTATAATAATTAGTATCTAAATCCCTCAACAAATACTTGTGACTCTGTACAACCTGCTAATACTTTTTGTTAACTTAAAACAGTCAGTGGATAAACTTTTTATAACTGTTAAAATTGTGATTCTACTTGTTAAACATGTAGCGCTGCTGCAAATCCAAATTCATGTACTTCTTGCAATATAAGCTCTTAAAATAAATATTTTTATAATAATTCATGCCTTTCTTCTTAACCAAATTCTACATATTGCGATAGCAATTTTATTTGTAAAAGTTGTGATTTGAGTTGTAGTCAGTGTGTAGCTCCTGGGGATGCAAATTCTTGTACCTAATGCAACATAAATTCTGCCAATAAGTATTTTTACAATAACTAGTGTTTAAATTCATAGCCTGTGGGAACGTTTTGTGATAGTAATTTCATTTGTTAGCAATGTAGTTCTAGCTGTAAAACTTGTGTAAATTCAGCCAGTAATTGCTCAAGTTGCTAAGCTGGATAGTATCTCTATAAAGGTATGAAAATAATTTACTATTAATCATTTTAGTGAAAAGATATTAAGACTTAAAATATTTGAATTTGTTTAGTTAGAACAAATTTATTATTTTTATTTATTTGTTTTGAAAAAACCTAAATTAATTTAAAGAAGAGATAAAAACTTTTAATTTAATAAAAAAAGGTCAATGCTCTATCTAGTAGCCATAATCTACATACTGTTAATAATATGTTTGCTATGATTGTCCTTCAAATTGCAGTTCTTGTACTGGACCGTTATAAACAAACTGTACATAATGTGTTAGTAATTTTTATTTCTTCAATAATTAGTGCTTTAGCTAATAACCACCAAACACATACTGCGACTAAAGTAGTTTATAATGCTAGTAATGTTAAACTTCCTGTTAACAATGCGATGTAACCTTAAATAATTGTACATCATGCTCTAATTAATATTTATACAAAGGAGTTTGCTACCCTCAAATACCTAAAAGCAACGGTATTTATTGTGATTAAACATCTCTAATTTGTGTAGATTGTGATTTAAATTGTTTTAATTGCTCAAAAAATATAAAATAATGCACAGAATGTTAATTAGGTTATTATCTATACAATAATTAATGCTTTTAATAACAGCCCTAAAATACTAACTGTTCTACTATGTAAAAAAACAGCAATTAAAATTAATTCCACTCCTGTTTAACATGCCAAGCAAAAAACTGTGATTTTTGTAATTATCAAATTACTTAATGTGATTCATGTATATCTGGTTCAGTTTATAATAAACAAAATCTATCTTGCGATTGCCCTGATGGTTATTATGTACTAACAAATTTTCCTTCAAGTTAATAAATATGCAATAAATGTTATTTTGATAACTGTTCTTAATGTAATTAAAACGGCTGTACTAAATGTTAAAATGGGTATTTTTTAAATAAGAATGGGTAATGTGTTTATTGTGAGAATAGCATGTATGTTGACTCAAATAATTAGTGCTCTTAACCTTGTAAAAAGGGATGTTTAGTTTGTTCTTCTTTGTAAAACTGTGCTTAATATTATGATAAAAGTTGTGATTTAAGTTGTCAAACTTGTACAGGACCTTCAGCAAATGAATGCCTGACTTGTTCTTCAGTGACAAGACAATTTGATTAAAATGATAACTCTTGCAAATGCTAATTAAACTTTTCAGAAAATGGGAATAAAGATTGCAAATATAATTATTAGTTAGCTCAGTAATCAGTTGAGTTATAATCAGCTTTGAATTTAGCATAAGCTGGAATTATGGTTATTACATCAGTTAGTCAGGTAATTCCAGGAATGTCTTATTCACTTGGATTAATGTAGATTCTAGGAAATGTTTATCTAAATTAAAACAAATTATTTAACTCAACCACATCAATTTTCAGTTCATTCACAATCTTCAATATCAACTCATATTTAGAATAAAAGATTTAAATATCATCTACATAAGATAATTATAATAACTAAAGGATATTACAATCAGTAGGGTCAATATACCCAACTTAATAGCAATCAAATCTAATTGTTCAAGATAAATTTTTTTTTGCAACTAATAACTTTATCTAAATTTGCATAATCTTATTAGTTTTCTTGATTGCCCTAGCATTTCACTTTTACTCAATCAAAACTAAGGAGGAGTTAAAATATATAAACTTAGTCAGATGGAATATGCTCCTATTTCTAATTCACATCAGCTCTAATTTCTTTCTGATAACATTACTTTAATGCAATCTTTATAAACAAAGAATGATAGACTTAGTTTTTATAGGAATATTTCTAGTTATGTATGCTTTCTTCTTCTTTTATACATTTGCGAAAATATATAAAAATGAGTAATTAGAACCATAAGTGGCTATATTAAGTCACGGAATTAACCAGCAATATATATATTCCAAATACTTCTTCGTTATATTTGAGATGAGAAAGATAGTTTATACAATATTTATTGTCTTTAGTGAATAGAGCTTAATATATTCTCTTTGGATACTTTGCGTCTTCTAATTAGTTTTTATTTTCATTAACTTTAAGATCAAAGTCTTCTCTGGTAAATTCAGCTATGTCTTTCTTCAGATAAACGAGATATTTTTGTTTGTATTATTCTCAATTTTAGCTGTGATGATTAATTTAAACAAGCAAAACATAATTCAAGTTTTAGGAAATGTTTTAATCCCAGTAATGATGCTACTTTCAGTGGCAACAGTGGTATAAGTTCTATTTTTTGTAGCCTTCAAATTGAGGAATTTCTATCTTCGATAGAGAGCAGAAATATAAAACAAAAATGACCGTTTAAGTATCTCTAAAATTGAACTTCTTAGATGCTCAATTTCGCTAGACTAGAAGATGATGTGGAGACATAAATCTACAACAATGAAAAACACACTAGCAATAAGATTAGTAAAGAATGTGTGATTTAAAAAAGCCTTAAAAAATATTAGATAATACCATAAGTTTTTAAAAATTTAAATTATTAGTAAAAAAATTTAGTTTAATTTATCGTTTGAAAATTTCTTTATTAAAATTAAGATTTTTACAAAATGTTATTGTTTATTTTTAAATAAAAAATCATCTCAAAGTTGAAAAAATATTATATGAAAAAAAATTATTTAAATTGAGAGAAATTTGTAAATAGCAAAATAAAACAAAATTATTTAAATTCAACTTTCAATAATTAAAAAAAAATAATGAAAGTTCTAAAAAAAGATAATAAATTTAAATTAGATAGATTTTATTATTATGTAGAGTGATGCTAATTAATTAATTGAATTGTTTTTTGCGATAAATAATAATATTAAGATATCTAAATAAATTTTTTCTAGTATTTTTAAAGACAAGATTAATTCTATAGCGCTATGAAGGGTCTAGTTGGTTTATTCATAAGTTTTATTATAATTTAAGTAAACCAAAATAGTGCGCTTTGGATTTATTTTAACATATATGTAAGCCTGAAAGAAGTTAATCTGAATACCTATATACATTAGTGTTTGATAGATAGTCACTAAAAAACACATGTAAACCTTTATAAATGGATGATTGCTAAATAATTGCTAGATAAAGTAATTTTGTGAATCTAAGATAGCAAGCATATATTAGTTACCTTATACCGATTAAGAGTAACTCGATGCTGAACAAAAACTATTGAAATAAGGTGGATAAAAATTTGATGATAAAACAAGAGCTAAATTAATAAAACTAATTGAACAAATCCAAATATTATTGATACTTCTACTATTTATTTTAATCAACATTATTTACATGTAATAATTAAGATTTTACTTAAGTTGATCAAAATTAATTTCTTTTTAATATTTTATAAATTATAATTCATTGTTATTTTTTTGACTAATCTTTTTGATATGCTTTTTGTTAACTTTAAGTTATTTGATTATCTGTTAAGTCATCTATAAATTATTAAATATTTGGGTTTAAACAGATTATTGAATAAGTATTGTATTATTAATTAACTTTGTTAATTTTCTTACTAATTGAAAGACAAATTTGTTGAGAATTTTTAAAATTGAAAAATCTTTTTAAAGTAATTTAAAAATTAATTTCATTTAGAAATAGATAAAATAGCATGCATTAAAATTAATGAATTAAATGTGTAATCAATATTAAAAATCAGATAAATTCTATTTGCTTAGATATTTCAAAAATCATAATAATATTAATTAATAGGAATTAGTTAAATTACTCATTTATAAATTGTGAATTTTAAGCACTCAAAAAAAAAGTATATTGATAGTGCGTGTATTCTTCGATAAATGCTAATAATATTAATTTGATTAGAAACAAAAATAATTAAAGGTCTTGAAAAAGAAATAAATAGTAAATCCGGGATATTTTTGTTATTTAATACCGGGATCGATATACTTGATTACATTTTTTTCTTTCAACTTTTTTCTAAACTATTCCTTATCCTTTCTTTAGTAAAAAATACTTTTGAATTAGTCCCCTCTCCCTGTCTTAATAAAAATGAATTTAAAGAAAGGAATATTAAGAAGTAAAATGATTTATAAAGAATAAAATTAAATATTTAATTAATTTTCATATTTGTCTCCAAAAATATGAAATATGAAATAATTTAAATGCCAAAAACGTAATAAAATTACATAGATCAGATAGATTTTTCTATTTGGAACAAAAGAACATTTAGTTAATTATTTTTATGATTTGTCTTTATAAATATATTTAATATAAAAAAAATTGATTAAATACAAATATTTTTTTTAATAGAATTCAAAGATTAGATTAATTTAATTAATATTGGAATGAAAATAGCTCTGGTTTTATTGCTTTGTTTGTTTTTAGTTCAAGCAAACTAGGAATCAGATAGGTGTATCAATCAATGTGTTGGACATGCATGCAAGGGTGAATAAGATTAATTTAAATGCCTTAAAGTGTTAAGCTCTGAAGTAAAGTGTTTTAAAAATAAATGTAATCCTGCTTATAAATCCGATTGTGTAAATAATTGTTGCACAAGTAAAGCGTGCAAAAATTTAATTTCTTGTGCAGAAGATTGTCCATCTTCTTAATTGGAGGAACTCCACCATATATTTCTATAAAGGAAAGGATAATATATTATGCATGATTTAACTGAGGATCAAAATAGCCAATTTAAATTAGCTGACGCAACTAATCCTCATAGAAATAACGCTTCTACTTCTAGTTCTCACTTATTCAAAGTGGTATTTCTTCTTTTAGGGTTGACCTTTATTTATTATTGAGGAAGCTTAAATTAAAAACTCTATACTATTATTGTATATTTAAATAATATGTTTAAAATATTTCATTTATTTTAGCTATTTGTTTGTTTGTACAATAATATAGATTTTTCTTTACAAACTATAAAATCAAAAGAAAGAAAGAAAGTTGTAAATGATTGATTTAAATAAATAAAAGGAATAAATAGCTCACCAAAATTTTTGAATAACTTTTTTGATAGCTTTTCATAAAATTAAGATGCAAATAAGAGCTTAAATTGCTAAATTTACATGATAATTTAAATAATTTGAAATGGTTTTTCATTCTAAAATAGAAAAGCCTATGAAATAGATATATAAAATTTAAATTATTTCTCATAGATATTTAAAAAAAGAAGCTATTTAATATTTAAATTAGAGAGTTATGTCTAATGTAATGTAGTAATAGAAGAAAAAATTAATTATAACATTTAATTTCAAGCGTCAATTAAGTTAAAACATAATATTATATTTACTAAACAATAATTCGCTGACGATTATCATCAAAAAATATTAAAAAAATAACTCTAAATAAATTTAGGTATTGTTAATAATAAATAAGCTAAATGACATAGAATAATTGAAGTATTTTTTATGTTTTTAAAAAATACAAAATAAAAATCAACATTTCAAACAAAAAATTTATTTGGTCAGTCAATTGTTAAATAAAAGTTTTAGAAATATCATTGAAATAAATATTTTAGTTATTTTTAATAATAAATAAATGAATTTGGTTTATTAATTAATTAAGGTCTATTTCTCCTTTTTAGCTTGTTCTAATGTTTTTTATAACTTAAGTAGTTAACTTAATGCTTCAAAGAAATAATATTGCCAATTAAAAAAAGCAAATAAACAAAGAAACCTTTATATGGTAGATGATTAATTAAGTGATAATTAAATTAATTATTGATGATTGAATAAGTCAATAGATTAAATTAATTAGTATTATTATTTTGATTAATCAATTGAATAAATATTTGATTGATTATTTTTTGTTTTGAGCGAATAAAAATTGTATTGATTTTAAATAAAAAGTAAAAGGAAGTTATTGCTAAGGAATTTATATATAACAAATACATACACTCACTCTTACTTATATATATATTAGTTAGATAGATAGTGACAGAGAAAAATGTCGTTCAACGATATTTATTCTGAACAGGAGTACAAGTAATCTACTAAAGTAATAACTAAAAGGTATGGTTGAAATGATAATCTTTTTTTATTAAGACAGAAGAAGAGTTAAAGCGACTGACATTAGAGGAAGACTTGGGCGAGACAAAAAGATCATTTTAAATTCTAACAAAGGGATAGCATCTTCAAAAATGGGCAGTAAATTTCTAATTTTTAAATACATTAAATCCATTTAAGGCTACGAGGCTGCTATAATGGCATAATTTTCAAAAGGCGAGCATTCTCTATTTCAAATTTTCTCATGTTTAAAATAGATTTACTCAAGATTGCATAGGATTTTGTAGGAGTAAGATGCATTTCAGATTTTGTTTCCAATTATCTCAGTAAATAAATTCATTTAAACTCTTATAATGAATGCAATCTGAAATTCAAAAAAATATTTTAAAATAGGAAGATATCTAAAACTAAGATGAAGAATTATAGATTGAAGCAGCAAATAGTTTAGTCAAAGCCTTAGAGTAGAAAGTAAATTCTTCAATTGAATTAACTTTTTTTTAAAAAAAACAATGAGTTAATTTAAGAGTCAATAATAAATTGCATAAACAGTTGCACTCAAATATAGAAAATTTTTAAACACAATGTTGGATGAAACATTTTTTTTTTGCTTCATAGAAGCTTGGAGAGTTGCTTAATAAAATTGACATAATTATAAAAAAATATAGTTTTTGGATTAGGATCAAATGAAGCAAATCTATAATCTCACTTTGATAATGTTGAAAATATGGAGTTAGCCAGTCTTAGACAGCTGGGTGCTAGTTTTTAGGGTAAAAGAAATTATATCATTTTAAGAAATTATAAAAATTTAGGATTTAATGAGGCAAATATCATAGCATTTTGCTAAAAGAATATTTAAACAAAGCACCAAGTTGATCAATCAGTCAATCAATCATTAAATTAAATAAAATAAAATAGGAATTACTTAAAATATTGCCGTATAATTTGATTGAAGATGAAACTAATAAGATTATCCTTTATCTAAGTGACTCATCTTAGCCAGCAGTTAGCAGATACATTTCAGGAAGAATGATAGGATTTGTAGCAGATGTAAGTTTTATTTCAAATAAACTTTTAAATCTTATTAAAATAAAATCTACTCGTTTGTTTTAAGCTAATTTTTAGTAAATCAAAAGCTTATTAAAATATTTTAAAGAGTCAGTTGCAAAAAATAAATAAAACTTTCTTTAATGAAAGTTTAATTAATTATCATAATAAATGCTTATTTGGATTTTGAATTTGATAATTTAAATTATTTAAATGATTTTATAAATGTAAAAAATAAATAGGTTAGAAAGGATAAAATAAAAGGAACTTTATTTGAAAGGTCAAGAATTTTATGCTTAGATCATGACATCGAAGTTAGAAAAATAATGGCTAAAGAAGTCATTTAAAAGATTTGCAAATATATAGCAACAGATTCTATTGAAATGCATTTACTTGATAAAGTATGTTATTTGTATTTCATTTAGTATAGATATTGACAGATTATTTTTAAAATAAATTATCAGATTCTCTAATTGGTTTATGACTCAGAAATTAATGTTAAGTGTGCTGGTATAGAACTAATTTTTAACATTACTCAATATCTTTCTGCAGAGGAGTAAAAAAACAGAATGTGCAAAATATTTATGGAATTATTGCAAAGTCCCAAAGAAGAAATTCAGATTTAGATGTCCAGCATGATTGGATAAATTTTTAATTAGCTTGAATAGTTTTTATGCAAAAATTAATAAAATGTTTAGGCAATAATCAATACCTTCAAAGTAATTTTATAGATAATATTAGTTTATTTATTTATTTGCTTCTTTTATATGAAAAAGGAATACGGCTCTTCAAAAAACGTGAAGCTGAGAATCAACTTTGCTTACAATTTTCCTGCTGTCCTTCATCTAACAGATTCTAAAACAACTTTTGATAAACTAAAAAATAACTATATTAATTAGATACTAAAAGATGATTCCAAAGAGGTTAGATATAAATTAATTTCTTCCTTCCATGAAGTAACTGGATTAGTTACTTATGAAGACCTCTAGAAGCATTTACTTCCAATATTTAAAGAATTAATTAAAGAAAACGATAGTGCAATTATATTGAGATTAGTTTAAAATATCGATGTAACCATTAAAAACTTTATCAGACCAGACACAAAAAAGTCTGATGACTAAGATGACCAACAAGAGGAATAAAAAAATAATGTAAATTTATTTAAATCTTAATATCTTAGTTATTAAAAGATTCATTCATTAATATTTTAGCAAGAAGATGCTTACATGACTATCTTATTACAATTCTATATAGACCAAGAGCAAAGACATTCTTGGAGAATAAAAGCCCTATTTTTAGAAAAACTACAAAAGTAAATAAAAATATTCATTTTTTTTACTAAAAAACCAATAAATTACCAAAAAAATAAATAAATAAATAAATAAATAATACAGAAAAATAGGAAAAAATAATAATTTTAGCATGCATTTAAACAAAAATATTATTCCAAACTTTAAATAGAAAAATTTATATTAAAATTTTGTATTAAAATAAAAGTTGCTTGCAGTTATTTAATATGAACAAATTTTATAAATAATTTATTCCAATGGTTTTGGAAAATTTAAGGAAGGATCCTAATGAAGTGAGATATTAGGCTGCAGGTGTATTAATTAAATTTATTTGCTCAAACCACTACATCAACAAATCAAAGGAATTAATTACTGAAATGATAAATAATTTTTTTAAGTCTAAGTCATATTAGTAAAGAATTAGTTTCATCTATTTTGTAGAATAGGCAACATAAAACTTTTCTAGAGATTATTTTAAAAAGAGCAAGCTATTTTGCGTGCTAGAGTTTGCCTCTGATCAAATACGTGAAGTAAAAATGAGATTAGCTAAGGCTCTACCAAAAATAAGATATATGCTTAATGAAGATGATGAAGAATCAGAAGATATGGTTGATAAATTTGAAAAAACAATATCTCAATTATAAAATAAAAAAGATAAAGAATTAAGTTTAGTAATTAATTATTTACCTTTTTATAATAGAATAATTTATTTTATAACCAAAAAATAAGATTTTAATTGAATTTAAGGTTTTATTTAAGAAAAAAATATCTTCTTTGTTTTGCTTGCTAACAAAATTCATTCACAAAAAATATAATTTAAGAGAAAAAATATAAAATCAGAGAGTGTTTTTGAAAGAAGAAAATAATTATTTTGTTTTGTTTTGTTAGAGAAATTGAAATAAAAAATAATTTTATTTTTAAAAATAGTAAATGGAGAAAGTGATGGAAGAAATAGACGAAATAGATTTTGAAAGTGAAGAAGTTCAAAAGTAAATTGAAAAATAGGATGAAGATAGAAAAAAGAACGAAGAGAGATTAATAGCTTTAGAATTAAAAGAAAGAGAAGAAAATAGTAAAACAAATAAAGATGACTACGATCTAATATACAGATCTGAGTTATCCAGCAACAACTTTAATCATAATTACAAAAAGAGATATTCTGCTCGTATAAATATGTCACCTAGTATAACTAATCAACCTGGTATTAAGTCAAAATTATCTCTACAATCGCATAATACTAGCTCACTTACTTCACTTAAAATCAATCACTCTAATTCAGTTATTACTAATACAACTACCACAACAACTTCTTTATATAGTTCTTCTTCTCTCAAAAAAGATTCAGGTATTACCACTACCACAACCACTTCAAGTGTAACAGCTACCACCTAAGTGTAATCTTTATTCATATTAGAATTAACTTTTAATTTTACTTTATTTATAAACTCTAAAAATATAAATCAATTACTTCAAATTATAATTTTTAAAATAACTTCTTTTTGAATTTCCCTACATTTTTCTTTCAAAATTTTTACTAATTAACTACTTTATTGTGGAGTAATTTGTTTAATAAGTTTTTATTGAAATAAGTTAAAAAAAATTAAATTATTTTTAAATAAAATTTAAAAAAAATAAAAAAATTTAAAAAGGAAAATAAAAAATATTTTATTGATTTATTTTTGTTGACTATTAAAAATTAGAAGAAAGTAATTAAAAAGAAGTAGCTTTGAGTAAAAATCATCTATCACAACTGGATCTACAACTACTACTTTACCTTCCTTAACTAAACAGCTTACAACTGGAACGAAAGTATAAACAAATAATGGCTCAGATTTTAAATCTCCAACAACTTTAAACTCAAGTGGAATCCCAAAAGGAAATTCTACAGCGACTTCTACGATTAAAAAAAAAATTTGAGAGAAAAATATTACCACTTGTTTCAATAACAAATAAATAAATAAACAAAAAAACATAATAATCAATTATTATTTGCTATTTTTTTTAGTTATTCTAACAATTTATATATACGAAAGTATCTTTCTAAATAAAAACAGATGCTATCTATCACAAGATTTATTTTTTCCTAGAAAGCTGCTTAGCAATCTATCAATCAATCAATTAAGCGAGCAAGCTAACTGACTAACAAAATAACTAAATAACCAACAAGATTATCTATCTATCTATCATTCACAACAATTGTAATAATTACTATATTTAAATTATGTAAAGATCTAAAACTCAATTCAAACAGTTTTTATTCGTAGGCAGCAGCAGTATATGTGATATTAAAATATATAATCTGTACCTAAATAAATAAATTAATTTAATTATTTTGATTATATTTCATTCATTTCTTTATTTCAAAAATATTTAATTAAACAACAAAAAATTAAATAAATTTAAAAATAAATAAATAAATAATTTATAAATTTTTATTTTAATTTTTACTCAATTCAATTAATCAAATAAATAAATATTTATATCTAGATTCAAAAAATCTTCAATTTATCAATTTCCTGTTTGCTTTTTCTAAGTATTTTGCTTAAACATGTATTATTTAAAAAGAAATCTATTGGTACAACATTTTTAGTTTTATTTAATGAATAAATAGGTTTTAAATTTAATGATTAATTCTATTTTTGATAAATTATATTTGAGGTTTATTTTTAATATTGATTTTTAAAAAGAATTTTTACTCAATTTGATTAAATTAATAAGATTTTTTAAAAAGATTGAAAAGCTCTTCAATTTATCAAATTTTTTGTTTGCTTTTTTCTCAGTATTTTGCTATATTATTCATAATTTAAAAAAAATCTATTAGATTAGACATTTTTAGTTTCTCTTAAATGAATAAATTGGTTTAATGTTAAATGATTATTTCTATTTTTGATAAATTATATTTGAGGTTTATTTTTAGATAGATGGTGCTTTGAGATGTTGATTTTTAAAAAGAATTTTTACTCAATTTGATTAAATTAATAAGATTTTTTAAAAAGATTGAAAAGCTCTTCAATTTATCAAATTTTTTGTTTGCTTTTTTCTCAGTATTTTGCTATAATACTCATAATTTAAAAAAAAAATCTATTAGATTAGACATTTTTAGTTTCTCTTAAATCAATAAATAGGTTTTAAATTTAATGATTAATTCTATTTTTGATAAATTATATTTGAGGTTTATTTTTAGTTGGTGTTTTGAGATGTTGGTTTTTAAAAAGAAAGTTGTAGGAAAGGCGAATATTAAGTAAAGCCACCAACCTTAACGTTTGCTTAACTAAAATTTGGTTTATTACATCATTTAAAGTATTCAAGAGAGATTTGTTAGATATTATAGCAATTTTAATGAAATTTCAAGTCAAAGTGACATATTAAAATTAATATCGTACTAATAAATTTTGTAGAGATAGCTTCAATTTCTTAGTAAAAATTCAAGCTTTTTACATAATTTTACCTATATTAGTGATGCTAAATTGTATGATTAATTTTTAATAATAAAATGGAAGGGAGGGTACAAAGTAGAAATGACTTAAAATATCCTCTTTTTTAATGATTAAATCAAAACATTCATATTAGCTAGATAGCTAGCTCACTTTTTTAAAATTTCATATAATTTGTTTGCAAAGGGTCTGTCTAGTCTTGCATTTTATTTTCAATAAAATATAAAAATTGCTTCTTTTGTTTGTATTTGTTAAAACTTTATAAAATTACATAATAAATAACTGCACTTTCACTTATTATTGTCTTATCTTTTTCAAATCTTAGCAAACAAAATTAGGTATTAAAAGAACAAAAATGGATTAAAACGCACAACAAAGCGTAAATTTCAATTTCTTAGTATAGCATTTATGTTAAACAGTCTTTATTTTTAACTCTTATTAAAGACTTCAGGAGCAGCAGTTAGCAATCTTCCCAACGATTACGAAGAGAGATACAGAAAATTGAAAAAGAAATACGCTCTTCTACTTCAAGTAAAATAATTTTAAAGAATGTTTTAGATTTACGAGTATTAATATTTTAAAATTAAACAAACAAATAAAAAGGAACATCAAAAAGTTTTAAATGAATTCGAAAAGTCAAATGAGGAAATTCGTATTTTAAACAATGAAAAGGCATTCTTAAAAAATAAAATAAATGATATTTTGTCTCGCAACGGGTTTGATGTTTAAAGTTTTGAACAAGAAGAATAATTAAAGGAAGGCGGATCATCTGCAAACGATCAAATTAATAAAATGGAAGATTTCTCCAAGTAAGATGACTCTGCAATCCAACAAGAATGAGTTAGTGATTGATAAAAATCTAGAAAAACGAATTTAATTACTTTTAAGAAATTTGTATTACTTACTATATGTATATAATTTATATTTCGTAGCAAACGCGTATCTTTCTAACAATTTTCTACGCAATATATTAATAAATATTTCTATCAATTTATTTTTCTTGCAGCTAATCTTTCTTTTTTCATAATATTTTCATCACACAAGCTAATCACTCAAAAAATAAATAGCTTGCTTAACAAACAACTTTAATTCGAATTTTTCGCAACAAATATCAATTTTTAAAAATCCCAATTGAAATGTGTTAAAAATTTTGATTTATTATGTTTTCATAGTAAAGATTAATAATCTTGCATTAATTCCTTGTAAAAAAACAATTTATATACTTTTAAAAAACAAGTAGATTAAAAAGTATTTGGCAAAATAAAATATTATTTTGCATAAAATAAACTTTATTTAAATTGCCAACACATCTAAAAATGTTAAAATAAAATTTGCATGATCTTTCGTATTCAAATTAATTTGCTAAAATTAAATTTTAGAATTAGAATTAAATTAAAAAATTAACTTAAAATAAAATAAAATTTGATAAACCTTTAAATATATTTTGAGATATAAATATATATAAAAGTAAAGGAATCATTTTAAAGATGAAAATAAGCAAATGTAAGTAGAAAGAAATATGATGAATTGTTAGTATAAAATTATACTAGAACCTATTGAGTTAGTAATACTTTAATAAAAATACCTTTACTTATTGGTATATTTTTGTTTGTTTTTTTATTTGTTTAGAAAAAATATTAATTATTTAAATTCATTCTAAAATACTTCTTTTTACTTTAAAAAATTAGTGAATACACTAAATACTTTACAGTAAAATTATTGTAACATTACAAATTGTGTAAGATACATTATTTGTAAGTTAAAAGATATTCTTCTCTCTCACATTCTAAAAAATGAATAGATAAATAATATCTTATACTATATAGCCTATTTTTATAAATATTTTATTTTCAAATTTTCATAGTTAATAATAATTAATAAATAATTTAAATAAAATTTATAATTATTAAATTTATTTTAATGCAACAAAAAGAAACAATTTATTTATTTAAAAAGCAAAAACAAAAGCTAATAAAAATTTTGATTGTTTATTTTATTTATGAGAATGCTAAATGATAAAATTTTAAGAGTACTAAGAATAAAAATACTTGAGTAAATAGGCATATTTTATAAAAAAGCTTAATATCTATCTCCTTACAGAAAATGATAACAGTTAGTGTAATTAAAAAAAAATTGCTAAAAATTAATAAAGTTCCTAACCTTAAAAAACATTAAATTTATTTAAGACTCTTAGATTTATATTTTTGTGAAGGATTGCATATTTATTTTTTAGTTGATTAATTTTCTCAATATTTGATCATTTACTATACATAAATACTTACATAATACCTACTTAAAATTCCAAACAATACTCAAAATATTTATTTTATTTAACATGAAAGAGAATGTATTTATTTTAGGATTATTTTAATACTTTTTAAATTATAAAAGATTTATTGATTTAGTTAATTAATTTTACACTTTAACTAAAATTTATAAAAGTGATTAAATCAAATTATTATTTTTATAATTAAATCAGCTAAAATAATCAAACGTAAGTATGTATATATTTAAATAAATTGATGATATTAATTTATAAATAATTATTTTCTTTTTGAATATTAATCAATTAACCAGTAATAATTTAAATATAAATTCTTAATAAAAAATCTTTAAATTTTATTGTTTCATATTATTAGTTAATTTGCTAATTGTAATTTATTTATTTATTTTAATTTATAAAAGAAATTATTTGAAAAAATTAAATTATTTTTTTTATTAGCTTATTACAAGTGGTTGAAGTAATATATTTTCTTTATGATAAAATAAATAATTTTTAGATAAGCAAATTTAATTTAAATAATAAAAGAATATATATTTGACAAACATTTTCAGGAATTCTTTAAATCAATCATATTGTCAAAAACTAACAAATAAATATTTTTAAACATAACAAAAAGTTATCAAAAATAAAATGTATTAATTTTTTTTTTAATTTAAAAATAATAAAAAAAATAAATTGTTACTTATGTTTATTTGAATGGATGCATAGTTTTTAATAAAATTTTAAGCTATTTAAACAAATTATTTTCATTCCTATCTTTCAATCTTTACAAACAATCTATTTTCTTATTTAAAAAACTCTAAAATCTAATTACAGTCTATCTAACTAACTCTAACTTCTCTAATGTAATTTAAAAATCAATTTTTGAATTAGCTTACAGATTTTCTAAAACCCATAAATACGATATTAATATATATAGAATGATTTTAAAATTATTGTCTACAAAAAATTTTATTTAGATGTTTTTAAAAGTATTGATAAATAAATAAATACATTCTCAATAAATCAAATTCTTTCAAGCTATTAAAATCCGATTTAAAAATATTTATTTTATTAACTGAGTAAATATTTTGGCAATAAAATTCCATAAATAATCTAGAATTAATTTTAATTTTTATTTGTTATTTTAAAATATTAAAGATAATTAATAAGATGTGTAAGGTTTAGTTTGAGAAATCGACGAAGATGTGTGTGTAATGAGTATTTTGATTGTTTCGAAAATTCAAAATCACTTTTTAAATTAAAAAAATAAGTTCATTAATTATGAATTTAATGATATATAGCCATCAATCAATACTTTTTTGAATTGTAGCTAATTATTTTTGCTTTCAGATTCGTTCGTTCTTCTATCTGTTCATAAAAAATAATATTTTGTTTCTAATCATTTGAAAGTAACATATTTCTTTTAAAATTTACAATTCAATTTTAAGCTTATTTCAATCAATATTTTTAAAAGATTTTTATAATTAATCAAAATAGATTTATCGTTCAATCATCTCAGAAAATAAATTAGAATATTCATAAAATTAGATTTTTTATATTTTGAATTTATATATTATTTTTTATTCATATTTATTAAAATATATTCTGAGTAAAACCAATTTTGAAATGAGAAAAGACAAATAACAATAAATAAATCAATCAATCAAGAATTTTTTTGAGATAAGAAAATCCTATTTTATTAGCAAATACAAATAATTAAATAAAAGAAAAATAGTTGTAATTTTTTATCAAAGTTTTTAGACATAAGTGACATATCATTTGAAATGAATGAGATATTTATTTAACAATTAATAACTCAATTTGATTCAATTTTTTCAAAGTAATTCCTTCAATCAATAATTCCTTTTTGTAGTAGGAAATTTGTTGGATACTGATTTTAATATTTATATAGAATAGTTTATATATATTATTTTTTAATTGGTGGGTATGCATGCATACATCCTTTCTTTCTTTCGATTATAAGCAAATATTCAAAATCTACTCTTTTTACAAAATAAAATTTTTTAGTTGAGATGATTAAAGTAATAACAAGGTTTTTCGCTGTTGTTGTATTTTTGTTCTTTTTAATCGTAGATTAAGGAGCAGCTTCAGAAGCTCATAGCAGAGTGTTTCCTAACAGAGGAGTTGCTGTGTCTTCGAGGACTTCTTAATCTCAGCTTAGCTGTCTTAGAGGAAAAGGATACAAGGATTACATTGTAATTTCAGCATTCGAAAATAATGCTCCTAATCCTTTCTTCTTTGAAAATTATTACAATGCTGTTGCTGCTGGCTACAAAGTGATAGATTTATCTATATCTATTTGCCCTACGATGTAAAATACAACTCTTTATCTTAATAAGATCATGCAAAATTTCTTTTATAACATTCCAATTTACACCAATCAAACATTAAATGATTCGAATAGAATGAAATTCGACATGAATTTAAGAAAGAATATTATAATCAAATTTGATTCTCCTTTGAAAAGCTGCATGCAATGGAGAGGCCATAATTATGAATTTAATTGCAATTTCTTTAGCGATGTAAAAAACATGTTGCAGTTGACTTATTTGCAAGATTTTGGAGTTCAAACAAATTTTTATGAATGGACTCATCTATTTGGAGGTGCTCAGTCTTGCAACTCAGAAGATAAGGATTATCCAATTTATTACTACCCTTTGATATGGACAGGAGATCAATAAGGAAATCCCAATTTCAACACTACTTTGTACAATGAATTTGCTAGTTAGATTATGCCATAAATGAAACTGTACGAACAAAGAAATGAATGTGGTGGAAATTTCGAATTCATATCATTTTGAAGAAAAATAAAAACAAATCAAAAAAAAAATAATAATAATAAAACAAATCAAGTTAAAATAGAATGAAAGAAAGTAAATAAATAATACATGTGTATTTTTGTTATTATAAATTGCACAATCACTTATTGTATTGAAATATAGCTATCAATATTTACTGCTTTATTTATTAATATTTTTTTTTATAACTTTGCGCCAATTTATTTCCTTTCTACTTTTTAAATTTAAATAAAATTCTACTCTCATTAAACCCTGTTAAATTTTGTAAAAAAGAAAATAACAAACAATTGGTTTTACCCTCCGAAATAGATTTAAGAGTTTTTCAAATTTCAATTTAAAGGTTTCTATAAGGATTTAAAATAGCTCAAAAAATTAACAAAAAAAAAGTTTAGAAAAATTAGCTAAAGGAAAACCTGCTGCAAATATACAAGAGACCTGCTAAAAAGATTCAATTTTTTCAAACTGTTGTTTTTAAGAAATATTTTATAAGGATTTAGAGTAATTGTTTTATGTTTTAAAGAAAAGATAAGTAGGATATAAAAATTATATTTTAAACCTGAATTCATAGAGTCGATTTTGATTATTTATTTATTTAGAATTAATCCTTGTAAATTACATAAAGATATTAACTAGAAGAGTTAAAATTCTCCTGAAAGAACCAATAAAAAAGTAAGTTAAAAATAAGATTTTGTTTAAAATAAAGATATTTATTTATCTTTAAGTATCTTTCATAATTAAACACAGTGAAAATAACAAGATTAGGAGAAAATACAATTTTTGATAAGACATTTTTCACTCATTTAATTTCTTATCGTCTTCCTTATTATTTTGATAAATTTGCATTATTATACATTAAATTTAAGACGAAATAAGAAATTACAAAGCTAACAAAATATGTAAACTTCAAACTAATTTGCTGATTAGGGGTGAATAACTTATTAGAGAGAAATTAAGATATAAGTTAAAAGAATCATTGATCAAATAAAATTTTAAATTTAGCTGTCTTAAGAAAAGGATATTTTATAAGAAAGACTATTTTTATATTCATTTTTTGTTTTTGCACCTAAATTGGCTTCTATCTTTATCTATTTGTTTGTTTATTGCTGGTATTTTAGATATTAAAGCAAGCACAAATTTTTTGTTATAAATGAATGAATATTTTAGCTACCTTTGTAAAGTGCTAAAAATATAGTACAAGTAATAAGTAGTTAAAATTTATTTATTTATTTAAAATGATTCAACTACATTACATTTAATATCATGGTCCCACTCACATAACTTTATTCACCATGAATAAGCAAGTACCCCCACCTTTCATATACTTAATTTATGAATAAAACATAAAAGCGTGTTAGCTTGTTTATTAATTTATCTATTTATAAATGAATGAATGGCTGCATGATTAAAATTTGGCTGAATTTAATGAAATCTAAGCAGCCGTCGCTGACGATGTTTAATATATAATTTACATCTATCTTTTATAAATTTATTCCGAAATGATTGAAACTAACTTTTAATTTTATTAGTTTGTTTTTTTGAGTGAATGAATGAATTTGTCTTTTTTGTTTATTTTCAGTTTTGAAATTATTAATTTAATTAATAAATGAATGAATGAAAGGTGTAAGTCAAACACAGGCTTATACAAGGAAGAATGTTCATAGTAAAATTTTCAATCAGAATTCATAGTCAGTTTTTTTTAATAATTTATTACTTAATTTGTTTTATTTATTGGGCCCCCTTTTTAATTAATTATTTGTTTATTTATTTTCCAGAAATAGGATTTGCTAATATACATACATATATACAATCAATCAAATATTAATTAATCGACTGATTAAAAAAAAAAAAGGGGACCGAGGTGGGGGTTATTGGAATTATTTAAATATTGGATAATTGAAAATTTGATAAAAATTAAAAAAGCAAACAAATAAATAAAATAAATCTTAATAAAAACACAAACTATAGCTTCTACAATTATAATGAGCAAAACTATTATTATCGCTTTAATTGCCACCTTAGTTGCTACTGGCACTCTCTTCGCTTTCTAATTGAACTCTAATTCAAACAACCTCTAAAAGAATAATAAGGTCTCTGCAGGTGTCTAAGGATCTTACACTTACTTTGCCTTTGAAAGAGAATGGCCTGGTACTGTTTGCAAGGTCAACAAGTGCACTCCTTCTTACATGGGTAACTTCGACTCCAAGAACTTCAACCTCCACGGTCTCTGGCCCTCTGGTTTGGAAAGCAATCAATGCAGCTATCCTTAAGATTGTGGTAACACTCACTTCTCCTTCTCTAACATCAGTCAACCCACCAAGAACTACATGGATACTTACTGGGTTGGTCTCTACTCAAGCACCTAAACTTTCTTGGACCACGAATGGACCAAGCACGGTACTTGCTACGGTAATGACTAAAACTAATACTTCACCGTTGCTACTGACTTACACAAGAAATACAATCCCATCTCTGCTTTAGCTGCTAAGAACATCGTTCCCTCTGACAGCAAATCTTACACTGTCTAATAAGTCTAAAGTGCTTTAGAATCTGGTTTCGGAGGTCCTGTTTTCTTACAATGCAAGAAGGTCAATGGCTAACAAATGCTCTTTGCAGTCGACATGTACTTCAACAAGGCTTTAACTGGTGTCATTTCTTAACCCTGCACCAAGCAATCTTCCTGCTCTACTTCCCAACCCATCTACCTTCCCACTGTCTGAGTTTGAAATTATTTTCAACAAATGACTTAGTATTTAAATATAAAGATTTGTAGATATAAAAAATAACAACAACAACAACAACTAACTTTATAGTATAATAAATAAACTCAACCAAATCTAAAATTTAAATAAAATATTTATTAATAATATTATTAAATGTAAATTATAATATTCATCCAATGTTTCAATACTACCTATAATATAATCAAGGCATTATAAATGCAATTCAATCAAACCTCCCTTCTCTGTACTTTCTTATTCTCTCTCTATATATTGTATGATCAATTATCTTTTCTTATCTATACCAATTTAACTCCTACTCATTTTTACAAAATTTACATACATTTTGCTAACAGAAAAATTAAGTAACTATAGAATTACATTACTTGATAAGTCTTTATAGAGAAAATATAATGCTAAAGGAAAAATAAAATGAGATATGAAAAGTGAAGACATATTTTGCATATTAAAAAGTAATTGCAGTTTACCAAAAAAATCAGTGATGACCTATTAATTAAATTAATTAAGTAAATAAAGAAAGCAAAAGTATAGATAGATAGATAGGTAGGTAAATAGACTCTTATTGAAATTAATTTTAGTCTAGTCTATCTATTTTTCTACTTAATTGAACTAGCTAAAATAATCTATATCATTCATCACTGGTCTTTATTTTTTAACTAACACTTTTTTGAGTCAATATATATAAATATAAATTGCATTATATGATACTTCAAAAATAACATAGTAAGACTAAATTACAGGGGATAATTCTATTTATTGGATATTAAACATGCAAAATAGATGATATTCTATTTTTATTTTTATCATTTTCTATTGTTTCCTTTGTAATTAGTAAGGTAGATAAATATTTAAAACTTTGCTAGTTTGCTAAATATTAATTATTATTCTTTATTCTTACTTAGTCTCTTGCTTGAAAATGAATTTTATAAAAATCAATTGATAAATTAGTTAGCTAGCTATCTATCATGCTAGGAATCTATCATATGTTATTTAATCTATTTGATACTTTGACAAAAAATTATTCTACTTAAAATATTAATTTAATCTTTTTAAAAGCATTCGTATCGAAAAAATGAATAACTTAAAATACCTCAAAATTTAAAAATATTTCATAAATTTTAAAACCGTTTTTTTTAATTGACAAAAAAATAATTGAGTTAATTTGAGTAGAAAAATATTATAAAAATCAAAAAATTATCTACCATTTTCACAGGTAATTTTACATGAACATAGATAGAAATATTATTAATTAATTTTTCAAGAGAAGTCTAAATAAAAATTGTGTTTTTATAAACAATTAAGTAGCTCAAATTAATTTTTTTCTTAGTAGACCCAAATCATTTTTATCTATCTTTCTTCATGAATCTGCTTATCTAAAATTAAAATTTATCTTGTATAAAAATTTGAATATGCTTTTTAACTTCTGTGAGCGTATTTTTGGAAATTATCTTATAAATTTCATATTCTCTTTGTAAACGATTTGATTCTTTTAATTTTGTTTTTCCAGCTTTTGAGAAATAAGCTTAAAAGTAGATTTCATTAGATTTAAATCAAAAGTAACTTGATTTTAAAGAGTTAAGCCTCAATTTCAAAATATCACGCTGACATTTAATCGATTCCCTAGTTAAAAAAGATTTACTTTTTAATTTTTGACTTAATCTGACTGATTGATGAGTTTTTTATTTTAAATTCTAATTCACAGTTTGGCTTTAGGTAAAATTTAAATTTTCTTCCATAATTCAATCAGTGTTAAGTTAAACTGACTTAACAGGACCCCCTTTAATTTAGTAAAAGGAAAGTCTTTGATAATTAATTATAAATTTAAATTTTTTAAACAAAATTGCGTAGGCATTAAATTTAGATAAGTGTTATTATACGCATTTTTAATTATAATCTTCTTTCATATTTAACTTTGGTCATTACTATTTTTAATACTATCAAATTTGTTCTATCCATTGCATAAGCTCATAAATAAATAAATAAAAAATATTTATTTTTTTTTCCTATTGAAACTTGCCACATAATAATCTATAATTAATTACTGATCTCTTAATTATTCATTTTCTAATATCATTGAAAATTCATTTAATGAAATAAATTATATAAATACATAGATAATGCCTTATTTAATTAATTTCATACTTTATGTCAAATTTATTTCTTATTCAAAAATTAATTTACTAGTAATTAATTTCTTATTTAGATAAATAGGCTGATTAAATTTCATTTATATGAAAAAATCAATTTAAAAATTAATAAATAATTTAAACTATTTTCAATAATATTTTTTTTAATTTTTACAAATCTAATTTAATTCTTTTAAAAAATTTGGAATAAAATTTATAATTGAAATAAAATTTTATTTTAATTGTTTTTTTGTTTGATAATTAAATAAAAATTTTATATTTAAAAATTCATCTTTTTTTATTATTTTAATTAAAAAACTAAAATTATTTTTTTAATTTTATTTGATAGCAATTTATCCAATTTATTTTGAAGAGTTTAGTTATTATTATATAAAAAATTAGATATATCGTATTCTATTTAATAAAAAACAAAATATTATTTAATAGAATAAATCAGTAACTTTACTGATAAATGCAGTAAGAAAAATTATTAACTAAAATATTATAAGAAAATATTCGGTTTTCTAAATCATATGTTTATTTATTAAACCATTTATTTAATATGTTTTTTAAAATTTTCAACTTTAAATTTGTTGTAAATATGTTTGAATTTTATACATAATTTTATTTGATTTATTCTGGCTATTGTTGAGTGTTAGTTTTTTGTTTATTATTTTTATATATAAAAAAATCAATATCTTAATATTATTTATAATTCATAGAACTATAATAACGTATATTTGACTATAATTTTAACTTAGTTAAAGCCTGTTTCATAAATTAAATAAGAAATATTTTTTTGATTCATTATTTTTAATAATTAACATACATGCATATTATTTAAAGTATTTTAATTGTTATTTCATTTTTATTGATAAAATTATTTTTCAAATATAAAATTTATCTTTTTATATGATCTTATTTATAAATAAATTTTAATTTTTTATAAACTATGATTCAATAAATAGCTTTTATCAATCATCTAAATGGAATATGTCTTGAAATAAATTAAAGTGGAGGGAATTCATTCTAATAAACTTGAATTTATAAATTGAAAGAAAATAAATTGGCTTAATAGAAATTATTGATAATAAATTAATGATGGATAAATGAATGAATGCAGGCAGAAAGAGAAAACATTTATAATAAATTAGCTCAATTTGCATGTAACAAACTCAGTTATTTTCAAAGTTTTTTAATTCTGAATAGTATTTTGATGTTAATGCCTTTTCATGAGGAGTATCTATGCAATATCTTCTGTAAATAGAATATCCGAATGCACAAACGCAAGGAATTAAAGTAGCTAAAGCACCATAGTGATAAAATCTAACTTTATTCATATTCTTTAAAACCTATTTATTTTCTTCCCTATTGTACATGATAGTAAAAAAGTTAATTGGAATTGCAAATGCAGCTGCAAACATTTCCATCTTGAAAGTATTTGTTTCAAAAGTGAAGTATTCCTATTCTTGAATTGGGAGATTTTATATACCTCCTTACTAAATTCTTCTTGAATTTATTAACCTAAATATGGGCTCTTCAAAGCCTAATTGCCATTCTATTAGCTTCTCATTAACCTTATCTAAAAATGTACTTTAATCGCTGCTAGCACTCATATTTTTACACTTAAAATCTTCTCTCTTACTTTTCTTGATTATTCTTAACTATAATTAGTTTTAATTTATTATCAAAATCAATTTAATTCCTAAAATTTAACTAAATAAATAAATAATTGGAAGAATTAGTGATTGATTGATGTCATTGGAAAAGATATATTCTAGAGGCTTAAAAACTTATCAAAATCCTGTAATGAATATATCCAGAATACTCTTTATAGCAGTATTAAACTGTCCGAAATTCTAATCTTATCCCTAAAAAATTTAAATCTTCTTTCAATTTTAATACAAATGAAGCAATATAATAAATGTAATAAATTGAAAACTCAGATAAAGTCAGTCAGCATACTTAAGTATTTGTACTAAAGATATATTTGCTTTAAAATTAATGAGAGAAAGTTCAATCAATAATTTAGTTTTATAGAAAGCCATTAATTTATTAGATACAGTAAATAAATGATTTTTTAATTTGCTTTATTTTATATACATAAACAATTAAAATAAATTTTAATTATAAAGTTAATGCAAGTAAATAGCTATTATTAATTAATTAATTAATTAGCTTATGGTTTTTATCTTTTAAAATTGTTGAATGATCTTTATAAATTACTTATATTTAATTATTTCTTACTTAACAAATTTTTGATCATTTTAAGTAGGGATAGATAAACAGAATATGATATTTTTTCCTCTTCATCAATTATTAAAAAAAATAATTGATTTAAAAATTGTATTTGCCATTTATTCCCATTCTGCATTATTTAGAAGAATTTATCATATTTTTATTGAAATTTGGATTTTAGTGTGTATTCATAAAATTTGATTTAAAAATTATAAATTTTATAATTGGTCAAAGTAGAAGTCTCTTTCTTTATGCGTATTCTCACCTGCTAAGTATTTAGAAAATAATGTATGTTATGCAAGTTCATAGACAAATTAATTAATTAATTAATTAATTATTGCTTTTAGTGTATATCTCAAACAAAATCTTTGTATATTGATAGCTTTTATAAAATATTGAAAGTAGGTAGGTAGGTAGATTGGTTTATTTAGATAAATAAAAATAATAAATAGCAAGTTATTTAGTTTTAGTTTCAAAAATATATTAGAAATATAAATAAATATGCAAGATAATTAAGCAAATAGTGATATTGTAATTGAAGATCGTCATATAAATGTGAGCCAATTCTTAGAAGCTAGAAGTTCAGAGATTGGCTACTTTACTCAGCAATTAAACTCAAAAAAGAATGGATCAAATAAAGTAATATATTGATTGAAAAATATGATTTTTAAAAAAGTAGAATTAGATAATTGCAGTTAAATATCTTGTTATTGCAAGTTAATTTGTTTGATTTATTAAATAAATAGCTAGCTTATTAGATGGTCAAAAAGCATTTAAGAAGAAGAGCTATGTCTCATAATAGATACAGAATTCCAAGCAGAATCAGAAATAGAATGAATGTATAAGAATTAGATGTTATTGAAAAGACTTAAGACCCAATCAAATGTCGCAAGCACTTGAGAAAACCTAAATTACTAATGAACTCATATATCAGAAGATCAAGAAGCGATAAATGGATGGAAACCCATTTATGGCATGCAAAAAGAATGAGAATGATCAAATATTTCCAGTAAGTATTTTCTCATATTTTAGATCATAAAAATTAACAAAAGCCTAAAAATAAATTAATTCAATAGCTTAATTTTGCACTTAAAAAACAAAAATATTTTAAAATGAAAAATGACTAAATTTAATTTTAATAAACAAAAAACAAATATTTTTTTTAAATAAAAAATTCTTCATGATTTAAAGAAATGCAAAATAAACCATAAATAAATAAACAAGCAAGTAAATGTGTTAAATTATCTTAAGAAGCAAAAATAAATTATTATTAAAATATTAAATAGAATAAAAAATCAATCATTTTTAATTGAAAATAAAACTAATTTCATTGTTTTAATTAGTTAAAATAAAGGAGTAAAAATAAATTATGAATTCTAGCTAAATAATCGATTTCCTTCTAAACAAATAATAATTTATTTACTTTCTAATAGCAAAAATCTTAAGAAATTTAATACAAAATTAAAAAGTATTTCATTTTTATAAAAAGCAAAAACTAAAGAATTTATTAAAATAAAGATTTTTATTTAGACAAAATAAATAGAAAATATTCTGAAATGTGAAATGGAAACGATTGATTTATTTATTTATGATTTAATTATATTTTTTAATAAAAATTTTAGATGAATTAAGTTTAAATTTTAATGTGTTTATTTTTTAAGATATAAAATAGCTAGGACTCCAAATGAGAAAGGTGATAGAGCTTGCTTTAGATTTGCTAATCATGATTGCACAGTTTATGATAGAAGCTACTATGAATTTATTTTTATTTAGGGATCAAAAATATTAGAGTTTATGGCTAGTCATTTATAATAAAAGGACTATAAAATTTTAATTTAAAATTAGAAGAAGAATTTCAAAATCAGTGATAATTTAGATGTTTATAAAAACGAATTAAATACACTTATTGGTCCTGCAAAATTTATTTGGAAAACAGAATAAGAATTGGTAGTGTTTATACATCCTGGCTGTGTCTCTGAGTGGATCTAAATTTTAACTCTTTATGCTAAGAAGTTTGAAAATCAAACTGATGAGCAGAAAGGAGGTTTGCTAGATTTTTAACATGTTAAAGACAATTATAATATCTTTGATCTGTCTGGTCCACTCTGCTTGTACAAAGTACACTATCTCTTAGCTAATTTAGGATTGTCTGAAGAATAAATAAATAATATTCATCCACTCGTTCGTCATTTTAAAAATGTAAATGATGCAGCTAACTATCCTAAAAATCATATTATTTAGTTGAAATTCTAAGCAAATGTCAGCAAAAAATTGATTAAACCTCCTTTTGATTTTTCCTAAGTGTGTGTTGAAGAAAATCCTTTGAACTAAGATTAACTTAATTAAAGTCTAGTTGATTTGATAACTTATAGCAAATAAGTTAAGCAAGAAAACATCAGCTTGCTAGAAAACATAAAAGAAATCAAATAAAGCGATTATGCTGTAAGATTCAAAACTGTAACAAGAAATAGATACACTCATAAAAAGAAGAATAAAATTTCAAAAAAACAAAAGACCAATGCTTTAAGTCAAGTTAAGATTGAAGAAAAAAAGAAATACGAAGATTAAAAATAGTAATAACAGCAACAACAATTAAATTAAACTGAGTAAATTTAGGAAGAATCTAAGATCTAAACAGAAGAGGTAGAAGCACAAAGTAATAATTCTATCCAACTCGAAGTAACAAATTTGTTTTATTTACAAATGATTTAAAGATATTAAATTCACTAAATATTTAATAAACATAAAATATTTTTAATTTAATTTCTCAAAACTGTTTAATAAAATCAAATTAAAAAAATATCACACAAACAAATTTTGCTTTTTTATTTTAATTTTCATGAAAAATTAAATAAAAATTATTGAATTAATTTAATCAAATTCTAAAAAAAATAAAAAAAATAATTCAAATTCTTAAAAAATTAAATCTAAAATGAAATCAATATTTAAAATTAAACTAATTTATAATGAAAAAAGTTTATTTTTTATTAAATTTTTGAAACTTAAATTTCATTTTAAAATCCAAGAAATATTTATTTTAAGAATCCTGATTTTAATGTAAATCAAAAAATATTGATTAAATTAATAAATGTTTTTATAAATTCAAATTCGTTTCTTTTGAAAATTAAAGAAAATAATTAAATTTTAATACTAAAATTTAAAAATAAAATAAAAAATGTTTATAATATGAAATAGGAAATTAAGTTTGCAAAGGATTTGGTTGAAAGTGAAATTCATTTAATGATAATATTTAACAATTCAAAGCAACACAAGGCCTTTGGACAAGGAGTTACTTTGGTGGTTAATTAAGGAAGAGGTATCTTGGTTTGGAGATTACTGTCATTTATAGCTTGCAAAGCTATTGGCCTAAGTGAATATAATAATATTATTGAAGAAAGTGGTCAGAAAGTATTTCCTAATGATTACCCTTTAACTTAGGCATACAGCACTTTAAACAAAGAATTGGTAAAAAATATTAATTTTGGTTTAGAAAGTATGTTTAATAATTTGATTTGTAAACAAACAGCTTGAAGCAAAAGTAACTAAACATTTCCTGAAACCTAAAGGTAAAAGAGTAAATTATATGAAGATAAACTCACCTTTCCCTTTTAAACCTAATTTCGATTACATTTTGAGTAAATATCTTGAGAGTGAAGATAAGATAATTGCTCAGCAAGAAGATCTATAAGATGTTAGAGTTATTATGGTAGGCAGGGGAAAGCCTGATACTAATTCTTACATTTGTTTGCCAGAGCCAGAAGATTTCAAAAAATACTAAGATATGCTCTTAAAAGACAAATCCAGAGTTTATTCTATTCACGATGAGCCTTCTTATGTAAAAGTAGCTTCTAAATCGCTTGATATTCCAGAACCCTCTCAAATCAGCACAACAAGAAAAATTATCGGTATTTGCTTGCTTTATTGCTTATTAAAATTTTTTCTTTCTTTCCAATTTTGAGTTATAAATTTAATCAAATTTTTAAATTTTTTCTATTTTTATGGAATTTTGATTCAAGAAATTCGTTGATTTTCTAATCTTTTTAATTAAATCTTTATTGTAAAAGGGTTTTTATCATTTGGAGATTTTTCATTTAAATCTGGAGTTGGAAAGGGAAGAGGCTAAATCATAAAGTATTATTTGGATGCTTTAAAAGCTAAAAGCCAAGGAAACAACATGGAAATAGAGGATAAGCAAAAAAATAAAAAATAAAATGAAATATTCTGCTTAATCCGTAATCCTACTTCAAGAAAGTACTATTTGGCAAACCTTTATTTAATTTGAAAGGAAATAATTTAATGCTGATTATAAATAATTAATTAATTAATTAAAAAAAATCAATAGATTTTAATTGTAATTTTATACACACTATTTATTTATATTCATTGTAATAAGTTATCAAAAATTTCATTTATTTTAACTATTGTAAATGATAAAAATTTAATGAAAAATAGGAATGAATTTACTTTGATTGGTTTCCATATTTTATGTTGATTGTTTTACAATTTATTGTTTATCCTACTTAGTAGGTTTAACATTTATTTAGATAGAAATAAAAGCAAAGCAGTAAATAATTGTAAATTTTCTATTTATTGAACTATGAATTTAAATATTTATATAATCAAACTCAATAAATAATATTCAGTTTGGAAAATTATTAGAAATATGCTTTTGCTAATATAATAAAGTAAATCATTAGAGGAATTTATTAATTAATTAATTGATAAACTATGATGATGAGAACATAAATTGAGAAGTATTTTGATTAGAAAGCAAATTAGATATTTAATTAATTAATTAATATTTATAAAGATATATAAATACATACTTATATATAAATAGATAGATAGACATACAGAAAACAAACTATTGTTTTTCAATATAAAAATTTTATTATTAGCAAAATAGAAAGCAAAAAATATTTTAGATAGCAGACAGATTTTAGTTTATTTATTGATTGATTGATAGTCTAGAATTGCATATTAAAAATATATTTGAGATTGTATTCAAATAAGCTTACTAAATCCAAAAAAAATGAGCGTTTTAAATCCAACATAAGAACAATTATCAGTGCTAAAAGAGCATTATAAGGATATTATTTTGGTAAATAACAAATTATTCATATTCATTATAATTTTAAATTGCATTTCATTTCTCAAATTCATTCTAATTTACTTAGAACTGGCCTGAAGGTTACGATTTCTGCGAAGTTTGTCTAATTAAAGAAGGAATGCAACAAGATGATCTAATTTTTTGTGAACTCTGTAATGGCCTTGTTCACTAAAGTTGTTACGGAGGAGAACTGCTTGATAGCATTCCAGAAAGTAAAACAGTTCATTGATTAATTTTATACTAAAATAGATAGATATATTGATATTCTGCAATTTTAATTCAAATATTTGCTTTTTCATTGTTTAGAAAACTTTAAACTTATTATTAGATGATTGGTATTGTGAAAGATGCAGAGAGTACATCAGAGATTATATGAACGAGTAGAAATTGCACGACTTGTCTAGCATTAGATGCTACTTTTGCCCTGAATAAAAAGGAATAGTCAAAAAAGTCACTATTCAACATTCAGGAACGTAAATATGGTCGCATGTTGGTTGCGTTTCTTCAATAAAATCTTTGAACTTTGTTGACAGGTAAGAATTGATTGATTGATTTATATTATATTGTATTGTTAATTAATTAGTAGTAAACGGGTAATTAATTTAATAAATCAAAAAAGATTTCAATTAGATTGAATCAACATAAAGAATGTTAAAACAAACAAGCAAACAAACTATTTATTAATTTATTTATTCAATATCTATTTGGTAAACTCTTAAATAGATAGATATTGATAATCTACCAACTTAATAAATAAACTTTTAGTGAAATTTAGTTATAATTAATTCCTAATTGATTATCAAAAATACAACAAATACCCTCTAATTTTTTCTTCGCTTCACTTTGATCATAAATTGAATTTTAATTTTTATAAATAGTACAAGAAATCTCATAGTTTAGAAATACAGTCCTAAGAGGACAACTGATGAATGCAAGATATGTGGGCTAAAGACAGGAAATTGCGGCTATGTGAGTTCTTTATTTTATCAAAATTTTAACGATATTTCATAAAAATTTTATCTTCTTACTTACTGCATTATTGCAATCAAAATTTAGCGCGAAATACATTTTAAGCGCGTTAAAATTAATTAGTATACAAATTAATCAAAATTTTTATTTATTTATTTTTAATATGAAAACAGTGCCATACTTCTGGATGCAATTTCACTTTCCACTTTTCGTGTGGGAAAAGGATAGGAATCATACAAGATGTAATTACCATGAACACGTTAATGGAATGCAGAGAGAAATAGTACAACTTTTTTTTTTGTTTTTAGAGTTGCTTACTTAATATTTATTTTTTAGGTACAAAAATTCTGAACCAGAGCATCATGTTGTCTTTTGCGAAGAACATCTCTATAATTTAAGCTATGTCGAATATCCTAATGACAAATTTCTCAAAGGTAGCTTCAAAATTATTTTAAAAGTAAAGGATTATTTATAAGTTTTATAATTATTAACAGAATTCATTTAGAATATGTACATTTAAAGAGAGACATTTGAAAATGAAGGAGATAATTTGAGTGTGTTGATAGCAAATCAGTAAAAATGTGATAAAATTGAATACAACAAAAGCTAGCTTTAAGAGAAATATATATAGAAAAAATAATAGCTACGTAAAAGTAAGAAAACAAGCTCTAACTCTTTGCCACAATCAAAGCAAAATATCAGAGATAAAAGTAGAAGTAGAAGTAGAAGTCGCTCTCCTCCAAAAAGCGATAGGAAAATTGCAGGGGGTAAAAAGCCTAAAAGTTCTGAATCCCAATTAGAAATTAGTGAAAAGGAGATCGGAGCATCAAAAAAACCTGCTTAAAAATCTAAGGCGGCTTAATCATAATCGTAGACTGGCTCCAAAGCTCCTTCTAAGGGTAAGAAAGAAGAAGAAAATAAAAGCTAACAATCCAATCCAACTTAAGCTGGAAAATCTAAAGGTGGCATTTCATCTTCATAGTCACTCTCTCAAAATGACAAAGCAAACAAATCTAAGGTAGCAGCAACAACAGCAGCAGTTTCTTTGTAGCCATAAAATTAACAAACCTCATCTAAAAACGACTAAAATAGTTAATCTGGTTTAAGCTAAACAAAAAAACAAACAAAAAAGGGTAAAAACGATGACGAACAAAGCAATTAGCTTATTGAAAATTAAGATAATTGGAGGAGAATACAAAATGTTATGTAGAAGTATGATTATAGGGAAAAATAATTTAATAATAATAGTAACAATAACTCAGAGGAATAAAAGTCAAACGATGAAGCATTTAAAACTCCGTTTTATATATTAGAAGAGCTCAATAAGACTCTGCCCAAGAGGACAACAGTGGAAACATCTTTAAAGAGTGATGCAACTGAAAAAAAAGATAACTTGGAGCAAAGCGAGGATAGCAAGGTTTTACAAAACAATTATGATGAATGCAGCAATAGTGAATTTAGAGACTCAAGCAGCAATATGATGCAAATGATAGAACTTGATTCGACAGTTTTAGATTAGGATAAAATAATTGAAGAGCAGAAATAAAGCGAACTGCAAACTAATTACTAAAACACTTCTAATAGTAATAAGGATAAGATGTTTGTTGTCCCTATTCCTAAATCAAGCCAGTCTAAAGAAGTAAAGGATATCAATAATTAAGAAGATGCTGAATAAAGCTCTAAGAAACTTTAGAAAAAGCCCAACAAGCTTTCTGATGATGAAAAATCTCGTGTGTACAAAAAATTTATAATTGAATATGTAAAATTGAATAGAAGCAAACTGCAAGGACCTTAGAGCTTGTACATAATTCATCCTGAAATGATGTAAATCATGCAAATTTAAGCTGCATTACCTTAACGTAAATGGAAAAAGGAAATAGCTCATTTCTTTGTACAAAAAGAGTGTCTAAATCCTATTTAAAAAGAGGTTTAAATAAAAAAGTGCATTAATTAGAGAATAATTGATTTATTCTCTGACAGAAATATTCCAACAAACATTCCTTCTAAAAATTTCTATAAACTTTTCAAAGCCAATTTCATGATTAAAGTTTATGACAACGTCAAATAACTCTCAGAGTATGAAGATATTTTAGACAACGCATAAGAAAGCTAAGAAAATTAAGATAATTAAGTAAAACCTACAAGTCTAAGCTAAGAAGAAAACGAAATATAACCAAATTAAATTGCTTAGAATTAACAATAAACAACTGAAATATGTAAAAAATAATAGGATTAACCATTAAAAGATAACTAGATTGTTGAAGAAAATGCTGTTGATCATGAAAAATTATGCCAAAATTTACCAGAAAAAATGCAAGAAGAAAAAATTCAAAATGGAGATATTCATTAATAAATATAAAGTGATTAATAGGAAAATTAAGCTGTTTAACAAGATAATAAAGATGCTTAATAGGAAATTTAGAAAGATTAGCAAGAAAATAAAGATTTTTAGAAAAATTAGAATCCTTAAGAAGAGAGTAAAAATGTTGATAGTGAAAAAATCGTCTAAAATGAAAATTAAAATGTCATCGAAGAAGAAATTTAGAAACCTTAATCAGAAAATAAAAATATTGAACAAGAAAATCAAAATATTTAATAGCAAGTTTAAAATGTTTAATCAGAAGATTAAAATATTTAACAAGAAATAAAAAGTAATTAATAGGAAAATTAAAATGCTTAGTAAGATGATTAAAATTTAAAACAAGATAATTCAAGTGATAAACAAGAAAATTTAAATATTTAGGAAGAAAATCAAAAGGTTTAGTAAGAAAATGAAAGTACGTAATAAAATAATTAAAATGTTGAATAAGAGCATAGCTAATAAGAAAAATAAAGTGAAAAAGATATTTTAGCTGAATTACCAGAATCAGTAAATCAAAAAGATGATTTGAAAAACACAGAAACATAAAATAAGTAATAAGAAAATGAAAGTTTTAAATAAAACCCAACATAAGAAAGTGAAAGTAAAATGTAGATAGAAAGTGAATAACCTAATTTATAAGTTGAAGAATAAACAGTAAATGATCATTAAAAAATGCAAATTGAAGATGGAGAAGATAAAGCTCCATAGTAAGAATAAGTATAAGAAGTTGTTTAAAATTAATAGTCAGAGAGCAGTTCTAACAACAACCAATGAAATTAATAAGTGTTAGAAAAGTATTAATTAGCATTGATTTATTAAAATAAAATATTCGTTATTCATATAAAATTGTATATAAATATATTTTTAGTAACTAGTGTTTTTAAATAAATTAACTATCATAAAAGAAAGTAAAATTAACTCAATTCTTTTTAATTTTTCTTTGTTTGTTTCTTTGTATTCGTTCAACTTTTTTTATTTAAAAAAGCCTATTTAATTGTCAAAATCTTTTTATTTTTTTCCAAAAAAATTGATTTTGAATGAATATATGAAAGTAAAATATTAATTATAGAAGCTAAGATATTTCAAATAATAATATATATATTGATTTGAATTTTAGAATATTAATTTTATTTAAACAATTTATCTTTTGTGAACTAACAATAGTTATTTATGTATTACAAAAATGGTTTGCATAAATTCAATAATTAATTAATTAATTAATTAAATATGATAAATATAATAATTAATTGAATCTAAATGTTATCAAAGTTAAGTTAAATAATTATTTTATTTTCCTTAATTTTCTGGCTCTGAATTCAGGAAATTTGATTTTTATATTGATTTGCATAAAAAAATTTACATTGAATAAAAAATAAATTTTAAATATATTTCTATAGAAATAATTTACTTTTTAACAAAAAATTTGTGTTATTTTGTAAAAAATGTTATACATCTTTATTTTTTCGTTCTTTCGTTCGTGATAATAAAAATTTAAAATAGAAGAATAAATAAATAATTAATTAATTACAAATAGAATTATTTAATTTCATGGTTTAATAGACTTTATATTTTTTAAGCATTTTAGATTGTAGCTATTAGATTTTTAAATAAATATTTAAATTACAAATCTTATAAATAAATATCTTATTTAATATAAATAAATATCTTTATTCTTTGGTTAATTAATGTGTGATGTGATGTAATTAATAAGTTTTTTTCATTTTTTTTGAGATAATAAAGTTTATAATTAATTTTATTAATGTAAGAATTATGCAAAAATTATAAAAATTTATTTATATTTTTTGTGGCAATTAAGTAATTAATTTATTTAGCTTAACATTTTTTAAAATTGATTTTGGATTTAAAATGTCTATTCTTGATCATATTTTTTTTCAAAATGAAACTATTAAGTATTTTTCTAAAAATAGCTAGCTTTTCATTTCTAGAATCAAACTTTTAAAAATAGAACTTTATGTTATTAGAATATCATCCAAGATTCAAGCAAATTAATAATTGTGAAAAAAATATAGTTTATGTTAAATATTTGTAATCTTGAAAAATAAGCAACGATGATTATATTAAATTACTCTATTTAGTTTTTAACCTATTTTTAATTCAATAATTAGATTTAAATATTAGAAAATGCTTTAAATTTAGCAAGAATTAATTATAAAATAGATAAATATTATAGAAAATAATTAAATCATGTCAAAAATGAATGTGATTTATATACACCACCTTAATTAAGCCAGCATAAAATTAGTTATCGATTAATTAGAATGAAGCTCACTAGCACAAGAATTATTAAGAGTAAAATCAAGTAGAATAAATGAAATAAAGAAAGAAAGAGCTGTTAGTATTTCGGATCATACCTTTTTAAAAAATAACAACTTAAAGTAATTCGAAAGATAAAAATTTTAACTTTTTATAAAAAATTACATGCCAATAGCTGCTATCAATCGTATTTAGATAATAAATTTAATGGACAAACTTGTAATTTGCTATTTAGTTTATTGATTGCATATATTTTATCTATATTAAGTATAATGCTTGTTTATTTTTTTTAAGGCCATCATATAAAGTTAATTAAGTATTTAATCACTCTATGTTCATCTCTTTATTTATTTATGTATTTTTTAGTTTTTTTGTATGTATGTTTGTGTATTTTTTTGTTTCTTTTATTCATAAAAATAGATTCTTAATAATAAATATAATATATAAATCAATTTATCTTTATCAATCAATCAATCAAATTATCATTATTTTTTTAATCAAATAAAAGGCAAGCAAGAAAGCAAATATTAAATTAAAAGAAATAAAATAAATACAAACTGAATACTATTGATTGCTTGATCAAACATTTAATCATTAATTTAATTTATAATAAAAACTGGCATAAACAGCTAAATAACTAACTAACTAACCACCTAACAAATAACAAAACAATTTTAAAAAAGCAGGCTAATCCTGTCAAAAAAATATAACAATTATTAAGGAAATTCTTTTCAGACAAACACCAGCTTTGATATTTAAAGAGAGTTAAAAATAAATAAATGGAATAGTGGATACAACAGTTAGATTATGGCGACAATGAATTTTATAATTTTTCAACATTTTTCAAGCCAATTAAAGTGATTGGATAAGGAGCGTTTGGCAAGGTTATTCAAGCCATTGATAACTCCACAAACTAAGAAGTAGCTATCAAGGTAATCAACACTTCTTTCTAACAATATTTCAAATATGGCAACAAGATAAAATTGATTGATTGACTGTGTTGGCAGTAGATCTATCTATCTATTTATCTTTTTACAAATTCTCTTTAATTATTTATTGATTGATTGCTCTGATTCTTCTTTATTTGATTTGAAAAATACTAAGTCTTTTTACTATATTTTTCTTTTGAATATACACTTTAAAAGGTTATCAATAAGAAGAAAATGGGCGAAGATTGCATAGAAAAAGTCAAGCAAGAGGCAAGGATTTTGGAAAAGCTGAATCATCCAAACGTTGTTGAATTCAAAAAGGTTTGCGAGACGGATACCAAAATTTTGATTGCTATGGAACTGGTTAGAGGAGGATCTCTTTCATAACTCATGAAAGAAAGGAAGAGTAAAAATGATTGGTTTAAAGAGAAAGAAGTATCTCAAATTATGAAGAGCATCATGCTTGGGCTGGTCTACATACACGGAAAAAATATTGTTCATCGTGATTTAAAGCCAGGTAAAAACTATTTAATTGAGTTTATTAAATGTGGAATTAAAAAATTCACAAACAAATTAAAAATAGAATGAGTGTGTTTTGTTTGACAAATAAGAAAATATTTATGGAATTAAGAAAGTGATTTGATTTTTGCTATTTTTATAAGAAATATATTGATTGATAGATAGATAAATAAATAAATGTATTTAGTTATTTATTTCTTCATTCATTCACTTATTTATTAACCATCACAATTATTGCAAGCAACAAAACAAACAAACAAACAAATAAACCAACGAAAAAATAAACTAAGTAAAAATTTTTATTTTAACAGAAAATATTCTTATAAACGATGTTAATGATTTTACTTCCATCAAGATTGCAGATTTTGGCCTAAGCTCTGCTTTTTCATTATGGACGACTAATGGCTTAACTGAGCAGTGTGGTACTCTCCTTTACATGGCACCAGAATTTTTTGCATCAAGAGTCTACTCAAAGGTATAAAAAAACTCATTTAAAAATGAAACTTAAATATATCTAAAATAAAACATAATAATTTTGTTCTACAGAAAGTTAAACATGCTGTTTCTATGAAGTCAAGAAAGAGACTTATTTATTTATTTTTATAGCTAATTATTTTATTTTTAAATTCTCTTAAATCTCAAAATTAATTTATCCTCTACCGTTAATTTAAATAGCAAATTGACATTTGGAGTTGTGGTATCACCATGCATAACCTGCTTGATTTTGGAAACCACCCTTTTTATGAGCCCAAAGCTGATGATGCAGACACCTTCAAGCAAAAGCTTTCAAATCCTAAGTGGAAAATTCCTGCTCACTTTTCAAAGTAATTACTTAATTAATTAATTTATCAATTAGGAATCAGTCTGTTTTTTCAGAATTTTATTTAAAAATTGCACTGACCGATAAGCAAAGTGAATGAAGAAGATTTTAAATCAAAATTTTTAGTAAGATTTTTATAAAATTTACTTTTGAAAACTGAAGGAAGAGATTATAATTCTTAATTAACTTAAAATAAATAAAATTTCTAATAAAAAACAATTGCCTTAATAATAAAAAACAAGAAAGTAAGTAGGATTTTTATAAAATTTACGTTCAAAACTGAAGTTATAAAACATTCATTATAAATCCCAACAAATTAGATTATCAGTCAGTCACTTTCTAAAATTAAATTAACATAAAAGATTAAATACTGTTTTTAGGCAAATTAATCACTAGAAAATTGATTGATAATATATGAAATTTGCAATAAAATATATTGAATTATTTATAATAACATAAATAAAATTCCTTGATTTGAAAATAAAGTAGCTAAATACACTAAAGATATAATTTGCCTATTTAATAATAAAAAAATTGTTTGAATCAATTTAATTATAATAAATCCATTTAATTTTATAATAATTTACAAATTTTTATAGAAAACAAAGTATAAAAAAAATATTTAACAAATAAATTTCCATAGAATAAAAATTAATATTTGATGTTAAAAGTTTTCTTTATTCATTTTGGTTAGAAATTAAAATTCCAAATAATATAGATAAATTTTATGAAAAATATAAAATATCTCACTCTTATTAAAAAAAATTTAATAAAAAATAAATTTAAAATCTATTAATTTTTTGATTTATTTTTAATTAATTGATAGCTTGGCCAAAAATTTATTATCAAAGCTTAGTTTGATAAATCCTACTGAAAGATATTCTGCCATATAAGCTTTACAACATCCTTTCATTACTGAGAACTTAAATGGAGCTATACCTATGACTATGAATGAATAATTATTGTCATTTAAAATTAAAGAGAGTCTAATTTAAGTAAATGAAAATATTAAAAATAGATAAATTAATTTTAAATAAATTTTAAATAAAAAATAGAAATTAAAAGTAATGCTTTTCATTTAATATGTTAAGAATATGCAAAATGACTAGGATAAATGTAAATAAGATTAAGAAGGAACTTTAAAACTCGAATAATCTGAAAAGAAAACTTAGTATTTGTAAGATTCTGCAATTTCTAAATAAAGAAGCGACTGTTCTATAGATTGCTAAGAGAAAATTAAAGATTTAGCTGTAGTAGAACAATTTAAAGTGGAAGAAAATAACTCAAATAGAACATTTAAATTTAAGACATATGGCTACATACCATAGAATACAGCTAGTACATCGACATAAATATCCTCTGGATATAATGGGAATAAGGGAATTTTACATTTTCAAAATAAAATTTGTAATCAAGAACAATCAAACAATAGTTCTAGCAACATTTCTTTCAATATAGTTGATAACACATAAAATAATTTGACAAGCCTATCAAGAAAACCACCACTAAAATTCATGATTAAGAAATAAAAAAGTTTAAATCCAGATCAACCTTAGCAAATTCCTTCTCAGAATTTGTAAAAAAAGAGAAACAGTGTATTAAATAACAGATAAGATTTTACTGATGGAAGTATTTTGATAGAAATTCAAGAAAATCCATTAGATCAGTAGGGCTCTTATAGTGAAAAGACATTTAAAAGAAATTAAGTTTTTAATTAAAATGGCTTACAACATACACAATAATAATAACAAAACCAATATTTATAAGTAAAGTAAAATATAAATAATGCAGTAATGTAAGCCAAAAAAAGTTCAACTATCACTTAGAACTCACCTGGAAAACCGTTAACTGCAGTATAATTGAATAGACCTTCTACTATTACAAATTAACAAAAGAAAAAAATGAATATCCACCATGCTCCTCCCTTGCCAACAAATTTATATCACAATAAAAAGGACAGTCCTTTAGAATATTTATAAACAGCAAACACTCCCTATAGCAAAGATATTAGTTACGCAAACTAATCCCTTAATACATAAAATTTGTTAAAATAAATGAGAATTAAGTCAGCTACCAGACTAAAATAAGACCCTATTACCAACACCAAGAGACGCAATTCTAATTTGAACTAAATTAGCTAAATTCAAATCATCAAAAAAGCTATTGAAAGTTAAGATTTACCACTCAATCTCTAAGAGGCTAATTTGATGTCTCCAAACAAGAATTGTGCACCTTCAATGAGTCCCAATTTTCAAAAGGAAAACCGAAATTGTGTTTCCAGCCTGCAAACTCAGAACAACAGCGCGAAAAAACCACCTCTTAAATAGTTTTAAACCTAAGACTGTTCAGGTATTTTATTGCATTTTAAAAATTAATAAATAAAATTGATAAAAAATTTTCTCATTCAGTTAAATTAATAGCATTTAAAATTCTTAAAATGATATTTTATTAATTTATTTTGTAAAAATAATATATAAAAATAGCCATGATAATGCTCAATTAATAAAATGGTGAATATAGTAAATAAAATGCAATAACTCCACAAGACTTCAAACAACTAAGAATCAAAGTTAAACCAAAAAAAATACCAGAATCTACATTTAAAGATTACCATCAAAAAAGATAATAAATATCCCTAGCTTGATTACTTCATATCACTTAATAAATTAGGATTATTTTTTCATTTCTCTCATTAAAGCAATAAAAATAAATAGTAAATAAAAGCAAATTATCCAATTCAATAACTTAATTACTTACTTACTAACAAACTAAAAAACTAACTAACTAAAAAAATAAATAAATACACTACTCTCAATAAACTAAAAAATAAAATAGAAATAAAAACAATAACAATAACAATAAAAATAACAATCAAATAAGAACTCAAAGCTCACTAAATTAATAATTTATTAATTTAAAAAAATTTATAATATTTTTGTAAATTTTACACTAAATAAGAAAAATATAATTATATTAAAAAGTACTAATCATCCATTTATCTAACAAACAAATAAAAAAAATAACTTAATTGTTAATGAATATGTTTGTATTTTTATTTCTTTAAGTTATCTCTAATTTTATTCTATTCACAATACAAAATTTATTGCTAATTTATATTTATTTTATAATTTTTATGTTATAGAAATGCATTTTATTTTGTTATTGATTAAATAGCAAAGATATATCTAGCTAGATAAACAATAGCAATTTCTATTTTAAAAATAATTGATCACTGGTAATGGATGAGTAATCTAGAAGATATTTTTTTAAGGGATAGATCAAGTATAAGATTTTTTCTAATTAGAAGAATGTTTAAAAAAATTAAAGCTTTTTAATAATAAAAGGTATTTTAATAATAAATTTTAATTTTAATGATGGCTAATCTTTAAATTAGTATTTTATAATAAATATTACCTAACTTTATAAAAATTTTGAGAAAATTTTTTGATGGCTTGCTTGCTTACAATTTTTATTTAGGTACTATAAAATTGATTTAATACACCAAAATTATAAATTGATATTAAAAATAAAATAAATAAATCGATTTTAATCATTTTTATTTACAATATTTCTCAATAAAATCTTTTAAAAATATCATAAAATAATAAGACAATTTTAATTATAAATGAATTTTTTCTCATTATTATTCTATTGTGTATCACTATGTTTATGAATGGTATTTTAATTTTTATTTACAGATTTTTATCTGCTAAATTATGAATAACGAACGATTAATTGGTATTATTTTCTGTCAAAACAATGAAAAAAAGTAAAAAAAAAATAAATAAATAAAAATTTACAAATATTTCTGATATTTGAATGAAAAATAAATTTCATAAATAATTTAAGATATATTTTTATAACTGTAATGAAATTTTAAAAGCGATGAAAGTGTTAACAACTAACTAACTAACTAATTTTTAAGAAAAAATTTTGAAGAAATATATATATAAATATCTCAATTAAAATCTATCTTTAATAGATTAAGAAATATATAAATAAATATCAGTATTTAATTTAATCTAGATTAAAAACTTACTAAATAATAGAATTAATGAATATTTATTATAATAATTTTATTTTTTAATAACATCCATATAATTTAAACTATTTACACCTCAATAAAAGATGGATTTCTTTATTAAAAACTACATTTAAAAAAAACATTTTATTCTAAATTCAAATAAAATTATGGATAAAATAGAATAACAAAATAAATTATCTATCAGTTTGTTTTTTATTTATTCTTAGATTAGTTTAGATTAAAGTCATTTTTATAATAGAATTCATGTTTATAAAAAATAATATTTAATTTCAACAAAATATTGTTTTGTAAGTAAATGACAGAAATTATTTAAACTATAAATGCCTCTTTAAAAGATTAATTTATTTATAATCTAAATATTTTAATAAGCGTTTAATACTTTAAAAACATTTATATCTATTACAAAAATTTAATAAGATTAAAATTCATTTTATAATAGAATTAATAAATAAATAAATATATTCTACAATAATTTAATTTATAATAAATATTGTCAAATATAAAACGCAAATCATTTAAACTAAAAGCGCCTCTATAAAAAATGGATTATTTATAATATTCTTATATATTTTGAGAACATTTAAATACTTCTAAGAATTTATATATATATTACAAAATATTTATAATTACTCCTTTCAGTTTAAAAATAAATAAGATTTTAAAAATTTTCTAGACATCAAAAATATAAATTCTAGATTAATTGCTTTTGAGTTTAATATTATTTGGACTATTTATTATCATTAAAAATAGATCAATTTTTTTTTAATTACTTTTTACTTTTTAAAATAGAGTAAACATTTATTTTTTTAAAAAAGATTAATATGAATTGATCTTCTATTTTGTTTTTAAATTTTAATATTCAAATTAAGAAAGTTAGGAAAAAGGGTAGGTAGACTTCGTTGGGAATAAAACTAAAAATAATTAAAAACAGCTTGAAAAAGCTTTAATCACAAATTCTAAAAATAAAAACCATAATTTCTCAAAGTATATAAAAAAGCATAAAAAAAAAGTGCAGCCTTTCCCCCTTTTAGACAAAATATTATTTTTGTTTTTGATGTTGTTTGTATTTGGTTGTCTTTTTGTTTCTTTTTGTTTTTTTACTTTGTGTGGTGTTGATTGTATTGCTATTGAGTTTTTTTGTTTTAATTTAATTGTGTATGTAGTTGTTTGCTTATTTGTATTAATTTTATTTAGTTAATGTATTTATTTATTTATTTAATGTTTTTTATTTATTTTATTTGGTTTAATATGTTAATATTTTAATTTTATTTATTAATTTATTTGTTTATTTTAATATCAATTTTTTAAAATTATTTCGCTAATTAGGTTAATATAATATTTTAAATAGTAAAACTACCTATTTTTAAAAAAATATTTTTATATATTAATTAGATAAAGAATTTTCTGTTTATTGATTTGGAGCTTAGGGGGACTTGTATTCTTGGAGAGCGTTCTAACTGCGTGAATTAAGTTCTTGGCATCTGGAAGATTTCAAGCTGCGAAGTTGAGCTTTGTCAAGAACGGTGTCTGGTAGTAACAGCATCACCTCACATATTCCACTCTAGCTTGAAAAAAAGCACATTTCTAGACTCCTCTATGTGGGAGATAGAAAGTTTAGAAGGAGTGCCAGCTAGAGCCCTAGAGAAGAAAGACTTCAGAAGACAAACCTTAACTTGTCTGTGAAGTTTTGTCGCGACTCGGAAGAAAATGCAGCTTCAAGCGATGATAGACTTTGAGAGAGAAGATCGAGCAATACTTTGAGCACACTTATCCGCATAAAAAATTAATAATGGTGCGGGTGTGATTTTTCTGTTGAATTTGAGGCAAAGGGCAAGCGAATAAATTCTTTTTTAGAAAAATCCTCATATAAGGGGGTTTCAAAGTATTGCGTTGCCATTCTCCCCACAAAATCTTAAGGCACATCATCTAACTGCAAATTCATTTATTTGAGCTTTTAAAAACTAGTTTTTGGTCGCTATTCCACTCAGTTAAAAAACTTAGCCTGAAGCATAACTGATAGGGTATTTCCCCCTTCTCACCATAGCCGGGTCTGCTGCATGTACATGACCTCACACATATGGGCCTGACTGTGAACTCTAGTGAAGGATAGAAGCTAGAAGCCCCACCCAAAAGCTACTCGTCATGTTGTTACAGCGGCTCTGCGAGCACTTTCGAAGGAAAGAATCGAAGGCAGTTTTTTGCACGCTTCGGATGAAACGTGACTAACGATATTTTTTCCTCAAAAACTCCTGGTAGATGATGTTTTGTTTTTTCACAAAAAAAAAGGTCTCATCAATTGAAAAAAAAAAAGCGAAGATCCTCTGCCTTAGAATTATCTTTGACATAATTCGAATCGGAGCCAATACATTCAGAAATACTTAAATTGGTAAAGGTATTCCCTCCTGTAATGACTATGAGCCCGATCGGAAAAGAGGCGTATCGCGCTGCCTTATAATTCTCTCTCATAAAAACTGGTCCTGGCTGCCATTAACCGAGGAGTTTTTACACTCCTTTTGCGTCTCCGCCCCTAACACATCGTTGAGAGGAAGAAACTACCTTAAAAACTTTAAATCTGGATTCGTAAAAGACACCGGTGAGTACCCTTAGTCAGCTAATCTTCTTTTGCGGCCATATTATTTTCAGGAACGTTAGAACTAAGCCGGGATCGGGAACCATTGCGTCTAAATGCGCTTCTATTAAAACTACACTTCCCCCATTATCATCATTATGAAACCCCTCAATATTCTGGGAATATTGTATCATTTTGATATTAACAAGATATCTTTGTTTGTTTTCTTATTTTTTAGCTTTTTCTTAATTAAAAAAACATTATGAAAAATCCCATTCTCTTTAATTTAATCATTTATTTTTCCTCTCTGATTTCAAAAATCAAATAATAAATAAAAACAATTTGTAATCAATATTAAAACTCATTAAAATTTATCATTTTTTATAATTCATAATTTCATTTTACATTTATTTATTTCTATTTTATAAGGTAAATCTCAATATAAAACTTAAATAGCTTTTTAATATTATAAAAATATTCTATTTCATAATAAATATTTTTGCAATATGAAAATAAAAGTAGATATTCAATTATATTTTATTATTGATTTATTTTATTAAATATATTAATTAGAATAAATTTATTGCTAATAATAATTATTTCTATTATCTAATAAAAAAATTTTTATTATCTTTACAAATTTAATCATTAATTTTGATTTCTGTTCATAAAATTGTATTAGAAATAAATAAATAAATAAATGTGGTAAAATTTTATTTATATCAATCAATCATAATCAAAATTTTGTTTCTTCCATTAAATAAAAAAATATTTTAATATTATTAAATTTAATTAATTAATTTTTATTATAAATAATTAAAATTATAAAATTTTATTTGTATTTTTTAAAATTATTAAGATTTTTTATTATTGCCTTAATATTATTTTATTTGATTGTTATTTTTATTTCAGATTTTAAAGATATTTATTATTCTTCATTTTTATAAAGTAAATTAGATTTTTAATTTATTATCATTTTTTATTTTGAAAATTAATTAAATAATTTTTGGGGGGAAAATTGAAATTTGATTCAATTAAGAAAGATAAGAAAATATAATAATTAATTAAAAAATTAATCGAAATTTTTCGAATTTATTAGGTAAAAAGAAAACAGGTAATTAAGAGGAAAAGGGTTTGGTCAAGGAAAATAAATCAAAATTTTTCTTGTGAAATGCGATTAATGAAGAGAGCTCAAGTTTTTATAATGGGAACAATTTTTAATACTCGCAAAGATGGAATCGCTATCCCCGATATTGCCAAATAGCCTCCAAATTAATCGCACAAACTAACAGAGACTGGTACTACAGTTCTAGACTTGTCACTAGCGGCCTGCTAATAACTTTCTCAAAACTGTTGGATATTTTAAGAATCGATTTCAAAGTTTTTAATCTCCAATTCAGCTCGAGTTAAAACTCACCCTTGATCGATATACAATCCTATAAATCTAAAGAAATCGACTAAAGATATCCTAGGGCGTGAAGGTTAGGGCGAAGCGACAGATAAGTTACTAGTTACAACGTACCGACCAGTCTACTAAAGCCTCAAAGAAAACAAAAACAGACAAGCCTGATTTTCATTTTTTTTTTTAATAAAAAAATATATTTTATGTATTTTTAATTCACGAAATTATTATGAAAGGAACGCTAGTGTGAGTAGTCTCTGGTAATATCCGAGGTAGTGAGTCAGTGCTGGAAATACCTGCAGTTGGGATTGGTTTTTTCTAGTTTTTTAAAGGCACGGAAAAGTTTTTAAATCGCTCCACCCGGTCCAACAGGCTTCCTGTTGGTTGGAGAAGAATGGCATAAATATAATTCGCAGAGAAAAAACCAAAAACCTAAAGACAGAATCCAGTTACTCCACTCTCCACCTCGTTAGAGCCGCAGTCAAAAACCCGTTCCATCTTTTTTATATAAAATATTTTTTTAATTTAGGCCATTAAGAAGAGAAATCAACAAAAAGAAGACTAAGAATTTTCATTAAAAAGAAATAAATAAATTAAATTAAAATAAAATAAACAAATAAGATAAAAAAATTAAAAAACTAATTAAAAAATAAAATAAAGCAAAAACTAATACACAAACAAACAAACACATAAAAAAATACACATAAGCAAACAAATAAACTAAAACCAGATAAAAAACTAATAAAATAAACAAAAATAAAATAAAAATAAACACATAATTAAAATACTAAATAAAATTAATTAAAAGAAATAAATTTAGTCTATATATACATATGCAGAATGCTTTTTTTTATTTTAGCTTAGTATTATTGGTCTTTAATCGAATTTAATTTTATTTAAATTATATGAAACAGGATTTAAAAGTCATTTTTTCTAAAAAAGAGCAATATCATTAATCTAGTTTTAAATAATAAATAGAATAGGTGATATCTTTTTTAATTACAAAGGGATAAACAAACACTTTTGATGATAAAAAAATAAAGCAACAAAAAAATGTTGTTATTATAATTTATTCAACTAAATATTTAAACCAAAAAAACATATTTAAGAATTATTTAAAAGCGAAACAGTAATACTTACTTAGCAATTATTTGAAGTATTATAAGCTAAAAATAGATTAATTAGCAAATTTAGTGAATAGTATTTTATGAAGATAGCAACAATCAATTAATTTCAAAATTTAAGATAAAAGGAGCTATTTAAAAAATTTAAGATAATAAGAAATATTTAAAAAATTTAAGATAAAAGGAAATATTAAAGATAACTTAGATTTGATTAAATATTACCAAGAAATTAAGTAAAATTCAATACTTTATAAAATAGATAGATAAATATCTAAATCAATCGAATCTTTATGCCAAATTATTTCTTGAATCAAAACTTGAATTAGGAAAAAGCTGATAGATAGATAAATAGATAATTATCAACTTTATTAATCAAAGAGAATTATTTACATTTACATATTTTTAAATTTACTTTTTTTTAACAAATTTTCAAATCATTCTTTATTATAACAATTTTTGATTAAAAATAATTTTCTCTATTGTATATAGATTAGAATATTTAGATAAAAAAAGTAATGATATATAATACAAGCAGAAAAAATATAGCAATTAATTTATAAATATTCTAAAAATTTGAATTGATGTAGCAAGAATATTGATAGAAAAAAATAATCAGTAATAACCTTAGTATTAAAATATAAATTCTAGTGTTCAATAAAAATAATATCTATTTAAACAAATTATTTTGATAAATACTAACAGATAAGTAAATCAAAACATTATTAGTTAGTTAGTTAGTTATTTAATTAATTATTATAGGAAATGAGATAGATAACTGTATTTGAAATAATTATATAAAATTATATAAAATAATACATTCTTTTTATTTTTTTGTTTATTTACTTGATTAATATAGTGAGAAAAACCTTAAATTGAATTATAGAGAACGATAAATAATTTTAAAATGAAATGATAATGAGAATGTTTCAGATTGAATTTATTTTATATATCCATTTGAGATATGAATAATTTAGTTTTTGTAGTATTTATTTATTTATTTATGTATTTGACTCTTGTTGTTATAAGTAATTAATTTATTTTTGATTATTATTTTTACATTTGTTAATTTATATTTGTTTTTTTCATATAGCTTGCTAACTTTTAGTTAACCAATATGGATGAATTTATTTTTGTTTTGCTTTAAATTAGAATATAATTTTTATTTTTTTTCTTCTTTTGACATCTCTTCATTTAAGCAGTAAAGTAAAAAAATATATTGAAATATATTTCTCTTTTTAGAATTAATTTTATTGAATTTTTCAAATAAGAGATGAGTTTTTAGCTTATCTTTCTTAGCTATAATTTTTATTGATGTTATTATTGATTGGCTCAGTTGCTTTTTCATAAAAATTATTTTGGAATTGGTAATAGTTCTGAATTATTTAATCCCTAGAATTATTATGATTTGATGTGCCGATTCTTTTGTTTAGAGAGTTGTTATACATATTATTCTGTTATGTTATTTTTTATATGTTATAAAAAGATGTTATGTCCTTCTTTACCTAAGATTACTCACTTGTCTTTCTTTTATTAAGTTGGCTTGTTATTTTATTTCTAACTTCTTAATTTTTGTTGTTAGTATTAGTATTGTTGTTGCTGCTGCTTAAGTTTTTGCTCTTTTTAATGCTAGATACATTGTTATATTCTAGGAATACGGGGCGTTTTTGGCTTTAATTTGGGACTTGGTTGTTGTTGTTGTTGTCCTATTCAATTTAGTTTAATCTCTTAGATGGAGATAACGAAGTTTTACTATAATATTAACTATAAAATTGCTATTAATATGGGTTTGTATCAGAGCTATGGATATTGTTTTACGAGGTGCTTGTGTAATTTGAATAACTTTTGTTTTTACCGTTGCCTTTAATTTCTGCTTGTTATTGAAGAGTTTAAATCTACTTTTTAGATTAAGTTGTTGAAGAACACTAAGATGATTTTAGAGAAGTTGTACCATAAGAATTTAATCTATTTGGGGATTTTGATTTTACTTTAGATTGCTCGATTCCGTATGAAGCTGTGTTGCTTAGTGATAATTTAGAATTGGTTTAATTATTTTACTTAATATAGCTGCAACTTGATGAGAAATTATTTTGATAAAATTCTATTGAGCTATCTAAATTATTATCGATGTTTTGTTTAGGGATGAAATGAGATTATGTAGAAATGAATGAATCTTTTACACTTATGCTATTTTTCTTTTAATTTAAAGGGTTTGATTGAGGTGTACCTATACCGCCTCCAATACTAGGTTTAGGACAAGGCTTAGGATTATTTGTTATAAATGAAAGGAAATATTCAGATGGAGTTAATTCAGCTTCATTTCTCCAAAAGTTTGTTTCGAAACTTTATCTATTATTTGTGAATGCAGTAGCTGTTGATGTCATAGTAAAATTTTAATTTGACTATATGCTGAAGGGAGAATTTATTGTGCAGTTGTTATTCAGACTTGTTGCTGTCATGCTTCCTGCTTAATTATTAGTCAGATTGCTATTATTTGTTATAGTATTTGAGTTGCTACTCAAATCTTTTTATTCTTCTTTTTGACAGTTAATGTTGAGGGAGCTATTAGCAATCTCTTCTAAATTTATTTTTATTATGTTTTGACTGTTTTTTTCTTGTCTGCTTTTCTCAGAAGGATCAAACGAAGGTACATTAACTTTATAAAGGTCTAAATTAGCACAGCTATTATTTGTATTTGCTGTAGTGTTATTATTTGCGTTTGCGTCTGAAGAAGAGCTACTCAAACAAGTTGGGATTTGAATTCCCTTTTAGTTACTTAAATAAATTACATTGCTATTATTATTAAGGTTTTATTAATTTATAAGTTAATTGTTTGATTGATTTCCTTAGAGATTATTTTGTAAGCTGTTTAATCCATTGAAATTATTGAGAGAATTATTACTTAAGGGATTTACATTTTATTAGTAATAAGAATTGTACGGATTACTTTAAGCATTCTAATTAGGATTGCTATTCAAATTCAGGTTGTAGGTTTGACTTGTCTGGATACTTGAAATAGACTCTTATGGAGAAAGTGTTATTTGAGATCCAAACGCAAAGGAAGACGCATTTACAGGCTAAATAATAGAAAGCTTTATGTCAGTATTTGCAAAGTTAGAAGAACCAGCTAAAGTTGTTTAGTCATATGAACGATAAGGAGGTGAACACGAAGAAATGAATGATGAAGCTGCAGAAGCTATATTATTATTATCTTTTTAATTACTTCCCTATTAATTTTACTAGGCGATTTGACTCATGCTAGTTGTAGGAAAATTATGAGCATTTTGGTTGCTGTTATTGTTGTTTGAAGGAGCTGAATATGATTAAGGAATAGATGAATGGGGTGAATTACCAATTAAGGTTGATGACGCAAAATTATTATTTAAAAAAATATCTGCGTTACTAACATTATAATTATTATTATTGATATAATTATTTGTAACTTCAGTATTGTTCTTTTATTAGTTTATAATAGATGCGTTTGATTTAGAAGTATTTTCTTATAGATAATTTTCTATTTTTATATTTTGGACATCTTATAGCGAGAATTCATTTACCAATTTTTATTCCTAATTGATCATATTTTTATTGTTATCTTCTGATAATAAGTCTTATTTGCTGAGTCTAGCTAGCACTAACTCACTTCGACTTGAAAATTGGTCATTTTAATTGCCATTTCCATTTTAATCTTTACAAAGCAGGTATTCGTGACTGGTTGTCTTTTTTAAAGGTGAAACAGAAATAATTTCACTAATGCTGTGAGAATCGCGCTTGACTAGATTTTTTCTAGCTTCTTCTAACTTTGAGTTTTGAGTATTAGAATTGTTTTATTAGATATTAGTTGTAGTACTGCTTTAATCTTTAGTGATTTAACTAGTTTCTTTTATTATATTCATGTGATTAATTTTATCAGTAATTATAATATTTCTGTTCATGCTTGTATCATCTCTATGAGGAGATTAACTTCTATTTTATAAATTACTCTAAGAAGTCGTGTTTTGATTAAAATTTTTAAAAGCATTTTAGATAAGTACTGAAATAGAATTTGGTTGATTTTACTGGTTAACAGGTTGAGAGGAGTATCTTTAATTTCCTAAGTTATTTGAGATTTAGTTTTACTTCTATATTTAATTTTGCATTTAAGATTATTGCGAATAATGTTAAATATTTGAACCTTAAGGTTGCTTAGGAGCGAAAGATTCGAAAATAGCGTGATTATTCAATTAATCTTAAGAAATAGCTTACTACATCGAATAAAACACTCCATCAATTATATTGTTATTATCTGCTTTATTGTTCTAGTTTATATTTTATTAGTTATTGACAAATTAATTATTTTAGCAGTTTTCACTTGTTAAATTAGATTTTTAATGATGAATTTATGTCTAATCATGTTTTTTAATTATTGAAACGGGCTGATTTACTGGTTATTATGAAGCAGAGATTGGAGAAGAATGCCTAGCTTAATTATTTTTTTAGGAAAGACAAGAAGGTATTTAATTCAACAATTGAGGATTTTAGTTATTTTTTGTAGGATTTTTTTCAGCATAATAGTGGTCGAATCTCTTAATATCTTCATCTGCAGAAAATGTATGAATGGTAGGATCGCAGAACGAAACTCTCTTTTTCTTTTCTCCATTGCTAGATGAATTAACCTAAGAAAATTAGCTGGGTTTAGCAGGTTCACATCTTTTCACTTTTTCTTAGTCCAAATTTCCATTTTCTTCATCATCGCTGTCGTGTCCAAAAGAGAAAACAGAACAAAGAACATTTGTGTTATTCTGATGAACAAATTCCTCAATTCCAGTTAAGCTTTATAAGTTGTTTAAGCCTTAAATTGATTCCAAACTCTGCCAATCCCCATTTTTTAAGTGCTTGAATTTTGGCGTATCTTCACTTGGCTTTAATGAATTACCAAGAGTTGATATTCTAATATTTTATGTATCTTGCTAAAGTGTATATTTACCAGGTATTTGACTCTAAGATTTACCTTTATTTGTATTGCTACTGCTGTTTTAGTGCAGAGTTTTTTGCAGTTATTTGAGAGAATTTTAAGCCTATTTTGACAAGTTATGACTTTAAATAGATTGTTAGCTAGTTAAATTAGTGTTTTTCTGAGCGACATTGTTTGTTTGAGTTTAAATTTTACTGCTACTCATTTTAGAATTTAGAGTGTTATTTGCTTATAAAATAAGCGATGAAGGCAATTACTCTCTAGGTGAAATCTTAGGAGATGTTGTATTGCTTGAACAGCTAAATTTCTAACTTTAACTATATAATTAACTGCTTGCTGCATCATCAGTATTATTGTTTACTCCAATTTTTGAACCTAAATTAGTAGCTAAAGACATGTTCTTTTTTTAATTCATCTTTAAAATATGCTCTGTATGTTATTGCATGCTTTTCAATTTCTGATTTGTCATATGGACATCACGAGAAAATGGGCTTGTGCTAAGCTTACGCACTTGGGATGAAACGCTCATTCAATTTAATCGTGGCCTTCCTTAATAATGAATAAATAATGAATTAATTCAATGACTCCTTATTCGAAACACTGAGCTGCTATAAAAAAAATTTGATTGATTACCTTGTTGCTTTTAAGCTTATAAAATTGTGTAAATATTCTTTTAAATTATAAATTAATTATCTATGAATTTTGACTTTTATAATGCTTTTCATTCACTTTTTTAGGCTTTTTCAATGCTTTTTTAGTATTTTTTAATGATAATTTATTTACTCACAATGGCTTTTAATTGGTTAATAAGAATTACCTTTCATGAGTAGTAATTTCTCAATACGATTCAATTATTTTTCACTGTCTTTGTTATTTAATTTAATATGAGCAAAGTTATTAATGAATTTTTTCAGGCAAGACAAGGATACAAATCTTCCTTTTAATTTCATTATTGTTGGTCTTTATCCAAAATTTTGTTTACTCTTTTTTTTTCTTCTTCTTTTTTAATTCACAAATTGAAAGATAAACAAATATTTTAATAAGCTATAAACTCATTGTCATCAGCTTGACTGATTCATATATTAATTCTTTATTTATTTATTTATTTTTCATTCAGTTTCCTTTTCAATCATAAGAGCTCTTAAATATTTTGTTTCCTCTAAAAAATTAATTAACATTCGCTCCACTTTTCTTTTATCTCTTTACTTCTTTTTACCAAAATCAAATTGCTCTGTTTCTATTACGTGATAATTACATACATAATCTAATTACACTTTAAATATAAGATATTTTTTAGTTATCTTTTTCCTTATTTCTTCATTATTCCTTTAAAGCGTTGTTACATCCATCATCTCCTTAATCACCCACCCATTCATTCTACATAATAAAATTTAAAAATAATATAAAGCTTTATTTTCTATTCTTTTGTACACCAACTCTAATAAAAAACTCAGTTTACACTCACAGAGCTCCTTTTATAAAAAGATACAACAATCATAACAAAAATTTATTCTACTTTATATTTAAAATAATATTTTGAAAAACTACTTAAATACAACAAAAGACAATATTAAAAAGCATGTAAATATTTAAAAAGTTTGATAGACATTTAAAAAAAATTAGCTAATAAGCTCTAAAAAAATGAGAATAAATTATTATAGTATCCAAACATAAATCTAAAAACCAGTATTTAATTTTGTTAAACTAAAATCCAGTGACTCAATATTTTATCTTGCAAATCAATAAAATGCGTATTGTATTTATTTATTTTATTTGCCATAGATTTTAAGAAGGCGAGATTGATTTGATTATAATTTTTATAGATTATTTAGCGTGAATTAATAAAAAAAAACAATAAATTTTAAGACAAAGCAAACAATTATGTTTATTATTGAAATAAATAACAAATAAATTAGATATATTTCTATAATAACAAAAATAATAGGATAAAATTAATAAGATTAAATTTTAGCAAAAAGACATATTATAAATTATTTAATATTATTAGTTAATAATACAATAGTTAAAATTTCTTTTTTTATGGTAAATTAATTGATTTTTGATACATAATTTGCTCTCAATTTTGACCATTAATTATCAATTTAAAATCTTTAAATACTAAATAATTCATTATTAATTATTTTTTATTTCCATCAATTATTCTTTAAACTTAATTTGACCACATTCTTTATTTTGCATTTCCTTTATCATTATAATTAATTTTATTAGCCATCAATTTTGCATTAATCAGAAATATTTATACAAAATAATTTGAATTTTTTCCAAATATAAAAAGTAAAAAAAAAATCATCTGCTTTAAATAATAAAAATATAATTAATTCTTTTTAAATGGATATAAATTTATTTTCATTTATTTATCAATTTTACTAGCCATAAATTTTCCATCAAACAGAAATATTTATGTAAAATAACTTGAGTTTTTCTAAATAAAAAAAGTACGAATAATTAATTAATTGTATTTGATATAAATAACGATAAACGATAGTTTCAAAATAGTTAAAATTCAATAATTAGAAAGCCCTTTAAATTATTAACTCAAACAAATCAACAATTTTAACCATAATAAAATTAAGGATATATTTTTAATATTGCTAATAAAAGATAATCAGTTACAGTATTTTTGTAATTAATCTTATTAAGATTGGTTTTCATAATAATTAGTAAGATTTTGCAATTAAAGTTAATTCATAAAAATAAACTCTAATTATGATAGTAAAAACTTAGTTAAAAAATTCAATTTTTAGATCCTTATTATGTTTATTTATTTATTTATTTCATAATCTTGTGAGCAAAGTTTAGTTTATAAAAAAAACTAATTAAATTTATTTTAATAATTTTTCTCACTTCTTCCATCTTAAGCTACTTATTTATTTTAGGCTTAAAAGTGACTCCTTAAAATTAGATATTTTATAGAGAATTTACCAATAAAAACTTATTTTTAGTATAAAATTAAATATTTTTTTTAATTGAACTATTTGATTTAAATTTTATTTCAACTTTATTTCACATTAAACAAATGGAAACCTAATTTATCTTATTGTTGGATATAACTAACTTTTCAATAAATTTAATTCATTATTTTGAAATTAAATTTGTTTAATTTCAAAACAATAAACAATTTTTTTAACTAATTATGTATGAATCAATTAACTTATTCTATTAATAAAATATTTTTTTTTTAACGGAAATAAAATTTTAATGTTATCAATTTAATATGGAACATAAATTTATGAAATATCTTATGATATAATCTCATTTCTCATTTATAATTTGTTGGAGTTTATCTTATATTTTACTTTGTATAATTTTAAAGATATAAATTCTAATTTGGCTTTTACTTAAATTTTAAAAATAACTTTCAAAATATCTTGATAGATTATCATCATTAATACCTCTTAGAATCTTTTAGAGAAGCAAATTAATGAGTTTAATGAGAATTTAAAGAGTTATAAGTCAGTATTTAGAAGGATAAGTAAACATGCACTAAAAAATTTAATTTTCTTTAATAAAAATCCTTGTATTTCAATCTAAATAATATCTATATACTATCGTTAAATAAGGCTGAGTTATATTAAAGTAAATTTTAAAAACATTTTAGGATTAAAAAAACATAAACATCCATACAACAATGTTTCTATTGGTGCTGTTTATGAGGGAAAACAGTATGAAAAATCTATATTAAGATAATTAGATTTTTAAGCCAGTTAAAATTATTTAAAAATATGTTTGTTTTGATAATAAAATAAGTGATAAAAATCTAATTATCTTTTTAAGACAAAGATTTATTAAATATAACAAAAAGTTTATATAAAATTTAAAACATTTTTTAAATGAGATAAATCAACAGTTTATTTTTCTACATTATTATCATATTTAATCAAAATCAGAAAAAATATAGAAAAATATTTGATTAGATTATATCAGATATAAAGTTAGATCTTATCTGCAAGGACAATCAAATTAATTCTAATAAATCAATTTTTTAAATACTGAAATACTTAATAAGCAAATGATAAAAACAAAAACCGCTTTTCCTGCAAAAGAGATCACACTTCCAAGTTTATAAATATTTGATAAAAGAAAATATGCTAAAGTTAATGAAATAAGATATTCAAGATATAAAAAAAGAGTAAATCATTTACAGATAGTGTTAAAACAATCTAAGATTATTGAAAATATATTATATTTTCTTGATATGAAGAGTTTAGGTAGAATGGCATCTCTAAACTCGAAATTTCGTATGATTATAAAGCACTTCATATTAAATTACTCTTTAGAATAAATTAACAAAAATGTTATCAGCAATGACATAATAATACATAACTTTCAAGATCATATCAAAAAAAAATTTAAACTAATAGATTTAGTTGACTAAATCAGCTAAAATGAAATAAAACATATAGATTAAAGCTATCACTTTGTATAAAAGTAAATTTTACTTATTGGCTTACAAAATAATGGACATCTGATAAATTAAGAGAATTTAGTTATTCCTTACATATTATAAAAAGGGCTTAGGAGTTGCTTTTAAGATATATTTTAGTTCTAATATCCTTTTCCTTAGAAATATTATGCTGAAAATTAAATTCCTTTCTTTTCTGAAAGTGTTAATCTCTCTGACAATGTTAATTTCTTGATAGAAACTATTTATGAAACTATATTACTTAGAAATAAATACAAAGGAACGTTTTATTATCAAAAAAATCAACAAATTTTTGTTAAAGCTTATAAAACAAACAAATAAATTGAAAAAATTAAAAATTTTGTTGCTAAAATAGAACCTCTAAGATTTAAAAAGAAAAATGGTGTTTACGAGTTCTTAAATAAAAATTGCTTGAGTTTAATAATGAGCTTTTTAGATATCAAATCAGTTCTAAATTTAAAACTTTCATCTAAAAAAATGAGCTAATTGGTAGATATTGCTTCTAAAGGCCTTATTGAAAATCTAAACTTTAAGAAAGAAGAGCTCATGATTCAGTAAAATATGGATGAGCAAGAATTTGAAAAAAATACAATTTTTCTCAACTATTATCTTTTATCAGAAAAAATATAAAGTTGTAATTCAAATAAACTTTTATCGTTTGAGGATTCTTAAGTAATTGTTGATTATTTTAAAGATATTGACTTCATATATGAAAATACTACTTTTTAGATTAATAGAGTTCTTATTTAAAATTAATTGAACTTATAAGAAAAAATATATGCAAATTTTATTGAATCATTTTATTCTACCTAAAATCATATTTCAGGTGTGAAATTTATTGCTCATTACAAGCAAAGCAGCGCCTTGATCTAGGAATATTTAAATTAAATTCAAGATATTCTAAAAGATAAAATATCTTAAGATTTATTTGTTAAAATGATTGAATTCATAAAAATCTTTAATGCTCAGCAGCAAATATTATTTTACAAAAACTTACTAAAATAATCTTTAAAAATTCCATACATATATAAAATAAATTGGATAATATTGTTTTCTTGATCTTTAATTAAATATTTATTTGTTTTTAATTATTTTTACATCTAAAAAAATTCTTTTTCCATAACTTAACTTTAACTTTTATTCATTAAAATTTTATAAATTCTCAACAAAAATATTTCTTTTAACTTATTTTATACTAACTATTTTGTAATAAATTTAATTCTAAAAGTATCAAATTTTATCATAAATTAATTTTTTTTAAGAATATATTTTTATTTTTTTTCATTATTGCTTTTGTTTTTAAAATGATTTATATATTTAAAATAAATATACTGTATTTTTATTATTTTGGATTTTAGGTGAATAGGGTTAATCGTTGAATTTATATTCTTATTGCTTTAATTAAAAATGTTCAGAATTATTCAATATCGGCCTTAATATCTAAGAACTCAGGGTATTTAGGATTTTAAAATAATGAAATTGTAATTTGATAAAGTAAATTTAAGTTAGATTATTAATAACGTTATTTTAAGTTTATTAAAAAAACTCTAAAAATATATCTTAATTTGATAATTTAAAATTATCTTTTTTAATTAATTTTTAAAAAATTTAAAAAAGTAAATGTTACACAAAATCATTATTTTGATGAGTAACTAAATATTTTATATAAATAAATAGTGATTTGTTTTCGTGAAATTTTTAATGAAAGATTTCAAGCTTTTGAGAAAAGCTATGAATGGTAAAGATTTAATTTTAGAGTATTATCTATTGTTTTAGAGTAATAAAATGATTGGAACTTAAATTATCATTAATTGAAATTAAGTAAAGATTACTTGCCAAATAAAATTTCATAGCTTTCTCTTGGATTTTGAAGAGGAGATTTGCTTGCTGTCTTAAAAGTTTATTGTTTTAATAAGAAATTGAATTTGAGAAAAGGATTTAACAAAATTTGCAATTTATTATTAATCATTCAATATATTAATAAATACTGAACATAATTAAATATATCTTACGCATAAGTCATCAACTTATATAAAGTAAAAACAGTAGGATAAATTTATAAAGCAAATTAAAATGAATTCATAAGAACTCCGATCGAATTCTTTATAGCTAACACAGCAAAGAAGCTAAAAGCTAGAATAAAAAACTCCTCTAAAGCGAATTAGGGTTGGAGAAAATGCACGTTTACATTAACCAGTTATCTAAAATAGAACTTCTCTTTCATATATTCACACTACTTCGACAAGTTAAATTAATTTTAGCAAGCATGATATTCCTAATTCCCCAAGTAGCATAGTGCATTTAGAATAGTATTTTAAAGAGTAATAATGTAAATTTTAATAGTATTTCAAAAGCTTTAAGCCAATTATTTTGCTGCTTTTTTTTTCAGAATTGATTCAGATTTTTATTTTTAAAAATAGGTCAATTGATTAAACTAAACATGGTAATCAAAGCACTTAAAAGGGATTAAAGTAGAGAAATTTTTAGGAACATTTAGATAAACTTGAAATCAACAAGCTTGAAAGCGAAAACCATACTTTGCCACCTCTTAAAGAATCAAGCAAATAATTAATTGAGAATAATAGCAATACAATTAGTTAGTTAGTTCAAAGCTGCAAAAAACTAAATATTACATCTTTTGGCAATATTCCATTTAACAACATGAGTCCTAAGAGTGAAAAAGGATTCCATGTAAATGGCGCCAACAAAATATAGGCATTTAATTCTGAATAAATAAATAATATCATCAATCCTGCTTTAAAAGTATAGATTGTACCTAATACAAAAGAATAAACTAAAAGCATCAATTAGTCTACGACTCAAAATTATATTATCAGTTAAGTTTAAAATGTTAGCACATTATAGAACTAGTCAATAGTTAAAGAGAAGCTCTAATCTCTTTAAAGTTTCTGTTCTCCTAAAACTCTTTCTTCAAAAAAATCTAAACAAGATGGAGCTCCAGAGAGTAAAGTAGAATCTTTTGCATCACCTACTTCAATCAATAGTAAAACCGAAGAAAATAAGAACTATTTAATGAAAAAACAATTTTCAGAAGGTATTCTAAAGCTGATGAAAACAGATTCACCCTTAAGAATGCAACAGAGTTCATTTTATGCAAAAAATAGTTATTTTAATAACATTTAAAATTTAAATAAGACACAAACAAAAGATACTTAAACATATTCTTCAGTAGATAAAAATGCAAATTAATAGCAAGCAAACAAAAGCAGCATAGGAAGAAAAAGGGCAACCATGCAAGAATTTTTCACTAACAGACTAAACACAAAAAACAATACTTAATAAGATAAAATGTAAAGTTATGATGATTTTTCTCTGAAATAAGCGCATTCCACTTCATAGTAAACAAATAATAAATTAAGCAGCAGTAGTATAACCTAGTACTCAAAACTAGAAGATGTTTCTAAAATATTGCAAATGCAAGTTTCTAATGCTTTAACAGATGTGCCAAGAAGTATTTAAATATTTATTTTCTATTTCTTTTAATAGGGGTATTTAAATCAATTTAGTCCATTAAAAATTTGTTATTATTTTATTTCATAATTTTCTTAATATTTTATTAAAAAATTATTTTATATTAAAAATACCAGCTCAAATGTGTAATAAAAAATTTTTTAAATATTTGAGAATACAAATTAGTACATTTTTAAATTGTTAAAAGGGGAAAATATAAACAATAAAATTTTAATTTTGAATCATTTTCAATACTTTTTGATTTAAAAGCTAATTAAAAATACATTTTCTAAAAATAGATAGAGCAGATTTAAAGGAATTAATTAAGTGGTTTGAATTGATTAAAAAGTAAAATGAAGAGCAGAATAAATATAATATAAATGAGAAAAGGAAGAAATAATTAGAAATCATACAAGTTTGTTTTAAAGAGTTGAGCCATTAAATTAGGATTGATTTTTTGGAAAGAGAACAATTTTTTAAAATGGTTTGGAATGAGAATGTTAATTATTATAAAAGCTTCATAGAAGATTTTGAATAGATAAAAATAAAATTAAATACTGATGCTGATTCAGAGTACAATCGAGTTAGCAACTTCTACCAATAATATATCAAAACAAAAGATTTGGCTACAGAAGAAGCATTTCTAGAGAAAAGAAATGCTGAGAAAAAATTAGAAGAAATTAAATAAGAGCTGACTGCAAATTAATAAATCTAAGACTCATTAAAAGAAGAGGTGAATAAATTTAAAAAGATTTGCATGTTTCTTAAAAAGAAGCTCGTAACAGTGACTAAAGAGTTAGAGGGAGTGATGTAAAGATAAGAAGACAGAGCACGACATAGCAAGCACCAACTTAACGAGTATTTTAAAGACTAGATGCAAAAATTAAAATAATAAGGATTAAATATCTCTTAATAAAATGAATCAACTATTTAAAGTAATTTTTAATTAAAAATTATTTTAAATTAAATTATTATGTTTTTATTTAATCAGATTTAATTGAGTAATTGAGATAAGCGAATGATAATTTAACAACTTAGTAAAAGTAGAATATTGTGTAGGATTAAAAGCAGGAGTAAGAAGAATAGTAAAAAAATAAAAATAATAATGAAGAAGATGAGGAAGAATAAGAATAAGAGGATGATGATAATTTTACTTTTGAGTATAATGAAGGAGGAGACTTGGTTCAAGGAGTTGATTAGTTAAATGCAGTTATAGTAAATACTGAATAAGAAGTTAAAAAAGAATGTAAAGAGACTGAGGTCGATGATTAATTAAGAAGAATGTACATGAAAGATGTAGAAGTTTAAACTAAATTATATTTAGTTGATAATAAATTTGATGCTGTTTTGTATGATGTAGAAACTATGAATGATATATTTGATTTTTATGTCTATAAGTAGTAAATGGATGAATAAGTTGACAAATTTGATGTTAATCAGTTTATGCAGTAGCTTGGAGAATAGGATTAGATAGAGAATTAGAATTTTGTTTAAACTATCACTAATATTAGAATGGATAGTATAGAAGAGAGTAGTAGTAATAATGATAGTAAAAATTAAAGTGATAGTAGCAACTCAAGTGATAGTGAAGAAAGTGAAACAGAAGATTAAACTAAAAAATTGTAGAAAGAAAATAAAAAATAAAAATTAGCAAGATAATCAAAAATTTTGTAGAATTTGCATCCATAATTAATGGTCACAGCAGCTAAAAAAGATTATGATAGTTTAAGAGGATTTTAATAGAGATAAAGTATTAGGTAGAGACTTTCAATAAGACAAAATGTTTTCAATTCTAATAGACACTTAGCTTTATACCTTGAACAGTATTTGTCTAGTAATTTTATTAATGATATCATAAGTATTTTTGCTGAAAAAATAACTGGATAAGCTGATCCTAATGTTTCCTCTTCAGTAAACTTACTTGAAGTGCCTTCTATGCTGTAAGCACCAAGAGTAGTTGGAGGTCCTAGAAAGAGTATTTTGAATATGATTGATACTAATCCTTTTGTATAGAAAAAAAGAAATGAGTTAAAATAAAAACTAAACTAGCTTTTAGATCCTGAAAAACTTAAAACTGTGCTTGATGATGCAGGATTAAAAGTGACTAGCTCAAATACAGAATCGAAATTAGAAAAATTCGTTAAAATATATTAAATGTCATAGTTAAAAGGATAAGAGTTGTAAGTATAGCTAAAAGGTGCTAAGTAAATGCTGGATAAATACTAAGAAGACTTAAAATTAAACAATGAAAAATTAATTGATAAAGAATAGCTAACAGAAGAATAAAAAACTGAAATAAATCGTCTCGAATAAATTATAAGAGATCTCTAAGGCGAATTAGAAATGTCACTAAAAAGAGAAAAAGAAAATTTGGTAAATAAATATATTTTCTTTAAATATTACTTTACTTTAAAATTAATCAATTTATTCAAATAAATATTTTAAAAATTTACAAAATATTGAAAGTATTTTTCAAAGGATAAAAAACTTCCAACTTATAAATTGAAGATGTTATTATTTGTTCTTCAAAATTTTTTGATTAATTTTTAAGCTATTTTATAAATTTAGTTGAGTTTTATTTGATTTATATAAAAATTAACAATTTCTTAATAGTAATAGATGAAAAAAGGCACATTAGAAAATATTGAAGAGAGCGAAATGCAAGTTAAGTCTAAATAACCTAGAATATTTAGATAGAGAAGAGAAAAAAAAGAAGTAACTGCTTTCTAGCTAGGTAAAAAAATTAACATAGAATGGGAGTTCTAGAAGTAATAGAATTCTGGTAAGTAAATTGTCGAAAAAGCAAAAAATAAAAAGATGGCGAAATTCCATAATTTTATGACTGTAAAAACTGTTTTGAAATAGATATCTATGTTATATAACGAGAGGATGGTAGTTACTAAGGAAAATAGCAATTATAAAGACATAGAATTTTCCAACTTCGTTTATAACTTTTACAGTGCATAATATGGTGTCAAAAAGATAGCAGATCAGAAGTTTCTTATTTTAATTCTCTCCATCAAAAAATATAGTTAAATACTTAGGATTAATATGTTTTCAAGATTCTTAGGTCTTCAAGAGGGAAACATGAATTTTACTACTGATGAACTCAATAAGTATATAGATGTGCTAGATTTTATTAATAATGTTTCTTAAGCAGGTAATTAATTATTTATTTATTTTTGAATTTATACTATTGATATTAATAAAAATCTTTTATTCGTTTATTTATTTATTCTTTGATTAATTTATTAATTAATTAATTTATTCTTTTGATTAGCTTATTCATCTATAAGTTTATTCTTTTGTTTTGTTTGAAAGATTTTACAAATTTAAAAATATTCATAAATTAGGAACAAACTTTACTAATAACGAGAGCGAGTAGAAATATTTAGTTCCTTACATTAAAGCGGTTCACTACATCAGTTAATTTGGTGATTCTCGTATGAAGACAGAGGAAAATTAAGAACTTAGAAGAGAAGTAGAAAACATGAAGTTTATGGACTCAAACAAGACTGCTGTTTTGGATTTTGACTAATTTATGAATAGGATGCTTGCTACTTATAAAATACTTGTAAATAGAGCAAAATAATATGTTATAAATGCATTTAATGCTTGTGATTTGGATGGTAATAAAAAATGCAACTTCAACGAATGGAGCTTACTTAATAGACACATAGAGCCAGATAAATTTGATGATGATTAAATTATTCAAATTTTTGAAGACAATGCTGACATTATAGAAGAAGATGGAGAGAAAAATCTATCTTTTGATAAATTTGCTGTGGTCAGTCTTGAATATGAGCTTTTTAGTGATGAAGCGTAAGATCGTTATTTAGAAATCACTAACCCTCTTCAATTCAAAATAAAATATGATTCATTAATGCAAATTTGGCCAAGCAAATCTATTGATATTTAAAAAAGATTTTATAATCTTTAAAATATTGATGAAGAAACAAAAGAAGAATGGTTAAATATTATCAAAGTTTTAGATGAAAAGCTTAACACTTTAGTTTTTTCGAATTCTAATGTGAAGCCACTTCTAATTGCCTACACAATATTAGATAGAGAATCAAATTTATTAGAAGTGGATAACATTGAATACCTCAAAAGTCTTAATAATATTTAAAATCAGTCGTCACAGAGCCCTGAAAAATAGTCTCCAATCTGATTTTTAATTTCAATTTAACAAGTTATTTGCAAGCTAATTAAGAAGAATAAAAAACAATAAAATTTAAATTATTAACTTAATGTTAATTTGAGTAAATATAAAGTAAAATTATCTAAATTTATTAATTAAAATAAGAATTTAAAAGTTTTTATGCTAATCTTTAAATCAAAACAAAAAGAAAGATAAATTCGTATTTAGAATTAAAGTTTTTTAATATATTTTACATAAAGTTTATTACCTTTTGTACAATAAAATATTATCAGATTTAAAAAGTAATGAGATATTTGTTCTTTTTTTTATATTTTTGTCAATGTATATTAAATTAAAATTCTGCTTAAAAAAAGCAGAATTGTATAAATTTTTTCTTGAATTATATTATTTGTTCTTTAGTATCCTTTTTAATTTTAAAATTTATTACTTGTAATTAAAAGTTAGTTTTAAATTTAAATAATAACTGTTCAATAAAAGTCTGGGATAAAATATATTAAAATATCTAAAAAAATTATAAAGGCAATATATCTTTTTATAAATTCTACTTATTCCAGTTTTTTTTTAAAGTAGCTTTTCATGAAATAATATCTAAATTTATTTCAAAATAAACTGTTTTATGAAGAGTATATTATGGATTGACTAGTTTATAAGCATTTATTATAAATCATGTTAAAAAATTTTTCTAGCCTAATGAATAACTAAAACAAGCAAATTATTATAAAAGAAACTATTATCTATATCTTGGGCATTATATCCAGACTTAAACAATTGAGAAAAGGCGTATGCTCCCAAGAAAGAGTTTAAAACTTCTAGAAAGAAGTATAAAATTGCTTACAAAATTTTAATTTAAATGAGATTCGTTTTTTCTGTTGAATAAATTAAAGAAATTTTAATTTTCAATTCAAAGTTTATTCTTTTTATTTAAAGTTAATATCAAATTTTTCTATTTACTATACTTTTTAATCAACCCAAATTTATCTCGAGTAGAAAATGGGGATAATTTAAAAATGAGACTGCAAAATTTAGCATCAAACATAAACTCATTAAAGAAGTTAATTAGGAAAATTGATGTAAAATAATTTCTGATTTGTTTAAATGAGCAGCTATTTTATTTCTAACCCACCCATAACATTTATGTTTTATTATTAATGTTGCTTGAAATATTGTATAAAATTTTTTTCTTCTAAAAGTAAAAAAATAGTAAAGATTTATTTTAAACTTTTAATAATAGAAAAGCAATAATGAATGGAATTTAAAAAATAAAAAAATCAATAAAAAAAATAAAACAATTATTACATATTATTTTCTTATGCATATATTTATTTTTTTTTTTTTGCTAAATTTATTTTATTAATATCTCAAAATATTTAAATATCCAAAAATTAATTATCAATTTAATCATTTATTTTAAGGTGAAATAATAAAATTACATCAACTGCTTTTGTATAATCTTTAAGATTATTCATATCAACAAAATTGGATATGATATGATTTTCAATGATTTTAATCTAATATCTTATAATTATTTAAAAAATCATCAAAAATATATTTTAATATAATTGCGTATATTTTTTTTTAATTATTAATATACTTTTTTTAAATATATAAATAAGTAAAAAACAAGCAAACCCTTCCCAACTTAAATAGCTTTAAAAATGAAAATATTATCTAGGAAAGCTATAAGCCTATTTTTTTTCATTTAGTTGATTAGACTGCAAATGAGATACGCGTAGCTATGCTAATAAGAAATAACAGAATAATTAAAATAATAATCAATAGAGTATGACTGTATTGATTAAAAGATTGTAATCTAAAATTAATAATTAATATCATTAAAAATGGATCTTAACGAATTAGAAATATTTTCTAATTTAATCATTCAAAATGTAGAAAAATTTTAAATTGATTCAATTAATATTTAAGCTTGCTTTGTCAATTTAGTTGATAAGTAAAGCTCATTCATATAGATAAATAACATTAATACTCTTGTTGTAGGAGACATAATTATTGAGTAGACTTTAGTTTAATAGCTAAATGAAATAATAAATGTTAATAATATTGATTAGATTTCAATTAATTAATTTATAATCAATGCTGGTTTTTCATTTGACTCATAAAATATTCATCATTAAAAGTCTATAGGAATGAATGAAAAACTAGGTTAAAATTAAAAAGATTTAATTGATAACATTTTAATTTAAATATCTGGAAGTAAAATAAACATAAATCAATTAACTATGAATACTCAATTCAGTTCTATTATTTATATCACTTCTGAGTAAATTTTATAAATAAACTAGATTAAAATTAATATGTAAAACTAAAGTGTTGATTAATAAAATGAATTGTGTAAGATTCAAGTCGGTAGTCTTTCTTAGTTTTTTGTTGATTCAATAATAATAATTGCAAACGAAGAACCTGTCTTATAATCGAATGTTTTAATTATTAATTTATTTGCAAATAACTTATTGAAAATAGGATATTTTGAATTAAATTTGTCTTTCATAACATATTACTCTATTGAAATAAATATAATAAACAGCTTTTAAGACAAATATATGCTTAGAATCTTTGATAATCAAAGTTTGGAAATAAATAAAATCTATTATAATTGCATATAAGAATTGGGATCAACTAATTATTCTTTTGATATTTCCGGATTTAAGAGTGTTTAAATAAATGAAATTAAGTATGGATAGAGTTTTTTCTTATTTTGGACTTTTAAAATTAGTCTTTGTGAAAACGTCTTCGTATAAAGAATTTAGGTTTATTAAGAAAATATTGAAGATGGTCTTTATAATGGAACAATAGAATTTAGTTAAATAGACAATTTAGTACTTGACAATATAATATTAGAAAATGTTATTCATACTTTTTTGTTTAATTTTTTAGAAATAGAAAGTTCAAAAGTTTTAATTAAAAATATCTTATTATCTAATTTTTAAAATATCAACTATAGCAATTTTAATATAATTAATTGCCCTAGCGTCGAAATAAACAATATTATTATATAAAACTCTCTGATACTTAATCAGATAATTTAATTTTCATAAGTTAAGAACATTAAAATGACCAATTTTTAATTTAAAGCTCAAGTTAAAAATGACAAAGACTAGTATTTTTATAATTATATTAATCCCACATATTTAATATATGTGGAGGAAACTGATTTATTAATAATTAATAGATTTTAAATAGATTTTAACAATAATTATTATGGATTACTTTATGCAGAAAATTTAACTTAAATTGTAATTGAAGAAACTTAGTTAAAAAATGCTTTTGCAATTAATTAAGGAGGTTGTCTATATTTATCTAATAAATATGACTAGCTAAAATAAACATTTATTACTTTAAGAAATAGCTATTTTTATAATTTTTATAGTACTTATTTTGGTGGATGTATTTATGGTGGTTAAATTGCTTTGATTGAAAATGCTGAATTTAAATATTGCTCTAGCTATGTTGGTGGTGCTTTGTATATTTCAAACTAATCTGATTAAGATGAGCTCAATAAAATTACATTTGAAGAAAATAAAGCTGAATTATATGGTCATAACTACAGCTTTTATATTCAGGATATTTTCGTTACCAAAGTTTACGAGTACAACCCTTAGTTCTAAAAAACTAATTTATTTTTATTCTAATTAAACAATACTTTTAATTTTATAAAAGGAATGAATTATATTCTCGCTCTTTAGTTTAAAATAAATGACTAGTTGTACCCTTAAAATAATTAAAATGTTTAATCTTTAAATATGTATTACTACTTAAAAGAATCCTAAAATTTTTAAAGTGACGTCGAATTAGATATTAAAAAACCATTTTTATCTTTTTATTTAGATGCATATCAAGGTGTACGTTTATATCTAATTAGTTTACTAATTGGAGATGTAAAATATGATCTTAAACATGTGTTTACTTATGGATAAATTGATTATTGTCCATAAAATATGGAAAAGACATATATTAACTTTAAATAAAAAGTATTTTTATGCAAATATTGCGATTAATAGCAAACAATATAAACTTAGCAACTAGAAAATGGTTAGGAGCTTAGCCTATGTCAATCATGTAATAGTTAATACTTTTCTAATTGTTTTGCTTATTATTCTGAATTAAGGGAAGGTTATTGGAGAAAGTCATACTCTCTTAATAAAAATGAAATTGTCCCTTGTACGATATAACCATAAAATTGCATTGGAGGTTATGAGTTAGAGAATAATTTATGTTACTAAGGTCACATAGGACCTTAATGCTTAAACTGTGATATAAAAGGATAATATTGGGGTAGCTAGTATTCTTCATATGGTAACTTTTCCTGTACCAAATGTAGTGATATCAAAAAAAACACTTTAAAAATTTTTATTATAATTGTATTAATTCTAATGAGCATAGGAATTATCATAATTAGTACTTTTAAAAGCTTATAAAACTAGATTTTAGCACTATATCTTTCAAAAATGAACCTATTTTACATTGAAAAAAGTCTTCTTCTATAAAATTTAGCATCTATTTATGTCAAGCTACTACTGTTTAATTTTTCAATCTATCAAACTTCTAATGGATTTACTAATATTGATATTTTTAATTCTATCAAGGATGCTTCAATATCATTAGTTGATCCTCTAAACTCATAGATAATTTCTATAGATTGCTTGCTTATCCAAATTAACCCTAATTTATAAAGCATTGGATTTGCTAATGTTATTCTTTACTCAATACTACCCTGTTTCTTATTTTTATTTGCTATTCTTGTTATATTAATAATTATGCTAGTAAAGAAGTAGAACAATAAAAAAAGATAGCTTTATAGAATGCTGATTTCCTTTTAGTACATTTTTATAATAATATTTAATCCTATTTTCATATATATAAGCTTAGAAAGCTTTTTTTGTCTGAACTTGTACCAAGATAAGTACTACTCTTTGATAGATCTTAGCCTTGAGTGTTCTTAAAGTGATTATTTGAGTAGAATTAGGTCAATTACTATTCCTATTTTTGTTATATTCGTTAACATCATCCCAATAGTTATGTTTTCTATAATATTCTTTAATAGGCAAAAATTAAATAAAATAAAAATAACTCTGTCGTTTGGATTTTTTTATAAAGAATACAAAAAGCAACATTACTACTGGGAATTTGTGAGGTTAATTATGAAATTAATTCTAGTATCAATTAGTATTGGTTTTAAATAGTATGCTTTTATTTCAGGAATAATATAAACACTATTTCTGTTTATATATTATTCTGCTATTTAAAAATTAAACCCATTTAAGTTAAGAATTTTAAATTAGCTAGAAAAGGTGTCAGTTTCTTTATCAATAATGATCTTACAAACTTCTTTACTTTTCTTACAATTTGGCTAAAATGAAAATTAAAGTATACTTCTTTTTGTTGAAATTGTCTATATCTCTTCTTAATCTCTAAACTTAATATTTGTTATTATTCTGATAGTCTTAATAGTCACTTCGATCTTCCAAAAATACATTATTAAACTATATTAAAAATATTAATGGAGGTGTTTGCAATATTTTATTCAAAAAAGTTTACTCTAAGTATAAAAAGTAAATAAAAATTATAAAAAACTAAGGAAATGTGTTTCTATTATTACTTAAAGTCAAATTAGTTAAATTGATTCTCTTATCTAATCTTTTGAAATAGATTAATGAGGTATATTTTTGAATTTTATTAAGAATGAAAAGTTTTAATTGAAATAAAAAATCCATCTAAATTAAGATGAATCTAAGTTGAGGCAATCTTTTCTAAATTATAAAAGTAAAATGCAAAATATTTTAATATTAACTTATGATTTTTAATTATTTAAAAAATTAAATTTTAATAAGTATTTTATTTGTTTTTTTTTTTTAACACAAATGAATATTTTTATTTTATGTTTTGATTAAGATTTGATAAAACTGAAATTTTTATTTAATTAAAATAAATATCCTATTTTTAAAACCAAATCAAAAATTTTAGAAATTAAAATTTTTAGTTTAGACTAATTTTTATTGGCACCAGTTACTCCTAATGAAATAGCTGTATATTTATATAATAATTTAAAAAAATATTATTAAAAAAAAAAGAATTTGTAAATTAAATTTGCAGCAACATATAAAAATATAATAACATACATAAAGCAATATCATTTAATATATTATAACTTATTGCTAATTTTTTTTATATTCATATAATGAGTTGTGTGTTCTCCTGTTTCTTCTTTATTATAAATGAATCTTGAATCTAGGATTAGAAATTCTTCGAAGCTCTACAAACTTAATATTTATGTTTAGATTATTAATTAATAAATTAAAAGTACTTAAATAACTTTACTTAATTTTTTAATTTTAATAATTTTGAACTTAGCAAATATTTATTTATTTAATATGTTACTTTATTTAAATGCAAATAACAAATAAATTCCAAATTATTAAAGGACATCAATCTAATTTATGAAAAAGACTTTACCTTTTATTTAATATTTTATTTAAATCATTTTTTAAAATTGATCTTAAAATATTACCAGCTATTTATTAAATTTAAATTAGTTCAGTATCTATCTATCTATCCATTGATTAAAATTTATTTAGTTTTATTACTAACTATTTTTTTGTTATTAATTAATTAATTTTTTTAATAAAAAATAATAATTTCAAATAAATAAATACTACAGACAGCCTGTTAATTATTTTAACATTTAAATTTATTTTTCTATCATTTTTTAAATATCTGTTATTTTTACCCATTATTTCAATTTAGATTAAGGGTATTTTTATTCCTTCAAAAAATTGTGCAAGTATTTTACTATCTGTTTTATAAATTTATTTATATAGTAACTTAATAATATCTAAAATGTATCTATTACTCACTATTTTGAATAATTTATGAAATATTTATAATCTTCTAAAATATTTCAAAATATTTACCAAGTATTTTGTTAATAATTAGTTTATTTAATTGTATTTCATTTAAATTTTACTTCCTATATTTAAATTTAATTTAGCATTTCAAAACTAGAAAATAATTTTAAGTATTACATCCTATTGAATAATAAATAAATTTGTCATTTAGAACACCTAAAAATCTAAATTACTGCCTATTTAAGTTATTAAAATATATCTTTAGTTACTATCTATTTTGAAATAATAAATTTAGTTCATTCTTTCTATCTTAAATCATACAAAAACATTAATTACTATCTATTTAGAATTTAAATTTAGTTCATTCTTTCAATCTATCTTAAACAAGTCAAATATATTTATTACTCTCTTTTTTAAAATATTAAAGTTAGTGTATTGTTTCTTTAATCTTAAACAATTCAAAAATATTAAATATTAAAGTTAATTATTATTAATATTTTAAAGGATTCAAAAATATTACTTCCTATTTTGAAATATTAAAGTTAGTTGATAGTTTCTTTATATCTTAAATGATTCAAAAATATTACTTCCTATTTTGAAATGTTAAAGTTAATTTATTATTTATATCTTAAAGGATTCAAAAATATTACTCTCTATTTTGAAATATTAAAGTTAGTTGATAGTTTCTTTATATCTTAAATGATTCAAAAATATTACTCTCTATTTTGAAATGTTAAAGTTAATTTATTATTTATATCTTAAAACATTCAAAAATATTACTCTCTATTTTGAGATATTAAAATTAGTTCATTGTTTCTTTATTTCTTAAGTGATTCAAAAATATTACTTCCTATTTTGAAATGTTAAAGTTAATTTATTATTTCTATCTTAAAGGATTCAAAAATATTACAAGCTATTTTGAGATATTAAAATTAGTTCATTGTTTCTTTATTTCTTAAATGATTCAAAAATATTACTAGCTATTTTGAAATGTTAAAGTTAATTTATTATTTATATCTTAAAGGATTCAAAAATATTACTCTCTATTTTGAGATATTAAAATTAGTTCATTGTTTCTATATTTCTCAAATGATTCAAAAATATTACTTCCTATTTTGAAATGTTAAAGTTAATTTATTATTTATATCTTAAAGGATTCAAAAATATTACTCTCTATTTTAAGATATTAAAATTAGTTCATTGTTTCTTTATTTCTTAAATGATTCAAAAATATTACTTCCTATTTTGAAATGTTAAAGTTAATTTATTATTTCTATGTTAAAGGATTCAAAAATATTACTCTCTATTT